GCCTCTTGATTGTCTGATAGCGACGTCAGGGAAGTTTGGATCACCTATGAAACCAGCTAGCTGACTGAATGATGCATCTGTATCAGCCTTTGTATTCGTATACATGCAATGGGAGTATTTTATAGAGACTTACTTGGACATCTTTGTCAAGGTTTCACATCGAACACCAGCACCACACTCCCAGTACGTTTGCTGGCTGGTAAAATAGATAGTTCTGTGAGCCAGCGCCCGTTCCTGAAGCACCCATCCCCGCTGATTGAGGGCCCCTTTAAGAACATCACGATTAAAGTCGTCAATATACCGGCAGACGTAGAAAGGTGGCCCAGAGTTCCGCGTATAAGTCACATACTCCCTTGCAGGCCGACCCTTCAAGAAACCGTCTTCTTGATATCTTGCACGACTTGCGGCAATGACACACGATGCTGAACTGAACACGTTTTCCATGTGTTTGGATTCGGTTTGGAAGTCGCCGTTCGGGCCCTGAATAATACATAGTGAATCAATCCATATGTACCGAAAGCCAAGTTCACGAGTGACTTTGATAGCATCTCTGAAAGTCGTTGCCTGAATATCCCTGTCCTGGATGCCAACTTTGTGAGCGGCGATGTTCGCTTGCGTTGTGCAGAAGTGTCTGTACTGTTTCGGATCACCCCATGGATGGGAAAGTGCAATGTACGGAAATACATCTGTCGGTTTGGTCTCGTAGAGCCGAACACTTGTGGAGCCTTTGTCACCGACATCGATAAGCCTGGTTGGAAGCCTTTCTGGCGTTGGTGGGCTACATTTATGATGGGCGTGGTTCTCTTCACAATCTCTAAACCATAATCGAAGAGTTTCGAAGTGAATATCGCTGTGCACATCCGACACATTGGGAAATCCAACTTGGATTTGAGTACCCTCGCTCACTCTCATGCCTAGAGACCGACATATTGAGAATACCGGCGGATCGTTCTCGTTCATGCGTAGTATGGACTCTTGCCTCTCGAAACGAACTGTAGTAGCAGCTGTACCGTAGAGATGCTTGCAAGCATTCCATCTCATCTTGCAAAAGCTGCAGTCTTCGATTTTCGTCTTCAGCTGGGCTAAGTTATCGATAATGCGAAATTGTGGCACGAAGAAGTCCATGGCCTTGCAAGTAGTGCACAGTCTCTGCTGATCTCCATGGTCACCGGTAAACAATAGATTGTGTGTTTCGGGTCCCAATTGGTCTAGTAAAAGCGTGGAAAACTTGTTATCGACGGTATAGTCCCACTTCCTGACATCAAGCAGGGGATGAGCATAGTCGAGCTTTGCTTGTTGCATTCCCGAAGGCGCAAGACCTCCTCGGCTCCGGCCGGACTCATTGAGCTGTCTTGGAAGCAGAGGGGCAGCGGCCCCCATTCTTCTGTCCGGAGGCTCAGCAAGGAAGCCATTCCTTGTGGCCACGGACGTAAATGGAAATGGGGCAAGCCGTTGTCTGCTCTTTCCCGTAGCTAAATAATTCTCATCACCTGATCCCTTTTCCAGAATGTCGGTCAACTCCTTAACGAGAGCTTTAGCTGTAGCACGGTATTCTTGTGCAATACTTGATTCGCCTGGACCGGTGTCGTGTTGTGTAACAAGAAATTTTGCCGTTGAGGCTGGGACTGGGGAGCCATTCTGTGATGCAGGATCCTGGCTCGTTCGGATAGTTCTGTGTTCTGGTGGCAGTTGTACTACCAAAAGCATTGTCTTGACAATGCGTAGGAGCGCTGCCAGGGCAGTGTCTCCCTTACATTCCTGGTCTTCCGAGAGAAACTTCATACATATTTCCACCTTTCTGTGTAATTGTGGTGTACCTCCTTGCGATTCGTGATAAGGCGGATCGCGGGGAAGACTTCCTCGGATAGACTCGTTGAAGTCTTTTAACTTGTCATAACCGTATAAAAGCCAGACGAGCAGTTCCAATATGATACATCCCATAGACCATACGTCGTAGAGTCGAGATGTAGCCCCAGTGGTATCTACTTCGGGTGGTTCATATCTAGCTGTACCATGTCTTGTGCTTGTAAGATTTTCCCGAAGTCTAGTTGCAGAAGGATGATGTTTGGCAAGACCCATATCGGTAATCTTCAAAGTTCCTATCCTTGTTTCATCAGCGCCGAGAAAGCGCAGAATATTCTCAGGCTTCAGATCTCCATGACGGATGCCGCCTGACTCGAATAGATCATCTACGATCGCACCGACGTCTTCATCGTGGCTAGTATGTGATTCGTTGCCCCCATAGTGATGTAAATTGTCCAAGGCTTCCGAAAGACCTCGAAGCTGCTCAATAACCTCACGAATGAAGAGAGGAGTCAACGGTGGAACCGATATGCTCTTCATATACTCGCGCAAATTCTTCCCATCAGCCCAGGGAAACATAAAGAATCGCTTGTTCCCACGTGTTATTGCCGCATGACACCGGATCAAGTTGGGATGAGCCAACGAGTTGATATAGCTTAGTGCAGTAGCTTCAGCCTGATATACTGTCCTGGCCACTTTTTGAAGGTCATTATCATCCTCATCGGCCTGGAGCTCCTTTATAGCCATGTGCGGTCTAACGAGAACATCGTTACTCTACATTCAGATGATTAGAAACACATTTTCAAGCCACCGAGTAGTACTTGTACTTACACTTCCCGTGACTTCATTAAATTCTTGGTGGGATTCATGAATCTCGACCTCTAGAACTTTCCCAAAGTTGCCTCCATCAACAGTGCTACCCTTCCTACGTCATTTTATATTAGCAATTTCCTCTGAGGGCAATTCAAAGATGTAGTGACTTCTGAGGGAGTAGCTGCGGATTAATTGCCGGGTCTGAAGTAAGCTTTTGCTCTTTGAATACTCAAATGTGCTTATAAGGGCATGAGAAAGGCCAGCCGTTGCTTACCATGTGAATGGCAGAATCTGGCCTGGTTGCAATTGATATTCGAACGTTTTCAACCTGAATACCGGAGCCAAGAACATCCACTGGTCGTTATAGAACCTATGAATAGTCCTATCGCTCCATAAAGGAGCACCAAACGCAGCAATTCTAGCACCGGTGGCGTCTTTTGCATGAGGACTAATGGGGAAGAAAGGTGAACTGTCATCGAATCCAGACTCGAGGAACTGCTTCATAACTTGAACACTCTTCTTTGTAAGAACTTGGGTGTATATGAAAATTGCAAAGACCTTGGTTGCTCTTGTCAGTATGAATTCAACCAACTCTCCTTCCTCGTCTGGCTCCAAATCCAATTCTTGTATGACTGCTGTCTCTGTGACCAACTTGGTGAGATTGCCATGAGGCAGAAATAGCTTGTCTTCATCATCAAATCTACTCGTGGCACACTTTGCATATATACGCTCGGGAAGGTCTTGGATCTCGTCTTCTTGATCGTGTGATGTGGGTTTAATAGGCACAATCAGAGGAGCCATGGCGAAGATGAGAGGATATTTGAAATCGAGTCAAGACAATAAAGCGCAAAGAGATCGCCAGCGGTAAGACAGCGTAACAAGTCAAATGTCGATCGGTTATGAACTCTAATCTCATATTTTACAATTGTTCCGGTTTCTTTTCTCAGCTGAGAAGAATGATGAGGGGTGGATAGTTCAAAAAGCAATGTGATTGATGTTAAGAAAGAGAGCGTAAGCCCCAGGGTTGAGAGCCTCAAGTCCGGTTGCCTTTCATCATCTGGGGGCTGAAAAGGTGGCAATCAGAGTGATAGCTGCCGCTGTCAGGCCACACGCCAATTGGAAGCTGAAGCATTCTGTCTGTTGCATGGGAAAGCAATGTTGTACCTCCAAACTTGCATCGGCCCCGCACGCTATACCGGCCCTGGAGCGAAATACCGGACTGGTACTCGAAATTGAGTCCAGCCTTGCGATGAAGAGACTGCAGATCACGCAAAGCGGCTCTCGCTTGTAAAGAATGGACAGTAGTGGCTGCAGCACCGAGTCACACCCTCCATCGTCTTCAACTAATTAGATGCGCTGCGCTGAGCCACCTAGTATCCACCCCGTCGACTCGCGCCGGACCGCTCCGCATGGGAAGCTTACTCCAGTTAAACTACCAATCGAGGATATACTCCTCTGCCAGGTAATAAACGTAAATGCTTGAAGGGTGAAAATACTCGATAACACTCATGAAGCTCTCGAATATTCTGTTTATTACTATAGCTCTATCAACATATATACATGTAGTAATGCCTTGTTGAGGAGGTAGTGATAACCCTTGGCGAACTAATGTTTATTGCCCTGGTAGAGGATTACAGGTGATTATCGAGTTATTCTTGTTTGATGGTTTCAAAAGCCATAATTCTGTAGATCGCAGTTGTAGTATAGATAGTAAGACTGATTTCCTGTTATCGTTTCAGCCACAGTAACCAGTATTAAACAGTCAAATGTTCTCGACATGAGTCTTGAATCTGACGGCCGAATAATATCCTAAACTATGAACCTTCATGACTGAAATATCCACTATGTAGCTATCTCTTCTCTTCAAGCAAGTTGATGAAACACTGTTGACCCTTAGATGCACTATGTATTCCTCCTAACGCCTGAAGAAAGAATAATACCGAAAGGAGTTGCTTAGGAGGATATTTGTTGAACCCGACTGCATTATCGCGATGTTCATTACAGAGCTGAAGTCCAAGACTATACGGAAGCCACCTCATAGGTATTCAAAGAGACCGCGCTGAGAAGCAACCACTTTCAGATGGGGTAACATGCAGCTGAGTGGATTTCACGTGCTTTGCAGCTCAGATCGAACATGCATATAAATGGTATAACTTGTAACATTCTGCTGCTATGGTATAGGTCCTGTCTAGATGCGATACTCCGGAACTCCTTGGGACAGGTGAAAATTTATCGCTTCGCCCCCAGACTGAATGGTATGAGGTGATCGTCGTCTCCATCTCTCCGACTAATTTTCACATGGCTTCATTGAAGCGTAATTCAGACTGGTGTCAACTTCGGTCATCGGCCAGCTGCTTCATATACCACGCTGAGAATAAGCCATCTCATTTCTCTCGGCGATCCATGCCACTCTCAGCGGCGCTCAAGTCGGCTTCATAGACCATCTTCTCATTAGTCTTACCAAACACCAAGCCAGGATGACCGATGGTAAGACAATAGACGGACAAGACAATGAGCCTGTTGGGTAGTTGTCAGTACCTATTGATTCAATTCATAACCTTGACAGTGACTTACACTCCCTCCAACCCGATGAACAATCCCTCATCAGAGATCAGTGGACCATCATAACCCTCACTTAGCTCGTCAACCCTGTAGGCGCAACGAGCGAGGGTGAGTACAATAGCCAGCCCGATGAAACCGAAGAAGAGCTTGAGGCGCATGCTGAAACCAGTCGCGGTTCTGCGATAGTAGCGAACGACATAGTCAATGTACAATCCGCTGAAAATAACCAATGTGAAGACTTGGAAGCCTAGACCCGCGAGGGCGAGGTTGACGCCGGTCTGATTCGTGCCGGAGGACGTGGTGGACATTCCACCCCCGGCACCCTGGAGCGCCAGAGAGACTAGGTCGCACGGGATGAATACCCAGTAGAAGAGCTGCGGGGGAAAACGGGAGTGCTCGGGGCCAAACGCGGTGATTCTGTAGCAGGACGTATTAGTATGCTGTTTCGGGGAGTAGGGGGACACGATTTGCATACGTCTTGGCAAGGACGACATAGATCGCAGCACAGTAGAACACGGGTCCAGTTGTTATTGTCACTGTATCACGTCTTAGTACAACCATGGTGCAAGCAACGGATCTGATCGGGGAGAGGACAGTCGTACCAATCTGAATCATAAAAGCCTCGAATTTCCATGGACTGTAATACATCCAGACTCGACCCGCATATCCCAGAATCTCGTCAAGGCAACCCATGACCATGCATGACATATACCACCACTGCTTCCACCGGAAGCCCAAGAAGATGTGGAGGAGCATTGCAATGCTGAAGAGAGCAATGAATGTGATGTTCGCTGCCAGACTGGGTCTGTACTCGTAGACGGTAGTCGATATGGGGCAGAGCTCCAGTGTGCAGTTGGCGTCTGGTCCAAAGAGGACGAAGTCACCATAGGAGCCGGACATCTTGTAAGGTGCTAGATGGGAGCCGTGACGAGGTGGGTAGGGAGTCGGGTTGAGAGATGGTCAAGGCGGCCCCTGAAGGAATAGAATATGAAGAAAGTTGAAAACCCAAGGAATTTGTAAAGTCTTAGATAATTTCACAGAACATGAGACATGTCTTTTGGAATGATTCCATCTTGGTCATGGGCGAGTCGTGGCACAACTTTATATTATTCTGGAAGGAAGCCGAGACAGACAGACGGCACCAAGCCGGAGCCAATGAATCGGCGTCGTATACCGCTGCCATTCTCCAGCGCGATCCAGACGAGAACGGTGAGCTCACCATTAACGTTATTTCGCACAGCCAGCTTCTGCTGACGTGTACCGCAGCTCGCACCCGCATAAGGCACCTAAAGTGCACTTACACCCTGCCCGCCTCGTGCGTGCTGCTCATTCCTCCCGACAACCTGGGCCCGGCGTGTGGACGGGCCATGGGTGGATCGCCGTGGTGTTAGTGACGGGCCAGTGAGCTTCGGGGATCGCACTCGCTTAACCGCCAAGCTTCGGCCTAAAGAATAAGATGCCCGGCGAGCTTGTGGGGCACACGTAGCTCAGCCCTTCCGCCTGCTACTGTAACTGTGGGCAGGGGGATGCGAATGCGAATGGCCTGCAGAAACTTACACATATTCTTGGGATCCAAACCGTTTGAACTCTGATTCGACTACGTATGCGATGCTTGGCATTCCCCATCTCACAGAATGTTCGCTCGCATAGCAGGGCCTATGTCTGCCGAGTGCGATTGAGGCTCATCCTGATTAATAAACGCTCACAGTACAGACTGTCTAATAAATAGGGTTCAAGATATCCTTCGAGGATTATTCAGGCAAGTCAGTTGGTCACGCAATACCCTGTTGTTTATCCCAGAAGCCAATCTGCCGACAAGTCTACATCAATGGAAGCCGTAGATATGGCGAGATGTAAGAGCTGGAAAGAATGCCAGGCGATCGGTCCCTACATCGCGGATCACCAAACACCAAAGTGGGATACTGAGTTGGAAGAATGATAGAGTACTATTTAGAGTGTCCCGCTAATTGGCCGCCGGACTTTTTAGGTCAACCCTTCAAACTGCGTCGGGAGAACCTGTAGGCATGCTTATGTTTAGGTAATCCAGCCTATCAACGGATCATAGACTCTCGCCCTCGAATGGTGTCTGTAAATGCAGACTAGGCCTGGTGACATGGCTCCCAGAGCATGTGTCATGACGCGTACTCTTCCTCCCTTTGTCCAACGATATGGTCTCACAAGACCGCAAAAGTCATTAGGATTGCCGCACCCATTAAGAGCGCCGTCCAAACCAACCCATAAGCCTCCTCGGCGGCCACCTTGCTCGGCTGCGGCCTCGTGGCGCCCCCATTCGTGGTCGCCGTGGTCGTCACCTCCGGCCCCATGAGCTGGACCCCGGCTGTGATGGTGACCGGAGCGAAGCCGAACCGGTCCCCACTCGTCCAGTTATAACTGTACGTACTAAACGTCCCGTTCCAATCCGGGTCTTTGGTATACCACACCGCGCCGACCTGTGTGAGGTTGCATTGCGCCGAATTCGTTCCATTCAGGCTGCACCGATTGATCACCGAGTGGCGCGGTCCCCAGCGGGTGCCTGTGTAGATGAACGTCTCCGGCCCCTGAGTAATCGTGCTCGGGAACCCCGTAGCGTTGCGCGGCGCCCAAGACCGAGTTGGCATCGCCGTCGCGATCGCGCTGTTGTTCAAGTGTGTCCATGTCGGCACCGACTCGCCTCGTGTTGTGGTAATTACAAACGTAGTTGCTGTGTCATCTACGCTGAGCACCGAGCCGGTGGCCCGCTGCGTGTAGTAGTTGCCCTCGATGGCCCTCTCATCAATGAAAAAGATCGACACCACACGCGTAGAAGCGGTGGTCGTCGTGACTGCGGTCGCCGTTTCTGTCTTGACGCTGACACTGATGCTCAGATCAGTGCTCACATCGATATCTGTGACCGTGGTCGAGTCTGGCGATTCCTGGCCGTGAGCCCCGGAGGCGACGATGAATACATAGAAGAGGAAAAACGAGCAGAGGAACTTGAACGAGCGTGAGAAGGCGGTCCTAGCCGCCATTTTGGAAGCCATGTCCTCCTCCAGAACGGGAAACGAATGTATGATTCAAACACCAGCGAAGAATGGTAGAAGGACCAGTTCCTGGGGCGCTTGCTCGCAGGGGACTCTCAAGCCTGTTTAAATGATGGTCATCCCCCACAATCCGTCCAGGCAGCTTTCAATATTGCCAGGTGTTCCTCCATCTTTTCAATCAAATGCTCATCTGTGGCCCGCTTCTAAATCAGGTCCATCACTGGATGATGGGTTGTTGATGTGTATAAATGCGGAGAATTTCTGGTGTCGGCCGTGTTTAGCCGTGTCGAGGAGGTGCTGTGACTGGTGAGCCCGCCTTAAGATGGCCTTTAAGTCCTTGACTTGTTAAACAACTTTGAATGAAATCCCCAAAATTCGTCCCGTGTCTTAATGCGGTAGCAGGGACCATAGTTCGTAGGCAGGCAGATAGGAAAGTGACCGCAGGATTGTTACTTGACAGATCATGGCATCTGCGAAATGCTACCGAAATGCCACATGATGAATGTTGCTGCTGTTAGCACACAGGTGTTTGGTCTAATCCTCTGATTGCATTGAAATGTTCAATGATGGAGATACGTGTTGATTGCCGCATCCTTGTCGGCTCCAAATTGGACAACGATATAGTCCAATCCCATCCACGAGGGCGCCCAGCGTTCACCAGCATCGAGGGGACCATCGTGGTCTTGGGGGCGGACACCCACGCTCCAGCTCGGTTTGATGTCTTGGAGTAAACCAATCTCACCCATCATGACTATGTAGATCGACGGGGCAAGGCTGAAGACCGATCGGACCATCGAGCTGCTGGGCGTAGCTCCCCCTCTCATACCTCTTCGGCCAGATCAAATAGGGGGCATTCACCGTCTCTGGACCCGAGGAATATGCTGACTGCCTCATCCGTGTGACGAGAGATGGATGAAGAATTGGAATCCAATAGATGAATTCGCTTCGACTCTGCCGCATGTAGAAGCCGGCGGGACAGACGCAGCGGATCGAATACTCATAACTGGAGGCTGTGGCTGACAAAGCCGTCTTCTGTTTCTCAACGAAGGCGATTGGTGCGTTTTTCATCGTTGTAGCACATCAGCCAGACCATTTCGTTGCCGGCTTTACAACCGAATGGAGTCATTTTTTGTTACCTGCTTGAAACCCGTTGAGATGGTCGCAACACGTCGAAGAATCAATGTGTTCATGGTCTGCCTTGTTTTGGGCCACATACCCGAGGAAAGGATCAAGAGAAAGGATATGTTTTACTCCTCCGCCAGGGTAGCAAACGTCAACTGTTGAAGGGTAAAGAATATTCAATATTGAGAGTAGTAATACCTAGCTCTCGAATATTCTGTTTATTACTACAGGTCTATTAACACCTACAAAGGCAGTAATCTCTGTCGAGGAGGTAGTGATACCTTTGCCGAACGAATGTTTATTACACTGGGGGAGGAGCATAGTTTTAGAGACTGACTGGTACACAGATATTAAATATTTGTTGACTACTCGAATAGGTGCATGAAAACTGAATCTTGGTGGCATTAATTAGATGGGCATTTATCTTTTGAAGGACACCCCAGCTTAACAGATGCAGTCGGCAAGATCATATTTTGAACCTCCCCCTCTTCAAAGACTAGTTGACGAGCTGTATATAGCAAATTTAATTGGCCAATTAACACAGGCACCTGAGCAACACTTGAGAGAAGGCGGCAAGGTGATACTATAATTCGAGTATGACAAGATTCCAGTGACATGTTACAATGAGATTCCATGGCCAGCCATCTGAGTAACGTTGAATCGAGTCGTCTGGCACACTCGCATAAGAATACATCACGCAACAGCGCCGAGTCAGGTAAGCAGACCGCCAAGCAAAACGTCAAAGGCTCCTAGGACCCTGGACAGAAAGAAAACAACCCTGTGTCCATGGAAACGGGTTCATTATTCCGAAACGAAGCCATTGCATAACGCCGAACCCAGCTAGTCAGGTCAGTCAGTCAACTGTGCACAAGGGAAACACTCTTCACCCTTCCCCAAACGGCGGGCGCTAGTGCAACTCGGTCGTTTCATGGGGCCAAACCCAATCGGCTCCCTGCGCCCCAGATGTAATTTTACGCACCCCTGCCAGATGCGAGCTAAGGGAAATGAGACCTGCCAGGGGTAACGGCGATCGCCTGGCTGATCCCGAGTAATTTGACTCGGCCACCCACACGTGGTGGGAAAGGGAAGGAGTAGTCGGTTGTCGCCGTTGCTCGCTTCTTCCCCCGCAAACTTCTGGCTGGCTTCCATTCCAGTCGAATCGAGGTTGCAACGTCAAGTCATATTTCGTGATATATCAAAGTCAAAGAGAGCAATGTCAGTCAAAAAAGGGGTGGTTTCAAAGCAGGTGCCAGATCCCCTAGGGTCACCGGACGCCCTGAAATACAATTAGAAGATTAAGTACATAAATGCCATATGCTAGACAGCCAGTAGCTTTTTACAATTGCCAACAAGCACCGAGTCATGAAATGCCGTAGCCTCCCAGGCTGTTAATGAAGTTCACATGAAAAGCCTTTATGCCATCAGGGCAACCAGACCGGCGGCAGCGGCCAGGAGGACGGAGCCACCCATGGTAGCAGCGCCAGCAGTGACGGGAGCCGAGGGAGTAGGGGTGCTGGAAGGAGTGCTGGTATTCAGGTTAGCATGCTATTCACGGAGGAAGCTGGAAAAGATGATACTCACGTTCCGTTGCCAGAGGGGCTGGGGAAGCCAGTGCTGGGAGCATATGTGGTGGGGCAAGGAACAGCGACGGTCTCGTAGATGACAGTCGGCACAACAGTGGTGACTGAGGTAGAGATGGTCTTAACAGAGTAGGTCGGGCAGGCCGGGGCCTCGCTGCTGGTGATGGCAGCGGGGGTGGAGGTCTCAGACTCGACGGGGTAGCCGGTGGTAGTCTCAGGGGCCGGGTAGGAGGTGACAGCCGGCACGGTGGTGTTGTAGTACTTGGTGGTGCTGACGCTGGTCAGGGGGCACACAGTCGTGGAGACGGCGACGGACTCAGTGACCACGGTGGTAGAGTGAGCCGGGCAGTTGGTCACGGTGGGAGCGCAAGAGGTGACAGTGCGGACCGTGGTGGAGTAGATGGTGGAGGTGGTGACCGGGTAGATGGTAGAGCTGGTCACGGTGGACTTGGCCGGGCAGTTGGTGACAGTCGGGCCGCAGGAGGTGATGGTGACATAGTCAGTGCTGTAGACGGTGCTCTCCGGCTCAGCGCTGTAGTCAGCGAGAGCAACGGAGGCGAAGAGGGCAGCAGCAGCAGCGAAACGCATTTTGACTGATCTGGTTTTGGTGGGTTGTTTCGTGAGAACGAAAAGGTTGATGTGCTAAAGAGTGACTGAAGCTGGAAGCTTAGAGCGTTGGTTTAAAGAGTGGACGACCGAAGTCAAAGTTGAGTCAAATTGCTTGAGAAGCTGAGGAGGCTTGCTTGGCTGAGGAAGGAAGAGAAAGAAGAGAGAGAATACAGACGGAGGAGGCCATTGTTAAATAGGTTGGACACTGGGGCCGGCACACACAGAGAGAGACGGCGATGGAGCAGCGCTGGTTCAGGACGGGAAATTACACACAACCACAATGGAGAGAATTGGACGTCGGTGGTGCAGGGAACAGTACACTAGCCCAGGGGTTCGGTGGAGGTTGAAGGAACATTGCCAGTCGAGGCGATGGCTGACTGCAGTTGGCCAGCCTGGGCACACCTGGACACACCTGGGGAACGGCGGACGTCGACCGCGCCGCTGATTCGCCCCATGGCTCCAGTACCAAGTCCTATGCAAGGTACCCGGCCCACCAGCGCTGACGGTGGGATACACAAGGCGGCCCCTTGTGCCTGGCCTTGCGAGGGCAGGGGTGCCATATTAGCGGACTTGCAAAGACACTTCTCCATTCACGCCACTGGCGTTGAGCGGCCGTTCGTAGCAGCAACGAGATTGAGCGCTTAATGGTCACGGTGGATTGAGGTGAACACTAGGCGCTGATTTGGCGATGGTACAGCGCAGGCTGTCCAGCGACGACAAGGGTTTTCCCCCTCCTATCAATCTCGCCTGAGAGCAGACATGGCACTGCCACCCGCTGAAGAGCGATGGAGCGAAAAGGAGAGAGTGCGGTCCGTCTCTCCACCACAGGCAATTCTGTAGTGTAATGGCTAGTCGCAAGGTTGGCTCCTCGGTACTTTGGCCGGGCCACTTGGCTACTGCAAGCACTCAGAGAACCTGGGCCGGATGGATCTGGACAATATCGAGGCCCTGCTGAGATCATTTCGCCAGGCGGTTTTGGCAATTCAATGGCCCTGGTGGCAGGGCTTTGTCCGCCGGGTCTTTGACGGCGGTCTAGAATGCTACCGTTGCGCTCGCATTCAGGAGACTTTGGTATTGAAAGCGGGGAGACAAGAGCATGACCTCGGGCCTTTCAGTGTCCCTGCATGGCCCTGCCAGCTTCGGGATAGGAGGCTGCCCCAGATGCCTGCCGTATACAGCAGTAGGTAGGTAGGGGATTAAGTGCCTTGTGTGCTCAGATGCTGGCCACGGACGGCGGGACTCCCGCTGCTGGCCTAATCGATTGGCCTTCATTTGGAGAAACCTGGGAGTGAACATGCTGAACTAATTCCGCGTATAGTGCAGACGCGCTCACTCGAACTGTTGTGCCGCCGTACAGTATGTCTCACACTTGATCGAGGATGCCGCCGCCGCCGTTTGGCTCTGTAGCGGATGTGTGTGTGTGTGTGTGAGAGAGAGAGAGTGTGAGATGAGATATGGTACGGTTCGTGCCGTGTCTCTCCACGTGCGACTCGTGCAATACACTAATTATGCTGTATTTTGTCGAGTTATTGATATTCATTTTCAAGACACACAGAAAGAGGCGTTGAAGGCACAGGCCCAGTAATCTAATCACGTTACATTCCGGGTGAATTTTTACATTATCAGCGTAAAAGGAAGACTCAATTGACCAGCAGATGCTTCCGTTTGGCAGAAGGATTTTTGCACATTGGTTGCACCTTCCTTACTGTAAGACAACTCTTTAGCGCACTGTCCACACTACTGCTCCCTCTGAGGAAGGTGTACACAGGAAGGGCCACTCTTTCCTTAGCCGCGGCGCCGTAATGCAGGTACCAGAACTTAGCGTGGCTTCCTTGTCCTCCCTCTTTATTTGGCCGCTTTTTCTTAGACCACATTGTCAAGGAGAAGCTGGGAGCGGCCGTTCCTTACAGGTGTCTAAGATTTGCTGCTGACTGCAGTCACTGCGGCGGGCCACTAAGGTCAGAGGATAAATTGGGCTCACGGGGCTGGTGGATCGCTGGATTATGCCAGAAGCCAGGCGGATTTGGCGCTGTCGGGATGCACAACGGCGATCGAAAATAGGGGACTCTGAGGCGCCGAAACACAAGCGAGATAACACCCACGATGGGGCCAGCCTGCCGCCAAGCTGTGAATATCATAATCTTATTATTGCGCCGTGCACGCTTATTTTGTACGTTCTCTTTGTGCACCACCTGCTGCGATGACTTCATCCGGGTCTTGGGCGCTCTGCATTTGGAATAGCATGCCGCGGCATAAATGCTCTGTCCGCCTTTCACTTGCCAATTCAGATCTGATCGTGTACAGCTTACTGCATGGGACACGGTAGTCCCGCGTTGCGTGTGCTTGGAGCCTTGGGGGTTTGGGCTGTGAACACATGCAGATTCAGAAGAGCAACGTTCATCAGTATTTCCCTGACACACCGACATGTTTTGACAGGCAATAAGAGCGACAATTAGGCAGCTGTCCCCCAGACTTTTTGGTGCGCGGAGGCCGACCAGGAGTCCAAGACCCTGCGAGTGCCATTCCCCCGACAGTACTGCGTAGTAGGCAAGCCACCGCTGCAACCGCATCATGCAAGTCCTAGGTGGTGGGTGTTATACACGCATAGTACTTCTAGACAATGCTATCTCGGGCGTGTTGACCACCGTATCGAGCAGGTCTCCAGCTCCCAGAGGATCTGCTCTGTCTCGGACATTTCCCTTGCCTCGCGAACTGGAGAACGTGTTTGACATTTTTCCATATGACGTCGCTGCTGTGGCATCTTTTCATTGAGGAGTCGTTAGTTCGTCGTTCTGTCTGCGCTTTTTTAAGATTTGTCTCCATTAGGCCAATGTGCAGCCGCAACGGCGCTCTTTCGTTGTTTGCAATGTTTCACCCTAACCGCCCGCCACATTAGGCCGTATGGCGAATTAGTACATGTCTACCTCCTAAGACGGGTAACCTCATTCACGTAACCTGGTTGCTAAGTGGCTGCAGACCGCCTGGCGCCCGTTTAGCGGTTTGGCGGGGAAACAAGGTCACTGGAGGCGTTACGCGACCATGGATCTTTCGCTGAAGAGGCGCCCGCCGCGAAATTGGGCTTGCCAATTCTTCAATCAAACCATCAACCCCAGAGCACGACGGACTCGTTTCTCATTCGTGCATGCCGCGCCGGCGCGTTGAATGAGGCGAGGCGGGCTTGCTCTAGCCTGCACAATCACACTGATATTATGCAGTGCTATGCGATTTTCAGAAAACCCAAGGATTCCTCTCCACACTTTCGGGAATCTGGAAACAAACTCCCGAGATCCTTCCCCTTCGGGAGAGCTGCTCTCCTGAACGGAAACCAAGTGTGGAGTCGGTGTAAATGAGGGACCACCCTTCCCCTTTGGTGGCGCCGACAAGGTCGGTGATCTTCGCAGGGGCTGATTTAAGAATACGACAGCCAATTTCGCGCCCCAAAATGAACAGAGACGAACGCTCCCAGAGGGATTCCGACTTCCAGATCGATCGATGATTAGATGCTCGTATATCTGGAGCCAAATTTCCACCCCCTGTGTGCTTAGTTCGTTCTCGAAAACTTGAGAAGGCGAGACATCGAGATCGTGTGCTCCTGCAAATCATCATGAATCTGTTCTTGGGCGTTTTTGCGGAAAAAATGATGGCAGTTTCTCGTCCTTTGCTGTTGCAGGTACTGCCGTGCAAAGACCGACTCCTATTATCTAGTGGTGATAGTGGTATCGAAAGCGCGGGTTGACAGCACATATCTAGTGTTTATGGAGGCGCGATGCGCGACCCTTGCAACATGCTCACCAGCTGATCAAGCGTGTTTCGGTGCGACTCCCGGGGGCTTTCGAGGTACTTGATGGCACTATTGTTGTTTACCAATTCGATTTCGCGGTCCTGGCTCACTGTCTCGCGGAACAACGGAGGCTCGAGGCCTACCTTGGCGGTGAGAGCCCGGCGTGGCATGAGAGCAGAGTTGACAGCATCACTGCGCTGCGGAGGAACTAGCATGATAGAGATGTCACCTTCAGAGGACGTTGGTATCAGGAAAGAGCCGCATTGGTTGTCGGACAAGGCAAGGTAGCCCAGGATCACTGTTGACTCCTGCTCCGGGACCTCAGGCTTGCGGAGACCGACGACTAGCGTTCCATTCAGCGACTCGCGGCCAACGAACATGTAGGTCCAGCCGTTGCTGTAAAGCTTCTGGAGCATTGGTATCGCGATAACTATCCAGCTTTGAAAGCGGACATCAGAACCCGGGCTGACCGGAAGAGAAGCCAAGAGCGCCATATGCATACGACGAGCTTGTGGAGGGAGTTGAGCAAGTCCTCCGGCAACATGGTCCAAGACATTTGTGAAGGTAAAGTTATCAGCTGCTCCGGAAGTTGCCATGCCAAATATCGCCATCACTCGGTCCTTGTCGTCGAGTGGCGACATCACGAATTCGTGATCCTTCACTTCTTGCACTTCGATTCCAACAGTTTCAATAGGCCCAGGGACATTCCAGTCCGCACTCGAAAACGTGATAGAGTATAGGAGATGTGCAGCGGTATCCATACGACCGCTAAGGAAAGGGACGCCGGGAATGATGTCGGCATTGGTCACGTTGCATTGGGGGTGAGGGAAGCTGTACGCGAAGAACCTCGGGTTCACATCTGGAGGCGCGCTGCTTGAACAATGAAAATTGAACAACTTCAGCCCACGCTTTCTCAGCGCTCGCGTTACCTTCGTGACGGCGGTATTCAAAGGGTCATCTTTGGAGTAGCCGTAGCTTCGCATTTGTGTTAGTCGTGGATTCACAGAAAGAGCAGGTCGAGCCGATGTCTTAGCCATGTTTCCGGCACCTTGTGGCAGGGCTAAGACATGGCTCATGACCAGACAATCAGAGTTTGGCTAGGGGTTTGACTTACTCTACGTTGCACATGGAAGCCCAACAACATATCTTGTCCGCCTCGAATGTGGCGTGTCGAGTTGCGCCGCCATTAAAGGCCTCCAGCATCGCTGTCAACCGAGCTCTGAAAGCTTCTTCAGCGGTTCTGGGTGTCGGCTTGAGGCGCACTCCCAGAACTTGATCCGTGCCGTATGATGGCAGATTCGACTGCAACCGTACTTGAGCCTGATCTTTCTCGTCCTCTGCTAGAAACCTCTTTTGACTTGGGAATAGTTTCTTCACATTGTCAAGGACGCTCGGCGCGAGACCCCTGGAGAACCCAACATCAAAGTCCGAGTACTGACCCAAACGCAACTTGTAGTCCGTGACCAGAATGGCAGCCTCGATGACTCTCGATTTGACATTGCGAAGAACGGGCTGTTTGTGGCCGTCGAGGGAGATCTCGATGTCTCTCGCGAGAGCCCATTCTTGGAAAGTCCAAGCCCGGCTCCAATACTTGGATTTCTCCGTGACTTCAGCCAGTGTTCTCACGGTCGCAAAGAAGCGTTTGATGGTTGCACTGATCTCAGACAAGACCTTGTTATTGACATGACCTTCCCCTTCGAAATGCTTCCGGCGGTCCAGAAGAAAGGAGGCATAGCCCACGAGCCCGGTAAGGAGACCCAATGCTTGCAAGTCCTCTTTAGGCAACAGCACAGAGACGGTGGTGGCATTGCTGTATATTTGACCCATGGCAGCCACCTGAGTGGCAACATCGCCGGAATCCTCTTGGTCAATAGAGAGGTTGTCTACCCAGATGGTCGACGAAGCGCCGGCGATGTTCATGATGGCGTGAAATGTGCCGACGCCACGCAGGCGCACCTGGCTTTCAGCATTGCATCCCCGGCAGCGTACGCCAATGGCAGATACTTCACCCCAGACGTGCGATATAGCCTTGTAGGAAGTCCCATCAGCAGGGATGGCAGTCAGGATGGTGACTGTCTCGCCAGAGGGTAGAGTATGAGTAAGATGCTTCTCTTTAGAGCACGCCCTGCAGGCGCTGAGCCAAATCACTTCATTGCCCGAATCCATGCCACTTTAGTGATAGACCCGCGGACGGGGAAGGGCGGAAAGTGAGAAGAGGCGTTGACTATGAGGAGGCCGTTGTACTGAACTCTAACGGCTTTCGTGGTTGTCTAAGCCAGCCAATATCGTTACAATATTGCCTTCGGCGGCCGCTGCCAAATTGAGACTGTAAATCGCACGTGAACATCTACCCAAGCAGGACAAAATATCTTTTGATCGAAAGAGGAAATCCAAGGCTCAAAGTGGAGGAGGGGGATCTGGGGGAAGTCGGAGCGTCTCCTCACTTCAGCCATTATGCAAGGCTGCTGGTTGCCTCACCTACCTAGGTACATACAAAGAGACTTGAGGAATTGTTACTGCTGCAACCACGACGAAGCAAAAATAGCCCCCAACCCCCAAGTCCTAGGTAACGTTAGTCGTAGGACCAGAAAGCGATTTTCGCCTTTCCCCTGTCGCAAATCAAACAGAATAAAAAAAATCTCAGTGTACACAGCCCTGCTTAGTGACTGTGCCTCTTTTCATAGAATCCCATCGATGGAGAGGGCGATCACTAGAAACATCGGACTCGTTACTGACAGACAGGACAGGACGACTTCGCACTCGGATTTGAGCGAAGACAGGGCATGACAAACACCAACTAATATTCTATTCTGAGTGAAACGATCGCTGTCAACCCAACATTGACGGGCCACCAGCAGCCAAGATAGCCCACGTACAGGTGATTGAGGCTGCCCTTGCCGTGCGCCTCCCCCAGAGTTTCAAAGGTCCCGCGAGGTCGCCCAGCGCAGCGAGGCCATCCGGGACTGCTTGCCGTGTAGGGGTCTGTAGCCGAGTCTGAGTCTACTGGAAACATTTACATTCATGCGGCGATGCAATGAGATCCTTCTTTTGCGGGACCTATACTTAGAAACACCTGGGATTCGAGATCTCAGATCGATTTGCTTCTTATCAAGGATCGCCCTCTAGAGCGAACAAGCAGGATGCCTCAATTGCCCATGCACAGACTCACAGACGCGGCTTGCTTTTCCTAGGTTGCCAACTAGATGACCACCAGCTAATTGACTCAACACAACACAGCGAGAAAGACGAGTAGGATTTTATGGAAGTGGATGGAGGTCATGTACTCCTCCGCCAGGGTAATAAACGTTAGTTCCACAAGGTAGTATTACCTCCTCAACAAGTGTTTACTACTTTTTTAGAAGTTGATAGACCCAATAGTAATAAACAGAATCTTCAAGATTTTGACGAGTACTATGGCTCTCAACACTAAGTATCTTCACCCTTCATAAAATAACGTTTATTACCCTGGCGGAGGAGTAGAAGCGCCCTCTACACGCAAGTCATCGTAGGCATGTGATTGACTGTGCTCTCTTGACCTGTGCCTTGCAGAGAGCCTCGGAGTATTGTCTCTCACCATCCCCACAAGATTCAGGGCCATTTCGCGCGACCAGGCGGCTATGCGGCTACGATGGGGTCGTCACACTGGCCACGACCGGATGCTTGGACCATCTACTGTAGCAGGATCTCAATGTGTAAGACATGTCTCTCTCAGAGGTACCTAGTCTACCGTGATTCATCTGCATGAGGAACTCCTTGCGTCTGGAGTTGCCGGGTACGACTGCCTGGACAGGCTTGTGAATCAATTGGAGGGCACGATTGAACAGACAAGTGTACCCGTCTGTCAGTTGATTCGACGACATTTCCATCGATCCTTCCCTTGAAAGAAGGTAGGTGCATGCACAAAGATGGGAAAATGAAAGAGTGGATCTGAAGAGCTGTCAAGGACTCAAGGACTCAAGGACTCAAGGACGCACTCAGCTTGACATCCATGGATGCCCCAAGCTCTTGCACCATCCATCTCTTGGCTCCCTCTATCCCATCTGAGTGGTTGGGCTTCAGCCAGGAGACCAGGTAGGCGGCCTGTCATTGGGTGTGCAGGCGACTGGCAAGCAGTTGATTGGTGGTCGGCTAAGAAATGTAGCTTAAGCACAGCCTCCGTTGGCTTGTCCCGCAGTTTCTCAACTTCACTCATGGCGGGCAAGGGGTTCTACGATCAATGTGTGCCGCCAGCCCAGACCCAAACAGCTCTGACGACATGTCCCCGCGGCTGAAATCCCTGGCATTGAGTCTGCGGAACTCTGCCGCCGCAGAATCTGGTTCTGGCGAATCCTTTTGCTGGGCAGGGACGGCGGTATATCGAGGATTCGCAGGGGAAATACAGTGGCAGGTCGTGGGGGCCGAAACGGCCTCGGCTGCCTCTTCTCCTCCCCTCTCCTCTCAGTGAGAGCCCATCCACGGAGACAGCGACGACCAAAGCTGGCGTCTAGGGCAGGAGGAATAGACGAAACCGGGCGGTCTGTGGCTTCATCATCAACGGCCTCATTGCAAAGCATGCACTTTGTGGTCGCTTCAAGGATCGATCCAGAGGCGGTTCGGGGCGGTTCGCACCGGATCATGGATTGCCGCAGAGGCCGCAGAGGCCAGTGAGACGGACAGTCCGGAGAGACCCTCACTGACGCCAGAAAGAGGGCCTTAGTAGGCCTTAGTCACCAGCGAGCCAAGTGGGAATGCACACATAGCACCGCATAGCTCGCAGCATCCAAGCAGGTGTGCGGCAGCGAAGCCCAATCCGATGGTTCGAAGGGGGAGGCTTGCATGCTCAAGCCACAGTACTTTGTGCTAGGGGGGAAATGTACGTACAGCACACATTACGTGCTATGCCATACCTGGAGCACCCGGCAGTCCTGGGTACGTCAGGTAGGTACTGCATAGTACAGGACGATGATGCGATGGTGTGTTGCTCCCTCCGAGTCCCTCCCCGCCAGCACCAGCGCCATTGCATAACCCTGCAGCAGCCGCCAGGGGTGCGTGCTCTCGTAGTGGCCGTGGTGGGCTCTCGGCGGGCTCCAGTGGGCTGCAGTGGCTCGTGCCTCCCTCCCTACACTACTAAGCTATGCAGTAGATGCTGGTCCGAGCCGTTGGGGAATCTTGGAGTCCTCCCCCACTGGGCCAATGTGAGCACTGCAAATTTAGCGGGCAGCGACTGGATCGGGACGTCCATTGGGCACAGCCACTGCGCAGCTGTCAACGCCAGTGCCGCATCCTGGCGAGCGCAGAACCACGCCCTCAGGGAGTGATGTACCTCTTTCTATGTCCATGCGTACGAACGCGACAACCTTCAGCCCAGAAGATGGCATGGCATGGCATTGCACTGCACTGCAAGAAAAGGTCGACAAAAATGGCCCGTCTCCCTCTCTTGGCTGGGTGCAATACTTCCTCGATGGATCTTGCTTCTCCATCATCATCATCATCATATATTATACCGGTCCTCTTATCTCGAGTCCAGAACCCGCGAACTAGTCCCTTCCAGACTGCCCGCCATCCAATCCACTTACACCAACGACCACGACCACGACCACGACACATACCACGACTGTCCAGCGCTCCAACCTATTTGCCCGCAAGGCTGAGTACTGTTGCCTGAGTCTAGCACTCCGGTAGGTTGATTTCCTAGGCTCTACCCTGACTTAATGTCTTTCCATCCTGCTGCTGCTTGCCCTTTTTTCCTCGTCTCTTTTCCGTCTCTCTCCACATCCCACCTCGCCTGCTCAAGCCACTTACACCAGATGCAGCGTCCATACCCCCGATCGAATCACTCCCGAACGGCCACCGCGAGAGCTTTGCGACGACAAAGCATACAGTCACGAAGAACCCGACCCCTCGGCACCAGTTTCGCTGTTGACGTTGGAGACCGGACGGGATTTTGAGAACTGGTGCATGCCTGTTGGCGGTCACAACCAGCACACCATCGAGCCGGCCGCCAATATCATGAATGGTTCACCCTGCTTCAACCCTGTTGATGCAGAGCAGTATAGTGGTACGCCCCGCACTTCCCTCGTGCTGCTGGACAAAGCATCTGATAGAATCGAAGACATCGCCCTCGAATCCCATAACGCCTGGAACCAACCTGCCAATGGCACAGCTGATCTCTCATGGGGACCGCTCATGGCTGATATAACCTCATCTACATCTCTCACGCATGATCTTGAGGCGGGGGACGAAGCTCATTCCGACGGCCCTTTTACGTGTGAGGTGTGTGGGAAACAGTACGCCCGCCACTGTGACAAAAACAAGCATTTCAAAACCCACAGTCGCCCCTTCAAGTGTTCCATCGTGCACTGCAAGTATCATGAATTTGGGTGGCCCACGGAGAAGGAGCTAGAGCGACACTACAACGACAAGCACGCTTCATCGCCCCAAACCTATTCATGCCTCTTTCAGCCGTGCTCCTACCGATCGAAGAGACAGTCCAACTGCAAGCAGCATATGGAAAAGGCCCATGGCTGGACTTATGTGCGCTCTCGTGCTTCCAATCGTGAGGGCCATTCAGGCGGACGGGGCACGGTCGACAGTGACATCGCCGATGAACCTCAGTATCCAAGTGTTTCAGTAACAGGGCCATCTGAGCTCCAGCCTGCCCCGGATTTCATCCTGTATCCAGACCGTCCAGATTTCGGTAGCGGTGACGAGGACATCTTTCTCGGCTTCGAGCACGCAGGCACCCAGGGTTCGCAATCTTTCATCCCCTGGACATCTCCCATGACGAGGCTGCGCAGAAATGAAACTTTCCTGCAGAAATTCTCACAGACCTACAAGACCGAATCACTTTCCCCGGAGCACGCTCTTCTAGACGACTTCCCCGTTGATCCGAGTCTTACAAACAACTTACCCGGTAGAACAGCTGCTCTGGGCCAAGAGACGGCGATAAAAACATTGACACCTATGGAGGCTGCGAGACGACGGTCACAAGGACAGCAGAACGTGAACGCGGGAATCCAAGACTCTATTACCGTTCAATACCAAGCGCCAAATGTCAAAGTTGAAAACCCATCACCACAGGCAGGCGCCACAACTTCCCAGAGAGCCAATCCCGCAAATCAACAATCAGCTTCCAGACACTCCAAAGTGATGACTCGTTCTGGAAAGTCCTTCCAAACCCCGGCTTCAGACGACGAGGACGATCAGGATGAAGAGGATCGACCTCCTAGGAAACGTGTTAAGCGGTCGCCGGAAGTCGACCTTGATGACACTCAGATGCCGTGTCCCTTCAGGCTTGCCCATCCAGAAATCTACAACAGAGACCTCTCAGAGAAGTACTCGAGTTGTCATACGAAACACGAAAACATTTCAACCATTGTGTAAGTGGCCCTCTTGCCTCTCGAATTCTTGCGCTGGGCTAATGTGCTGTTCAGGCGTCATTTTGGACGAGCCGCCCACCGACTCCAGGTCGACGACAGATCCATTTCCTCCTTCGATATGGAAGATCCTCAATTTAGGCATCCAGCTGCAGGACTCTGCAAGAAATGCTGGCGGCCTTTCACAGACCGTGATGCCTTCAACAACCATCTGCAGCAGGCATGCGCAAATGCTTCACGTAGCAAGAGGGAGAAGTACAAGCTCTTGCAAGATACGTTCTGCCCTTTGGTCGACAATGGCGAGAGAAGCCTAAGTTCTCCTGATCCGACGCCTCTTATTGGCACTGGCCCCATATTCAGCAATGTGACAGCTCCAAGGCGCAGTATAGCAGAATCGAACGCCGACATGTCAGAGATAATCTCTGTGGCGGGAGATCTGCCACTTGCGGCACCTGCACCTGCAACGGCGATTGACGACGAGGAGATGGTAAAGATGAGTGACCATGTCGCTTTACGTAACAGAGTTGATGCTCTAGAGGAGTCAAACAAAGAACTCGTTTTGTCAAATAAAAAGCTTGTTGCATTCGCGAGCTATATAATGGCCCAGCGGAGACAAGGACCCTCTGCAGCTGGGAGCTCATCTACTCCCTCTCGGCCTGCTGGTCACCAGACTGGACAGCCGATGACACACCAACAATCTGCGCCATCCACAGGCCCAGCATCTATGATTCCTCCCAGCACCACACACCAGCCCGCCACAGGGCAGTCGCGAGACAAGGAAGGCCTGCTGGGCGGGATGAACTCACAGTCCACCGACTGTGATGATGAGCAGGACTTTGACGAGGACGCACAACATATACTCTCGACGATGCCTTCAGTCGCCGGCTCAGAACACTCGACCCTTCGCCATGTGCCACTGACCCCCTCGGCTCGTTTCCATCGAAACTTCACTGATGAGCTCGAGTCGCTGCCGGCCACAGAGGCGCAGAACATCCACAATAACAACAGTAACAACAACACCGCCCAATCCAGGGGCCACAGGCCAAAGACATCCCTGACGGACTCTGGATACGGGAGCTACAACCAGCGCCACCTTATGGTCGCCGCCGCCCAGGAGGGCCATCCTGTGCCCATCCAGGCGCAGGCGCCCCAGATGGACATCACGCAGGAGCATCACTACTGGCCGCAGTACCAGCCCGGCGAGGCCGCCGCGGTCGACTTCAGCCCGCTGACGGACGAGGAAGGGCTGGAAATGATTTCGAACATGGACTAGTGAGATATGTATACAGGACGACATATGACAAAACATACGAAACGAAAAGGGGGGGGGTAAATATGGCGGGCTATATACCATTTTTCAGGGAGCGAGGGTCAGATGATCCCATTGGTTCACCTTTACTTACATACGTTCCGCCGCTGGGTTATATACGGTTGGGATCACATACCGGGTTTGCGTGCGGGTTTTGGGTTTACATAGAGAAGGACGCCTCGCGGCTCGATATAGACTCTAGAGGATAGGGAGCGGAGTTCTATATGCTTTGATAAGATTCCCGGTATATACCACAGTCTTTTTCTCTTCCAATATTCCGAGAGCGTTTTATACTTTGCTTGTAAATATAAACTATGACCAGGCAGTGCCGACATCCCAGAGGGGTGCTTGATAAATTAGAGTTATATTTTTACACTGAAATGCCTGCTATGCTCTTTTACTAGATATATGCATCCTCTATGCCGAGCGACTCGATGTTCTCGGGGGGAGGAGAAATGAGGTCGCCAACAGGTTTCAAGTCTCTCCCACACAACAAACCAGAACTCCTTGCCATGATCCAGTGCCGAAATTCTCATTCTCGGTTCTCAGTTCTCCTTCGTCGAATCTAGCATCGCAACACTCTCCGCCGCGTCGGCAAACTCCTCGTCATCAGCGACGGCCTCCTCCTTGTGATCGGCCTCATCGGCCGTGGTGTCCTCGTCCGTGCCAGTGACGCTGCTCGCCGTGCCGGGGCGGCGCAGCAGGTGCCGCAGGTCGTCCTCGCTGATGATGCTCTCAATGCTGCCGCGCCTCGCAAACGGCCGCGTCTCCCGCCGGCCCCGCTCGACGAGCCGCTCGATCTTCAGCCGGTTCGCGATGAACTTGACCGTCGGGAACGCGCTCTGCTGGCCCTCGTGGATCATGCGCGCCAGGCGGCCCGAGTCCGGATCGGCGAGGATGTGGACGAAGTCGGACGGGATCGACTTGGGCCAGATGGTGATGCTGCCGCCGAAGCCTTGCTGCAGCCATATCTGAGACCAGTCCTGGCCCAGGGGCCGGGGTAATAGTTCTAATTGCTTTAGTATCTTGAGCCACTTGGTAAGGTCTAGTTTGATGTATTGCTCGGTTGCGCTTCCAAGGAAGCCGCCGCGCCATCCGCGGCCCTTGCGATGGGTGACCGGCTGGCCAACTCTTCCGCGAGAAGAGAAGAAGAACAGGTTGATATGCGGGTTGACCTGGCTGACGATGGTGAAGTTGACGTTGAAATGCAAGTTCAGCGCTTTGATAGGAATATCTGTCCGTAAACTGCCATCCTTCCATTTGTGACCGAACGAGTAAGGAACGAGATTGCCGTCGCGAGTCTTCATCATAAGCACCACAGGATTCAGAATCCCAGGGACTGCCGCGGATGCCAGGACAGCCGACCAGATGACACAGTCCGGACTTGTGAGATAGTTGCAGAGTATAGTAGGCGAATGTGGATCTGCTGGTACGCAAGAGACATTCAGAATGCGACCTGTACGCTCAAATGCCTCCCTAAAAGTCATTGAGCCGTGCGTCCACCACGAGCACTGCTTCGCCCAGTCAACTGAGTCGAATCTAGCACCAGTCTTCCACCAACGTCGAAACCAGACGGTGAATGGCTCCGAACATGCTGTGATCTTATGTGCTAATGCAGGCACGAGGAGCTCTTTCAGTTCCTCGTTCGTGCGAGTGGCAATTAAGCCTGCCACAAGGGCGCCGCCACTGGTGCCGGTGATGACATCTGGCAGGAGATCTTCCTCTAGTAATGCTTTTACCACGCCAAAGTGGTAATAAGCGAAAGACGCGCCTCCGGAAAGACACAAGGCTGTACGGCCATAGTTTTGATGCATACTCTTGAATATAACTCGCTTCTCGTCGAGCCGGAGCTGCTTGGTGTCTAGGACAAACCTCAAACTCTTTTCCACTATAGTGTGTTAGCACACCTTCCATGGAAATATGAATGCGAACATACCTTCATCGACAAAGTTCTGCACCAGGTTCTTTGTACCATAGTATGTCTGGCTATATAGCCGCGGGTTCTCGACACCAACAAAGTTGTTCTTGACGCAAGCAACAAGCAGAGACTTGAGATCTTCCACAGCCGACCGGTCATCGCGATTCGCCTGGTCTTCATTGCTTGCCTCGAGGTAGTTCGCTCTGCCGTCTAGCTTGGACTCGACATCTTCGGCCTTCGCCCTGTATTTTCGCATCTGGTCCCATACCCTCCTCACAGTCTTGTGATCATAATATGCGAATTCGTTCTCCTCTTTCCACGCCTGGTTTCCCAGGTAATCATCGAGCTGCTTGGCAGCCGTCCTCCAGTCTTTGTAGTTCGCAGTAGCTCTCATGTTCCGCCGCAGCTGCTCTCGTCGGCCCCTCCAGGTGACAAACTGCTCGTAGAACGATATGTACGTTCGCGTGAACACGTAAGTGACGGCCAGCCCGATGATCCAGCCGCCCACGAACAGCAGGAACGGCCACTTGAGCAGGCCGTAGAGGTAGCCCTCGCGCGTCTCGTCCTTGGTGCGACGGCCGAGGACGTTGCCGGCCGCGCGCCGCCCCTTCCTCCTCGAGCGGCGGTTGCCCGGCCGCACGACCTTCTGGTTCACGGGCGCCCAGTCGTTCTGCGCCGTGATGAAGAGGCTGTCGCGCGACTGGTGGGCCGCGCCGTTCGGGCCAACCGAGCCGTTCGGCGTGGAGGCGGAGGTGTCGGCGCTCTGCGGGTCTTCCTCGAGGACGCTGGACGCGCGCTTGGTCACGTCCCAGCTGCTGGTGGTCTGCAGGCCGGGGCTCGATATTCTGACCGTCGATGCATCCTCCGAGGGCTGGATCGGGTCGGGGGCGCTCAGGGCTTGGATGAAGGCATCGAGCTCCTGCGGTGTGAGAAACTCATGGTCGTAGTCGGGGAGATTTTCTGGATCAAAGGAGCTAGGCGGGAAGCCGTACTTCTTGTCCGGCAACCGGTATGAAGACGTCTTAGCCATGTCTGCGGGCTGTGTTGTGGCAGTCGAAGAGCATGTTGAGATGCAAGCAGATGTTCAGGGAGGTGAGATGACAACTGAAATCTAGGTGTAAGTGGTTCCTATCTATTCAGCGATTTCTCACGATTCAACCTTAAGGAGCGGCAGCCGGCTGCGTGTGTGGCATGTGTGCAGGCAGTTGCCTCGTGACGGAAAGGCTTCGAAGGTTCGTGGGTGACAATAGGTGAGATGCACTAGTGGTGGCATGACGTACAGAGGGGCGTCCCCAGGTAATATGCATACATTTGTTGGGGCGGAAGCGACCGTCGCTGGGCCATGGTCTATACCTGACTGAGCCTGCTAAGACTCGCCTGTGAATGAGCTTGCACCGTTGCCGAGGCATCGTTCAAGGCATTCTCCCTACAATCCAGCCCCGAAGCGGCTGGAAGTGTGAGCCTGTACATTGACAGAAGATGCTTGGTTCGGCCAGAATAGTGTTGCTCAGATTGAAGTATCAATTCTTGGGTTGCAGCAGGGTGCCATCTTCATGGCTGTAGACACAATATCTCACGATTTACAGTCTAATATGCTCCGTCCGTCCTGTGCACATCAAATCGGTCCATCGAGCCTCGCGCACTTATTATAAAAAGAAGGTCGTAGCAGTAAACATCGTCAGATTAACGCAGAAACGCCTTGTGGCCGGTGGTTCTCGTAAGCCATTTAGGTAGTAAAGCAACTCATGTCTTTCCCCTAATCGCCTTCTTCGCACGCCGTCCAATGGATGGGCCTGAGCTAGCCCTCTTCCTCCCCTCATTTCGAATATCTCAAACGCCCCTAGACGTACTGCGACATCCATCTGATGCCCTCGCCGTAACCTGTGAAGTGTCAGATTATAGGTCTCATCACGTAAGACTTATACTGGACATTGATCATACCTTGTCTCATGACGACCGAGCACATGAATACCTCAATGGGGCGGATACCCTCCAGAGGCACCTTGCCCTTTCCTGTCGTCTGGTACATGCCGAGCTGGTGTCGGAGCTCGTCCTCGGAAACGGCGTCGGGGTGGTCAATCTTGTTTCCAAGGACGACGAAGGGGACCTTGGCAAGCTCCTCCATGGATAGGAGGGCGTCAAGCTCGGCCTTGGCCTCAGGGAATCGCTCGTGGTCCTTGGCGTCGACGAGGAAGACGATGCCATTCACCTCGGGGAAGTAATCCCTCCACAGACGGCGGGCTAGTTTGTTGTATCGTTAGTTGGCTGTGTCTTGTTCCTCGTCTTCCCGCAAGTTTCTCGACCGGGGAGAACAGATAAATCGTACCTTGTTGATGTCCACCCAGATCGAAGGTAGTAAACCTGACATTGCCAATAGCAAGTTCCTCGGAGGCTATGACGACTTAGTATTTGGACACGTGCACCGTATGGTTCGAACAGGGCCATGGTGAAGCTCACTGGGATGTAGCGTAGGTTGCAGGATGGCAACTCGGTCATTCTAACCAAGAAGAAGCGTTAGCATGTATTATCGCCCGTCAGAACCGTCCAATATCGAGATCGCCCGGCATGCCACGCGCGCGCATGAATAGACCGCATCGGATGCCAGACACCAGGCCGTAACGCACCTTCAACATGTGCAGCAGAGTCGTCTTTCCGGCATTGTCAAGCCCCAGGAACAAGAGCTTGGCATGCTTGTTCAGCAGGCCGAGAGATGAAAGGACATCGTAGACTAGTTGGACAGATAGGGTCAGCATCCATCCGCCCTGTGGTCTCCCGTGGAGGTCAGGCAGAACATACACCAGTTGATAATCCACATTTTGGCGAAAGGTGAGTAATTGCGCTACACTAGGACGTGGGTTTGTAATGACGAGTGCTGTATAGGGAATTTGTTGGTCTTCCGGTGTGCTGTTCTTGTCGTGAGGAAGCAACTGATCGGCAGCATACAAAAAGCTGGCAAGAAGCGCGAGGCGGGCGTAGGCCGTTCTTTAAAGCGCCAGGGAAATCACATGACGCGCCAGCCTCCGATTGCTACATGTGGCACGACCAGCAAATCCAGCGAAGATTCCTACTGCAATTCGTGTGAGAACCTAAGTCAGAATCATCACGAGAACTCAAATCTAGTTACTTCTCGCATTGAGTCACATCATGGCAGATTGACAATGGCGTTTTGGCGTCCTGTAATTGTTGAACCCGTGGCACCAACTTAAAAGACACCGTACACTTTGCCACTCACGACCGTCCGCATTGACATGTCAACACAGATAATTGTAAACCTCGAGATGTGTTCAATGACTTGCTCGAGGCAAGTGTCTCAATTTGTAGAGCGTCCTGTGATGCCCATATAATGCTATCGTGACCTGTTGTAAATGCCCAACTCAAAACGCTTTGCCTCCGGGTATTCCCTAACTTGAAAGCGGAACGAGTGCAAAGACCGCAATCCTCTCCCAAAATGAAGTGATAGATGCAGTCCACCCACACCAAAGAAAAGAATGTATATACACAGAGACTCTCTGCAGCCAAAAAAAAAAAGAGAAAAGAGGGCTGCTGCTGAACTCCGTCAACATAGATACAAAAGAACAAAGAACAGGTGTCATAATATGCCGTGGTCGTCAACATGCCAGGCTTAGAGAACCGCCCTATGTACCGTGGATTCTCTCTTCCTGGAGATCCTAATGCTTGCCATACATCCTTAAACCGAAAGGACATAGTTACCGGGGCCAATCTTGCCAGCCATGAGTAGACCCAATTCTCTCATACGCTCGGCACCTTGGCCAGGCTGGTGTTTCCGCTCTGGAACCTGCCCCTTTCGAGCACGGTTGCAGTACTTCTGATAAAACTTCTCCTTCCGTCTCTGACGCTTCTGCTCAAGGCCCTTAACAATGTCAATTGCGCCTCGGACATGACGGTCTTTAGTCAATGTTCCGGCTCTGGGCCGACCCTTAGGCTTCGCGTGCCTGAATAAGGCGGGAGCCCTGGGAAGGGATTTTGTATGAGTAAGACCAGGACGAGAGGCGAGAGACTTGAATGCGATTCTGGCTCCTGCCTGTACAGGTGAGGCAGGCGGGGATGCAACCATACGAGCTGGAGCAGGAGATCGCAAACGCTTTGGTGACTGCCGCTCGAACAGACGACGAGGAGACCGACCACGGGCTTTTGGTGGAGGAGAGTGCATGCGCTTAGGAGGTGGTGAGTGATATCTCTTCGGCGGAGAGTGCTTGGCTGACTTCTTTTTCCTCCGGTCGGCGCGATCCTGTTCCTCTTCAAGGTCCTCGATTTCCCCGTGAAGCCAGATTTGATCGTCGCTATCACGGCCCGGCTTGTAGCTGGCTTCGTCCTCCTCGTCCTCGGGCTCTGAGGTGGGGAAACTAGGGTCAATGTCCTGTGGAATGACATGCAACTTCTCGCGCTTCCTCTGAGCAATGCGGTTGAGATAGGCCTCCTCCAAGGGACGATCCTCATCGAGCGTGCCGCATACGAAGTCGGTACTATCCGGTAGCTCTGGAGTTGCCGGTCGGAAACCGAGATGGCTCAGTAGTTCCCGTGGTCGGGGTCGCGATGCCCGAATGTTGTGACCAGAGCATGTTGATGAGTCAGATTGATGGCCGCCAAAAGAGGATGGCTTGTAGATAGAGGTAGCGTCAGATATTTTGATATCTGCCATATGACTGGTGGTCCACAAGACTAAACCATCGTCTTCGTCATCCGATTCCGCAAAGCCGTGTTCGTTGTCAGTGTTATAGCCATCTGAGAAGTCATCATCAGAGCCATAGCCAGAGTAATCGTCATCCAATGCTTCCTCATCCTCGTCTTCATCCTCGTCGAGCTCGACTCCATCTTCAGCATCATTGAGGTCGTCGCCATCAGCGTCCTCCTCTTCTTCGTCTTCTTCTTCAGCTTCTTCCTCTTCTTGTTCGGCTTCCTCTTCGGCTTCCTTTGCTAGACGTCGAATAGCATTTTCCATCTGAAGAGTATCCTCGATCGTCAGTTTCCTTCTCGTGACAGACGCCTCTTGCCGAATCCAGTCATCCTCCTGTGGCACGTCGCTTGCGAACTCGTGGAACCGGCATAGCTCGCCCTGCAGATCACCAAAATCGGCAGTAATGTACTTCTTCGTACGCACAGCGATGGGACTCTGAGACGAGCGACGCGGGGTAGTTGATCGATTGGGGCGAGACAAGCCAGTTGAGGGGGACCGGATTTTCCGAGCAGTCGATGGAGACCCAGTTTTCTCGGGAACTGTCAACCCACCTGATCCAACGTTCTGAGGCTTGGCCTCCTGACGCTTCGGTGGACTGCTTGGCGTTGCCGGACGTGCCGTACAGGCGAATTTGATGGTGGGTCGCTTCGGCTTTTCTTGAGCGGGCTTGGGTGTATCTTGCTGCTTTGGTGCTGGTGGTGGGACGACCGCCGGTCGAGCTACAGGCTTCGCTCCACATGCAAATGAGATACACCTCTTCTTTTCTAGTGCCTGAACAGCGGGATCTTTGGGAACACCGCCAACTGCCGATTGCTGCTTGTTTGGGGCAACTGGGTGGTCGTTCCTCTTTGGTAGAGAACCGACAATGTGGATGTGTCTGTCGGTCGGGGTCTTTTCGGAAGAGATAGGAACGAAACCAATCTGCGAGAGACGGGGACTGGGAGAAATGGTTCGTGCTGGGGTTGTAATACCAGTATCGCAAGTCAGCTCGGCTGTCGATGCTAGACTGACGTTGCTGGTCATGGATCGCCGCCGACCGGACTCGCTCAAGATAGAGCGCGGGTCGACAGAATCGTCCTCGGAGTGGCTGTGAAGAGCCTTGGTCAAGAGAGACTCATGGTGCTCTTTTGAAGGACGGATTGTTGCTCTCTTGAATTGCGGTGACTCAGGTGAAATGAGTAATTGTGAATCTGGAGGCTCGTCTGCGTCGCTGCTTGCCTCCTCCTCGGCATTGAACTCAACGTTCGCGCCGTTTGCGCTCCACGCCAACACGTTTGACGTGGCGTTTTCGTGTGTGAAATGTCTCGACATGGTGATAGTTGCTTCAGGAGGTGATTGAAAAGAGGCTTGTGTTGTACGTTGTCGGGCGTGTTATGGAATTGAGGTAGTCGGAATGAGTCGTTCAGAGACGCGTGAACTAACAGTGCGAGGACTGCAGTAGAGGAGACAGTTGCTCGAAAGTAAAGAGAGCACACGTCAAGTCGTGGAAAGGAAGTCTACACCAGGTGCAGTCTGCCCCTCAATAGTTGTGAATGGGGGAAAGGTTGTACTGGTGTCCCTCAGGACCGTGTTGCTATAACCGGGAAATCATCGTCGAGTGCGCAAAGTGTTTAGGAGAAAGTTTGAGGTGGTGAGGAGTTGCGCGATTGAGGATGATGTTGTGACCAAGACCCGAGATCCTGAAGAGGCAACCTCAAAATGAATCTCGAGGTCCTGGTGCGGCTGGCGAACGCGGTGGCTCAACGAGGCGAGGGGGACTTGGCTGGTCCGAAAGCGTATAGAATGACGTCTGGGTGGCAGTGCTGGGATGAGTCGGCCGGCCTTTTAAGGAAAACCCACCCAACGTCGACAAACGTCAAGACAGAATCAAGCTGCCGTTGTTGTTTGTGTGAAGGAGCCAATTCAGGGCAGCAGGGGAGGAATGGCGAATATGATGAAAGAGGGCCTTAGAAGGGTTCTTAAGGGTCCGATATCAGGATTTGGGATGATTGGGGGGGAGAGGAAGGGCAGAGGGGGGGGAAGGGAGAGAGAGTAGGGAAGGGCACGGGCATGCAGAGAGGCGGGCCCTGGGTGTGTTGAAAAGGCAGGCCGAGTGGGCGAAAAAGAGCCGTTGGATTGACAGGGCAAGGAGCAAAAGCGGAGGGGGTTTGTAATAAACAGAGGGTGGCTCGGTGGGCGGTGCGGCAGGCGGTGGGCACCACTGACTGCAAACTCACCAGTCATCTGTAGCTGTCCTGCATAGTAGATAGTAGGTAGGTACCATCCGGGCAGAGCAGGCACTGGCAGGTACTTCAGGAACAATACAAGCCGCCGACAAGTCTGTCAGGTGCAAGTGTAGGTACTCTAGAGCGGCCTGCCGCCGGTTTGCTCTTCATTTTCAGTTACTGCGTTCAGCAGAGTATTGGTGTGGAGCCCGCTAGCCCGTCCACCCATCATAATAAGTCGTCCGTCTACGGTACGCTACGGTACGCTACGGTTTTCTTGTGTTTGGCGCTGCCTGCATGCTACGTAACTGGAGATCCCTCGGGTCTCGTGGAGATTCGGGGCTTCTTTTCCACTGGAGCGCTCCAATTGGTGGTGAGTGGGGGCGCCCATGGCCCTGTACCAGCGCCTGCCTTAGCCTTTCCAACAACTTTTTTCTTTCTTTGCGGTGCGCGACTTGCGATGGCGAAATTCGAGAGTCCACCTCCCACCAGCCGCCAAACAACGGAGAGCAAACTGTGGATCCCCACCGTACATCGCCGTCCGCACACTATTGAGAGTTGAAGGTATCTGGATTGGCACCGTTTCCCATTGGCAGGCTGGCTGACTGGAAGCCGAGGCGTAGCAGTCTCTACAGTCTCACCCGGCAGCCGCACATCCGCCGCACACCGCTGCCCAGGTGTGTCTGCTCCATTCTGGATTCTGGTTATCTCGGCTCAGGGTAGACTCCATCAATGCTCAACCATGCACGTAGACGTCAGTCTCAATCATGCAGCATTCTTTGAGCTTCGCTTTAGGTGTTTCTCCAGGATGTGCGATCCCGGTCTTCGACGGTGGTGAAGCTAGCTAAAAGAACCGTATCGGAGCGGTGGAGAATACCAGGGGAGCCGAACGGTAGGTACCGTTGGTAGGTAGGTAATTTTAAAAGGCTTTCGCCAGCAAATTTTAGGCCTCCTGCCCACAAATTTTTTTTATCCCTCATTGTCCACAGCGGTCAGTCACCGCTAAGTGCTCTGTTTCCCCCTGCGGATATCGGCCCCAACACACTAAACTTAGAGGTCTTCCGGGCGCTAGGACCAGCTTGGTGGGCATTGAATTGGGATGGGCGAAAAACGGACTGGTCAGAAATCGAAACATTTCAGAGAGGCAATCCAATCAGAGCCCCTGGCATTTGTTGGTGACCGACCTGGGGATTCGCTTCATTTCGCAAGCCTCGTTGAGCAAGGAGGCTCCGTACCGTTACGAGATGAAGGGCTCGGGAAGAAGCGGTCAGTTTGATCCAACGTGTTTACGCTCCAAGCCCGGGCCATCATCATCGGATCCCTTTGTCCTAGTACCTGGCGTTTTCGTTGAATTGACAGTGGCCTCTGGGTCGCGCTAGGATGCGTGTCGAAATGCAGGCTTACAGATCATATCGTGATTCATGCCTCGTGGTGCTGTGATCTCCCAGGTGTGGGTGTGCTCGGGAGAGCCAAGCGGCTTGAATGTAGGTGAACCTGAAGAGTCAGTCCGGCATTCACTCAGTCAAGCAACCCGCGTGTCGGATACGGAAGAGCCGTCTGACATCTGTGTCTCCCACGCTGAATAAGAGAAACACGGCCGCCCGCAGCATCTTTCCGTTCCTTTCGCCTCAAGACGTACTACAGTAACTACACTATGATATACGAGCCTGGACAACTACTTTAGCTATCGTAAGCCCTGCTGCATTCCAGAAGAATGGAAGGTCATGTAGCACTCGGTAACATGCGGTTGATGACAATGGCTGCCCGGCCACAAGCAATAAATCTGGTCAGCTCAGTGAAATAATTCGTGTGGCTGACTCGTGTTGCGCCGGAGGCTTGCATGTACCGTATTCTCAGTATCCCGGCTTTTTCCTCTGCCCGGCGTACGGACCACAGGAACGAAAGTAGTAGAAAGTCTGACACAAGGGAATATCGTCAACAAAGCCAATTTGCTCCTCCCTGGCTTCTTACGACGCATGCAGCTTTGTTAATAACACCAGTCTCGGTTCAAAGGACCCAATGAAGTTTTTTTCTTTCTTTTACGTTTCCTGGGTTATCTGGGTCGTTCCAGACCACAGCTGAATAGTCCAGCTGTGATGTCAAGCAAGATTCCAGCCATTTGGTGCCTCTCGTGGATCATAATAAAGGTTCCATAGACTAATGTCAATTGGGACAATCTCAGGACAAAGAGACTCTCCTGCCGATGACCATAACCTCACAATACCTTTCCCTGGTTGTCAGCAAAAGTCCAGACCTCTGAAGATGGTCTCGGCACCGTAAGCTTCATCTTCACCGTTTTTTCGCAAGAGACACCTGGCTGGAACAGGGTGACCCTACTGTGTGTGAGAATTGGCCAGCGTGACCCCCCTTTTGCAAAGATGTGGCCGCGACGTTGGCCGCCAACCTCATCTTGTTCAATCCAATAGACACATTGTATCCAGTTCCTCAAGTATGCGAGCCAGGGCGGCGAAGAGAGGCCGCGAGACAGACCGTGCCCTTAGTGTTAATGATACGTCGACAGCGCTACGGCAGTAAACCCCACGTTATAGGGATTACTCGAAACGAAACCCCGCATTGTTTTCCTGGCAGGCGTGTACATTCCCTGCGAACGAGACGGCAAAACATAACCTAACTCCTGGACTCCTCACGCGGCATCTGCGCGTAGACGAAATTGGCAAGCCGATCGAAGCACAAGCTCCCTCATGGCGAACGCCCCCGGTATCATGCAAGACCCTTTAGATCGCTTTAGGTCTCGCTGTACCAGTGATCAAGGGCCAGCTATTCTTGGAACCTGAGACGAATCCTCGACTTACACAGCAGAAGTAGGGACACGCACAACATAGGTACCCACTTCACGGGCGGTGAAGGTGCTTTAACCGTCACTACCAACTTGAGCTACCCTAATATAGCTACCTAGGTAGTAAACAGCTAATTTCCTGGCAAGGGCAAGTGAAAGGCATTTGCTGGAAGCAAGCTCCCGGAAGACCTTAAGAAGCTTGTAATCTGTCCAAGCATAATGAGGTCTACATCTCCTGATGCAGATGGATAGTCAGATGACGCCTGTCACCTTTGCGGGCAAAGCCACATCGCGTCCCTGTGTGCTTGAGTCTGCTAAGGTATGGTTTTTGACGCCCTATCATCTGAACAATATTACATCTTGGTAAGGTCAGCAGCATGTATTCCGTATACATGACCGTAAGGTAGCCGTTAGGTCTTTGCAATGCTCTTTGAAACGCCAAGCATGTTTGCCGCGATTTTTGTAGACGCCCGAGATAACAGCGCTCCCATCACTGGATGGTCATATCTCGGTCCTAGTCTCTAACTTAGCTGCATCAAACGTCCTTGTTTCAGGCGACTTTGGATGTCAACACAGGATTGACTGTAGATCAGTTGGAGAAGCGTGTCTTCTGATATGTTGATCAGGGGAGTGATCACCGTTGACACGTCTACCGCCGCTGGGTTAGGCGGGGAATTGTCTCTCCAACAGCGCTTCTTGGTGCCGGAATCAAAACCACTCGATCACAGTGGTTGCACAAGTCAGATTGAGATTGGCGACGGCGTACAGAAGGACCCTTCCATTAGCGTTGAATGAGTGTCGTTGCATTATTCACATGTGAGCGAGCGCAGCGATCTCATCATCTACCGCTCGTAATATCTTGGAATTCGATATGCAGCAACGGCCTGCTGCATCTAGGCGGATGGGAAGTAAACACCGCTTCTCTCGCTATGCAGCATGTCAATCTCGGGGTCTCGGAATGAAACACGTTCCATCCTCATGTCGCTGCAAGACATCATTACGCAGGCGGCACAATGCTTTGCAGCCATCGACAACAAGAACCATGCTGCTACATTGCGTCAGATCTCGTGAGGTTGGCTGGTTGCAAGGCCAGGTTGCCAGGCGGCAATGGGAAGAGAGTCGCCGTTGTCGGACGCACACAAAACCGGTTTGTGCAATAGTACTTTGTAGGCGCAAGAGCTGCTCAATTGCATGATGTGACGGTATTGCGGGTGTTTCGGCCAAGCGGGATCCAATGATGGCCACGTGACTGAAGCCTGCTAACCTAGTGACTCGTCACGTGTATTAGTGCCTCAGGCTGCAGCGAGTTTGATGAAGAGCAATTCTCGTAGTTCATCGGTCGGCTATTCGGAGCTTTTCGTGAAGCAGAAACCTCAATTGACCAACGCAATCATCATGAACTCCCTGCGCATTGCCCGTGTGGCTCTCCGAGCTCGCCCGGCAGCTATTCGAGCTCCTCTGCAGCGGAGAGGATATGCTGAGGCTGTCTCCGACAAGGTAGGTCCTCGGCAAACACATCCGGGCGCTGTTTGAGGAAGCTTGCTAACATCGTGAACAGATCAAGCTGAGCTTGACTCTCCCCCATCAGGTACGAACCTTTTTGTCATGGCCGGACTGAGACACGAATGCGTCTCTTGGAAATCAGGGCTTGCGGGAATTATGAAGCGGGAGGAGCTGGAGCCGTGATGCTAATTGCCTCATGCAGTCGATCTACAAGTCCCAGGATGTCGTCCAGGTCAACATCCCCGCCGAGTCTGGAGAGATGGGTGTTCTTGCCAACCACGTTCCTTCGATTGAGCAGCTGAAGCCTGGTCTGATTGAGGTTGTCGAGGAGAGTGGCAGCAAGCAGTTCTTCCGTGAGTTTGGGTTCCAATCATGAGACGGTGGTGACATTAGCTGATGAACCTTTGCGCAGTGTCTGGTGGATTCGCCATTGTGCAGCCCAACTCCGTCATGAGCATCAACGCCGTTGAGGGATATCCTTTGGAGGATTTTAGCGCGGAGGCTGTGAGGGCACAGATCTCAGAGGCCCAGAAGGTTGCGAACGGAAGCGGCAGTGAGCAGGACATTGCTGAGGCAAAGATTGAGCTTGAGGTGAGCATTCTTATACAATGTCTAATTTGTATGATAACTGACAAATTCTAGGTCCTCGAGAGTCTGCAGGCTGTCCTGAAATAGAGTGTACATATCGAACAAACCCCAGTGTAGAATACCTCAAAACTTCCATTAGCGTCGGCACATCAGCATTGGCGTTGTTACCCAGACCTAGAAATTCGCTCCTTCCGCGTATGTGTCTACTATGAATACAACAAGGCTCTCTCCTTCCCTGCCTTCGTGAAGTTGAGAAGGGGCGTTGCGTGTCATGCTCTCTACCCAGATGGCTACCTTGGCCCGAAGCACTACCAACCGGTGCCAGTCACTTTGATACTTGAGAGCCCCTGGAGTGCTGACAACTTGAATGGCATCAACTATTTTCTTCGCGCATCCTAATTAATTATTCCAGTTATTTTATTTACGAACATCCTTTGATCATTGCCCTTTGCTTCGTGCTCATACCTAGGCATGAAAACAGTACTTCTAACACCTCCCAGGACGGTAGTTATCGCCTACTCCGAAACGACTTGTGCGCCAACTCTCCAACCTCTTCTGGTCAATGCCTCCTGGCGAAACGGCAGTCGAGCCGGACGGTCTAGATATCAATCCGTCGGTTTCGAGGCACCTAGCGAAGGGGTCATCAGAGAAAGGTGGCGCTCAGTCTGGAGAGGAAAGCAAGGGTCCAAGATTGCCGGCCGAGCCGGCTTCACACTCCAATACAGCTCAGGAGAGATCTCGATATCCCCAGAACAGCCCACGAGAAGAGTTGCGACGCAGGGCAATCTCTCCCCACGGTGAACGCATCGTGACCAGGGGTCAGCCCCATTACCGCCGGGATTATCCAGCTTTCCGCCCGTCTACGTCCTCGAGCCGAACCTCCCCCAAGTCACCCCTAATGGGAGCCGAAGAGTATGTTAGTAATCAATTATCGCCAAGGCAATCGTACACAAAGCCGCTTAGGCGGCATCGAGACACCCCTAGGCGCTCTCCAAAACCACCAAACCCTACGGAAGATCCAGGACAGTCCACTTACAGTAGCCGTCGAAAGGACGCACGAGAGCTCTTCAAACAACACGGTCTGTCGCCTCCCTCCGGCTAGCTGTCCGGAGACGAGCAGCATTCCCCGCAAGAGGTCAATATACCCAGTCCCAGGGGACACTGGAGAATATGTCATGTGTGTAAAGCGAGAATTCGCTCACGAACTTTCTGTGCCTCATGTGGCCATCCTCTCTGCCAAACATGTACCTGTCCTGTTCCAGACGGCGCAACGGAGATCCATCGAGAATTCCTTGCAAACCGAGGAGCACACCTAGCCATCCGAGATGGAGAGGCTTATACCAGCTATCCTGGATCACTACCGTCATCATCTTCAATCGGAAGTGCGCCGAGCATAGTCGGCCAGCGCTCGAAGAAGACAGGGTCCAAGACAACTCGGTCTCCTATTGCTGTCCAGGGCCGAGCTTCGTCTGTGAGAGACAATCCCTTCGTGATCGCAGACCGAATCACAAAAGCCCATACCGCAGCAGCGCAAGCCACACCAGTCTCGGTGATAGCGAACAGAAAGCTGTCCGAATATGTCCCACATCATGCGGACTACACGTGGCAACCTGAAGTCTCATCAGAAAGTGAATGCAATGACCCGACTTGCCGCGCTACTCATGAAGGGTATCGTCCCTACCGGCACAGCGTTGGATGCATTGCATATAAGGAAGCTCACGGTAAGCGACCGTCAGAGTTTACAGAGCATATGTCTCCCAATGCAGGTGAAGCAGCTCATCATCTCCAGTGCCCTAATACTCTGGAATCGACTCCAAATATGAGCGATCAACAGAGCGAGGCATCGTACAGTACACAGCATGTGAAAGATCACCTGGCCGCTGCCGCTCGATGGCATGCTGCCCATGACAAACACACACCTCACCACGACTTCACGCCAGATTCAGATGTGTTGGATGAGCATGGGGCCGTCGAGTTACCAGAAGGCCAGCCACATTCGCTTCCCGGACCGCCTGAGAACCCGAACGAAACGAAGCAGCTACATGGGGAAGATACAACACGTGCAGAAATGTCAAGGAAATTGTCACCTGTTCCTGCGGACAGCGCTGCAGGCTTGGATGGAAAGACCACGCCTCCCTTTAGACCTCAAAGCAAAGTTGATGCCCCTCATAGCAGGCAAAATGGTCCAAGACTCATCCGAGCGAGAAGTCCTACATCTTGGTTGAGAAAGCCAGAAACAAGCATAGGCGACCGCGGAAGACTTCATGCTCACAACGAGAAAGGCTCGAATTTTTTATCTCGACGTATCGGCCAAAGTGAAGAGCGCCTAGATTTCACTGCCCTCCGGTCGAGACTCAAACACCACGATCGGAACAAGCCAGCCACTCGACCAGGGCCTTATGTCACAGATCCACAGAGAATGTCGTCAAATACGGCATGCCAACAGCAAGAGAAAACCCCGAGCGATCGAATTCCCGATCAAGTTTCGGAGGAGTCACCGACATCTCACACACAGCAAACTGAGAACTCCTCATACTCTAAAGTGATCATAGTAGCCCCGGAACCTCAAAGGTACCAAATCTACTATGCATTATCAGCAAGTCTAGAGAGCTCATCTGAAGTCACGGACAACGAAGAGTTCTCGGATTCGAGAGAAGATGAGTTCAGCTCTTCAAATTCGTCGAGGCGCCGGTCAAGTCATCAACAAAACCAACGTTTGGGAGGCAGACCAACCGAGGAAGACACACAAAGGGGCGAGTCTTCCTCAGGAGAGGTCCTTTTGAACTCGGCGTCAAGGTCGAGCAGATTACACTTGAACATTAGTGTTCCTATAGAGAGCCGCCCGTTGACCTCCTGAGCTGTAACCGACACTTCAGCGTGGATGTAGTCATATATTGGGCACCAGAAACTGCAGACATGTTGAACAACACGCGTGGGAAACAGCAAAGAATGACGGATACACAGTCTGGCCGGCTGTAGGAGTGACTGTGACTGCTGCCCAGTTGCGCGTTTAGAGTCTCTGGGAAACTGCAGATCACCAGATTGTATTACCTAAAACAATGAACAAATGCTTGAAGCGAGCAATACTTGAATACTCTGTCCATGTGGTGCGATCTTGATATGGCTTTTTCGAAACTGACACAGTGGCTAGCCAAATGTATCTTCCGATGAGACTGACGATGGGAGTCCTTGACACTCCCTGGCTACACAGACTGGCATAATAGGTTGAGCAAATATAAGGGGAGTTACAGTGAAATCATGGGAATGGAGGTTGCAGCGCAACAATCTCAGTGACTTGATCAAGTGTTAAGGTTTCTTCCAGATGTTTAGTCAACGCCTTGCTAAATGGCACTTGACAATTCAATATTCTACTAAGATATGTCCAATCTGCATACTAACATGCCATCGTGATAAGAAAGTATACTACCGGTACTCACAGGACCCATCAAGTTGTTTTGAGACATGGCAGTTTGAACTAAGGGAGGCATGGGTCGAATCTTGGGAGAGATCGGGATACTGTCGTCATATTGCAGGTGCTATCGATAAGGGGCATGCCAGCGAAGGTGCTGCGACAACGACCCCTGTAGCGCTGGAAAGCGGAAGCAAGGGAGCAACGCACGGGGGCAAAAGCACTAGCCACAGATTGTGATGTACCTTACTTTGGTTTAGGACCATTAGATGGATTATTAGAGACGGGCGAGAGGACAGAACGTTTTTTTCCAGGTCGCCTGAAGATGACTCGACTCACAGGACTGGACGGAATCTGGATCGCCTATTTACAAATGACAGAACTCAGGGGCTACTTCTTAGGCTTGCCGGGCGTTCTCCACGTCCAGAATCCGCATTACCATTGGCTCTGAGGACTGATACGAAGTTTGCAAGCCCAATACAGACTGCTGCCTACGTCAATGGGCCTGCTAGAGTGGCTCAATTCGCAATGCAGTCCAATCGACCCGGTGGGACTCATGAGCGTGGGCACGCTGGACCACCTGTAGATTGGGGCGTACAGCTTGCCACAACCAGGGGTGCTCATCTGTCTCACAGGACGGAATGTAATGGCTGAGACCCCGATCCTGGGGTCGTGGAAGGCGAGCTGGGAGGAACAGTCGGCAAGTCTCCGAGTTTTCTTCAGATATGCCTGATCTTGCGGATCCAAACAGAGAGAGAGGGTGGTAGCAGGTGTCTTTGTCCTTTTTCCGTCCCAAGTGGTAGCACGGGTAATACACCCCAGATCGACAATACAGGCGCGGAACGGGAGCGAACGCTTCTGATGCAGCGGACGGCGGATCAAAAGGGCTCGCCTCCATACTTTCTACGACCTTTTTAGAGACGTTGCGGGTTATAGGCTAAAGAGAGAATATATCCCTTTGTGACGAGAAAGGTAGGAAGGGACACCAGCCGCTACTTCGAGGTTTGTGAGAGTCATGACAGCACTTGCAGGCAACAGTTGCAAGCCAATATTTGGATATTGAGACTATGGATTAACAGCCCGGACGGAGTGCGTAGGAAGCTTTGAGTCGTGGAGCCTCTTCTCCTTCAGACCCTGGCGTGCTGCGAGTAGGGTGCAACGCGCGCGACGGACAGGGGGCAGGGGTGTTTCGCGGAAGTGGTGTTTGAAACGCGTTCAACGAGAGAGGTGGCCTAATAATGAGTGTCAATGAGCTTGGTATACCCAACCTACGGCGGTGATCTACCGGTACTCGTGGGTAATTAGCTATTCGACGAGTCTCCTAACAACTGTAGTTGGACACAATGTTTTGACCGGGAAGCAGGCTCCAGGTGGGCGGTCCTTGTGTGACCTCGTCGCCCCCTTTTTAGAAGAAGCAAGTTTCGAGAGGCGACAGAACCGTAGCTAATGTCAGGTTACTGGACGGGCAGCCGGCAAGCCGCGCAAACGCTTACTTCTTTTTCTCTCGCCGAGCCAGAAAACCCATCTAGGCTAAGTAGGTAGGCATGGAAAACTGGCCTGAGTGCGACAATCACAATTGACTAGACTTATCTTGATACGCGTTGGGCCAGCGAGTCATCTGTTCCATGGGTTGTTAAGACCATATATAATGATAATTCATACCTGATCCATAGGATTGGATGTAAGAGTGTGCCAATATTATGTGGAGATCCCATGCAGATAAAAAGTTGTACAGTAGCTGAGAGAGACTTTCGGTTGTGGCTTGACCTTTCGCCCGGGAAGAAGCACGGTTGGTTGGTTGGTGGACTTCGATTGGGTCCGTGGCAAAAAAGAAGCGTCGACCTTACCTCGGGAGCATCGATGATATTCTATGGACTGAGTACGAGCCTCAGCGTTGGTCCGTTCATCACCTTATCCAACATGCACAAGCAACACGCTGTTGTCTGGGCTTGGTAGTACCTGACCTGGGTAGATGAGTGGCTGCCATGCTAGCTTGCTTGACATGAGTGTGACTGACCTGACTCCTGGCTACATGGCAGCGAGTGATTCACAGGGCAGTCAGTCACCCACGGGGATTTGTCATATCCAGGGAACGGGCAGAGGAAGTGTTTGCGTGAGAGGGGATGAAGTGCAGGTTAGGCACGTGCAGTGCTGTGCTGTGCTGCATTGGGCAAGTCGATAATGTTGGATCACGTCGTTGGACGAGAGGAGAGGAGAGGAGAGGAGACGGATGGCAAAGGTGATGGGGATAGAGATGGTGATTCACTCGGTGGGGATAAGCCACATACATATACGGATTTAGGAGATGAAGGAATGACGAGCCCGCAACCCACCACCACACCTTCGCCTCGTCTGCAGCACTACTATGCAGTTTGTGCTACACTAGAACAGGAAGATTATGGAGATGATGATAATGATGATGATGATGACGATGGGTGATGACTGCCTAAGTAGGTATGGGGAATGAGCCGGAGGTGCAAAATGGGTAATACTGAAAATGCAGGCTCATGTGTTTTTTTGGACTTCTTCATGTACGTCCGTCCATGAGCCCTGGACAGTGCGCACTTACATTGTATTCAAGGTCAAACAAACAGAGCTGCTGTGCAGACAAGAAAAAAGCATTCGAGATGGAAAAGATGCGTGACATTGACGCAATGTCCTGTCGACGGATGGAGACTTTTCCTGTTAGCAGCGCACAGTCACAGCAGCATCCCATCCAATCCGGTCCTTTCTTTTCCATAAAGCTGCCCCGGCCAGGTTGGGAATTGGTATGGGACTGGTAAGGCTGCCTTTGCCCAAGCAGGTTACGCCTATCTATCTCTATCTGACCGTTGGGTCCGCATCTCATCTCAGAGCAGATTCGATGGAGCTTTGTCTGACTGACGCAGAGAACAGTGCAAAGGGGAGAATGGAAGATGGAAGAGTGACTCGGGCCAGCTACCTGGGTACATGCACCAACGTTCTCATATGGTGATGGTAGAGATCTATACCGGATCCTGATAAGTCTACTATCCTCAGAAGACCATGTACAGTGATAATAAAGGGACGCACGCGTGTGTGCGCGAGCGTCAAAAGGTTGATAAATATGGTAGAGTAGGGTATTGTAGGGCCATAGTAATGGCAAGGTCAGCTAAGGTCAGTTATCCCAGGGAATTGAAATTTTAGGTGGCTAAGCGAGAATGGAACAAGAGCTGTGGTGCCCGAGCTAAAATGGGGCCTGGGACGGGACTAAGACCTGGGAGGGAGGACATTCCCGCCCCCTCCGCAACCTACCTACGGAAGAGAAGTGACCTAGCCTAAGGTAAGCTCAGTGTGCTACAACACTGGTGAGGCTGCTCATACGCACCACCGGACCACCACCTAGGTGACCTGGCCCAGGTACCTATCATACCTAACGCACTAAACACACTGGGGCGGATGGGCGCTCTCACACCCACACCCGCACCCACACACGCGCACGCAGCCCGAGCCCAGCCCAGCCCCTACCCCCAGGACCCAGCACCCAGGAGGAGCAAGCGAGAGGGCGAGAGAGAGAGAAAAAAAAAGTTCCCCTTCCCTATCTGATCACAGGCAAAATCTCCCTCTCCCCTTCCCTCCTCCAAAAATCTTCCACTTCTGTGAAGATCCTCCCTCCCCCAAGAATTTATCACCACCTTTTGAGGTTTCTCTTCGGAAGGGTTTTGTGGTAATTTTCCCCTTTGGACTTGGACTCTCTGGACGTTGATTTCAGAGACTTTCCTCTCCACTCCTCCTTTTTAATTAATTCCTACGACGACCGGTTTGCTTGGCCTGCAAATTCTCAGCGCCATCCATCCTGTCTGTCTCGGTCGGGTCGATTTTTTGCGACACATCCACTCCTTCACGCTGTCCTGCGTCAACATCTGATCAGATCTTGATCAAGGCCGCGCGCATCTCATCTCTCCATCAAAGGCCCTCCCATCGCAGATCGACGCGATATTTTTCCCGCCGTCCTGCGTCTCCTCGATCCCGCTGTTTGCGAGTCCCATCGATTTTTTCCCACAGTCGCTCTCTCTTTGTCTTGATCGCGCGGTTGAATCTGAGATTCGACCTCTGAGATTCGGAACACCCCAACCCCCGGCGACGAGAAAAATCTTTGCGACCGCCATCCAAACCAAGTAGCAACAAGGGTTAGCAAACGACGGAAAACAAAAGATCTCCCTTATGACTTCTACTGCGAGTCAGCAAACCCAAATTCCGGCGCCGAATCAACCCGCTGCTTCCACCACGTCGTATGCTTCTGCTGCCGGTGCGACGAAGAAGCCAGCCACGCCCCTGATCGCGACGGGCTCCAATCCACCCCCCGTGGTTGTGGGCTCATCCGCGCCTCAACATGGCAAGTCGTCATCCATCTCTCCCGTGGATGGCAGACCGTCCATCACACCTGCTGTACCTACCGTATCAGCCGCCCCTGCTGTCGCCCACGGCAGCTCCAACATGAACGGAAACTCTTCAGACCACAGTCGAAAGCCCTCAGTCACCATCAGCGCCAACGGCCCTAATAGCTACGCTGCAAACGGCGGCCCTGTTGGCGGAGCAAAAGCCGGCATCCAGTTTGGCTTCTCAGATTCGCCTGCCATGCAGCATAGTACCCCCCAGCCGACGACCGCGGCGCCCATCCCCATCCCTGGGAACAGCAACCCGCGCGTCCAGTCGCCTGCGCATTCTCCCTCCCCTATTCCGCAGCCTTCTGCCAGCGGCGGTAAGCCTCCGTCTACTGGACCGGACGGCGGATTCAGAATCGGTAGCTTCGGTGGCGATGGCGAGGTGAGTTATCCATAAGATTTTCTTTTTCCTCCTTTTACGCGGTCGCTCAAGGCCCGCCTATCTCCGACCATGTAAAATTAGTTATCAAAATGAACAACACTGCTAACACCGTTTTCAGCGCCACATGAGACCCGGCTCTATCTCTCAGAACGCCGGCATTGCTCTCGGTTCCCAGTCTCCGCATATGCGACATAACTCTCAGCACAGCGATATGGGAAATCATGGGAACCAGGGCCCGAACCGTGGCGGCTTTTCACAAGGCGGTCGAGGTCGAGGTTCATTCAATCCTCAGTACGGCCAGCAGATGGGCTTCCCACCCAACGGCGGCCAGTATCCTCGTGGCCCCAGTCAAGGTCGCGGTGGCATGCCTCCTCAATACGGTGGCCGCCCTGGGATGCAGCCGTATCCCAACTCTCCTCAACCAGCACGCGGCAGCCCAGCCCTCCCTCCATCTATGCCAAACCAGGGCACTCCGACTATGGCTCCTGCTATGCCCATCCCTCCCAACCACGGATTTCAGCACCAGTATCCGCCCCCTATGGGCACTGGCTATCCTCCACAAGTATTTGCCCCTCCTTTCCTTCCGCAAGATCTTTCTATCAAGTCACAGAAGAAGAAAGGCATCCGTCGCGACTTCGAGAAATCATCTCATTTGCGGCCGCTTAACTCTTCACAAAAGAACTCCATTCGTGACTTCAATAACAAGGCACCTCGACGCTTGAGTAAGCGTTGGGAGCCTATGGCGGAGTCTGATCCACGATCCGGCGGGACTTGTCCTCCCGAGTCTCTGGATAAGCCTCCTCTGCCACTGCCCCCTGTTTCTGCGATTTCTTCTCTCAAGATGTCAACCGTTGTCGACCTATCGCCGGCAAGCGGTAATTTTGATCGCTTACTAACAGCACAAAAACAGAACTATGGAGCATACCCCCAGATGGACCACATGGGTCGCCCTCTGAGCATGGGTTATCCTACCTACCCTCCTCAGATGCACTACATGAACGCACCGCCCCAGTCACCATCTCCTGCTGGTTTCGCAAACCCCTACGTACCTAACCAATACGCACCGCCCCCTCAGGCTCAGCCTATGTCCCGCAACTCCTCTCAGATCTCGGAGCGTCCCGCTTCGAGCACTGGACAGAGCCAGCCCGTGATTGCTCAGGGCACTCCTCAACTTCACAACGCTCAGCCCAAGGCTCCTGTGGTTGCCTCTTCGCCTGCATTCGTGCGACCAAAGAAGAGCGCCGCGATTGTCATCAAGAATGCGGCTGGTGAAGAGGTGAACTTCAGCAACATCAAGGCGCCTGCCTCGCCTGCTCCCAGCATCCAGCAGTCAAAGACACCTCCAGTTGTTGCCTCGACACCAACTCCTCCGCCTAAGCCCTCCACCCCAGCCGCTGCAACCCACGCCCGGACCGACAGTGCCGCTACTGGCAAGTCCGCGGAACAGCTCCGCAAGGAATTCCAGGAACAAGTTAGAAAGCAAGCTGAAGCGCCATCTGAAGTAAAAGCTAAGGAAGAGGAGGCTGCCAAGGCTGCCGCCGACAAGGCTGCTGCTGAGAAGGCTGCTGCTGAGAAAGCCGCTGCCGAAGAGAAGGCTAAGGAGGAAGAGCGCATCAAGCAAGAGGAACTCGCCAAAGCTGAGCAGAAGGCAAAGGAAGAGGCAGAGGCTAAGGTTGCGCAGGAGGCCAAGGACAAGGCTGAGGCAGAGGCAAAGGCGAAAGCCGACGCTGAGGCCGAGGCAGCTAAGAAAGAGGAGAAGAAGGATGATGGCGCAATGGACGACGAGGAGCTGGAGCGTATCATCCGCGAAATGGAGGAAGAGGATGCCAGACGAGAGCAGGAGCAGGCTGCCATCTCAGCAAAGAAGGCTCAAGAGAAGGCTGAGGCCAAGAAGAATGCCGACGCCCAGAAGGCTACCGAGGCTGCGGACAACGACCGAAAGCTGCGTGAGCAGGAACGTGAGATGGAACGCCTCGAAGAGGAGAGAGAGCGACAGCGCAAGGAGAATGAGTCCAAGGGCACATCCAAGTCTGTCGCTGAGCTTCTGACCGAGAAGATCTCTGATCTTACTTTGTCTGACAAGAAGGACTCGGCTGGCGCTGTTGCGGATAAGCTTGCCAACCTGTCCCTCGAGAGTGGCGACGGTGCTTCCCCAACGACCGCCACTAAGCCGCACACGACCGAGAAGCGAGCGAAGCCTGCTGCGCTGAACCTCACGCCTCTAAATACTAAGCCCGTGGAGCCTCCTCAGCCTAGTGCTGCTCTCCAGTCCCTGAAGACGTCCCGCTTCCTGAGCGTTAGAGATGAAGTGAAGTACCCAATGGGTATCAACTCGCCAAATCCGGCTCTGAACGCCGCTGTTGCCAAGAAGGGCAAGGCTTTCAAATACGACTCTGCCTTTTTGCTGCAATTTCAGAAGGTCTTCACTGAGGAGCCTTCCATGGAGTTCCATCAGCAGGTCAAGACTCTCATTGGCGACAGTGAAGGTGGCCGCTCGCAGTCTGCTAGAACCCCGGGCGGAGCAGGCTCTGGTCGCCAGAACTCAAGGACTGGTGCCCCTGGTTTCCCGGCTATGGGCTCTTTTGGCGCCCCCGGTGCTGGTGGCAAGCCTCTACCTCCTGGAACCACGTCGGAGCAGCGATTCGCCATGTCCCAGGGTAACATGGCCCGTCCCAACATCAACCCTATGGCCTCTTTCCAGCGTCCTGGCGGTGCATTCCCCGGAAGCAGCCAGATGTCTCGCACTCCTTCATCCTCTAACATGGGTATGCCGAACTCTCCTCGCCAGGGAAGCAGATCGACTCGTGCCGGCAGCAAGCGTGCAGGATATGACACTCAGAATGACGCAAAGGCTGCTAAGACTATGCCCTTGACCCAAGGAATGGAACTCAAGCCTATCACCACCTCGGCTACTGGCTGGAAGCCTACTAGTATTGGCAGCAAGGCAGGTCCCCCGGCGACTAGCGTGACGAGTGGCGGAGCCCTCGATCCTGCGATGGTCCAGCGGAAGGTCAAGGCCGCCCTGAACAAGATGACTCCCGAGAATTTCGACAGGATCTCAGAGCAGATTCTTACCATTGCTGCTCAGTCAAAGGATGAGCAAGATGGCCGCACTCTTCGTCAAGTCATCCAGCTTACCTTTGAGAAGGCTACTGATGAGGCTCACTGGGCATCCATGTATGCTAAATTCTGTAAGCGCATGTTGGAGACCATGAGTCCCGAGATCCGAGATGTCACAATTCTGGACAAGAACGGTAATGTTGTCAGCGGCGGTGCTTTGTTCCGAAAATATCTCCTGAACCGATGTCAAGAAGAATTCGAGCGCGGTTGGCAAGTTGATCTGCCGCAGCCCAAGGAGGGCGAGAGCAAGGAGGCGGCTCTGCTGAGTGACGAGTACTACATTGCTGCAGCTGCCAAGCGTCGTGGTCTTGGTCTCGTTCAGTTCATCGGAGAGCTTTACAAACTTGGCATGCTTACGGAACGTATCATGCACGAGTGTGTTCGCAAGCTGCTCGACTTTAATGGAATTCCCGATGAGGCTGAGATCGAGTCCCTGTCGAAGCTTCTGAGGACAATCGGTGGCAACCTGGACGCCACAGAGAAGGGCAGACCTATGATGGACGCCTACTTCGGCCGCATCCAGACCATCGTCGACATGCCTGACCTGCCCAGTCGTCTCAAGTTCATGCTCATGGATGTTGTGGATCTGCGTAGGGTACACTGGGTTACCAAGGAAGGTCTCAAGGGTCCCAAGACTCTTGAGGAAATTCGCGCTGAGGCCGAAGCACAAGCTGCCCAGAAGGCCGCTGAGAATGCTAGAAGCAGTCAGAGAGGCGGGCCTGGTCGTGCTCCCATGGGCCGTGGCGATGCACGAAACTTCTCCTACAACCAGCCTGCGCCCAACCAGGTTGGAATGGACGATCTGCGGCGCTTGAAGGGCTCTGCAAGCCGAACAGCAAGCCAGAACGTCACTCTTGGACCGACATCCATGTTCTCATCCCGAAGCAACAGCGGCCGGAGACTTGGCCCTGGCGGTGCTTTGAATCGTGCTGGAGAAGAGTCAGGAGCCTCATCGCGAACCGGCACACCACCCACGAGGGAAGCCGCCTCGCACACCAATGCGTTTGCGTAAGTAATGACTCGTCCTGACGTTTATAAATAATTGCTAACCGTTTCGTAGCGCACTTGCCAATATGGAGCCGGAACATCCTGCCTCACCTCCCTCTACTGCGGCGTCCCCAGCGCTCGCAAAGGTTACTCCTGATAGTGACAAGAAGGAGAGTGCTTGAACTGTTTCTTTTCCATATTAATGTCTTTGCATTATACCACACTGTGCATAGACAGGGCTGGGGGTACTTCTGCATTTACGGCTGGCTTTAAAAAGTTTGTGTCAAAAGTTGCACCAGATTTTTCTTTCATGATACCTCAATCGCCATAGACGACCCATCCCCGGACCGCTCCGGCACCGGGATCCCTTTTCACTTCCATCACTGTGTTTAACCCTCCTTACCTACATTGCTTTGCATCTTCGGCTGCTCACCGCTATAATCACACTTTACGATTTCGCCACAGGGAAAGATGGCATTCTTCATTTCATATTTTGCGACATTAGCTGCACTTGAGATGGGCGAGAGGGCAGAAAGAAGAGATCGGCGAGGATTGGCACTCCCAATTTGTGACAACACCTAAAGACATTACTGCTTTTCATGATCGATGGAAAAGAGCGATCATACAAGGGGAAAGAAGAACAGAAGAACGGTCGAGCCTGGAGGCTCTGACACCACAACATCGCGCGAGAGGAAGAGGAATCTGAGGATTTCAGGGATCGTTTGCTTTTATCCGCGGCATTGCCTTACATAGCTTGCTGCTGGTTAGTCACTTTCCTTCGCAGGGGATCAAAAAGGGGGAGGAAAAGAGATCGTCTCGGGCTCCGGCTCCGAAGTTCTCCTGGGCAAGAGTGCCGTCACCGGTCGCCAACGGTATGGCTTCCTTCGCCTGGGAAGACTTTGGGTTATGAGAGGGTTCGAGACGATAGGACCTTTTACGTGCTTGTACATCATCATCTAATTCATGCTAGAGGACTAGCCAGCAGCAGCGAATCAGAAAACTGAAAATAACTGCACTGTTTTGAATGCCTGTGACGTGAAGCCATGTGAACACTATGACCGAAGACTCCTACATCTCTGAACCACAGAGCTTACGCACGCTGTAGGATATACAGCTTTCACCAGCTTCATGGGACGGATGACTATTTCAAGATCTCATTATTGATGCTAATCTATGAGCTGACTGTAAAAACGCCCTTATCCTGAACGCCAGGAATGACTCAAAGACTCAAAAATCATGCCCAAAGCCTTATAACAAACATACAAAGTCATCATTATTGCACTCTCCCTCATTTCTCAGCTCTTTCCAAGCCCTCTCTACCTTATGCTGACACTGAAGCGGTCGCGAAACCCAGCTTAGCAAACAAGGTGTCCATAGCTACCCACTGCCTGCCGCACTTCTCCAGGTACTTGTCCACGACGCCCTTGACGGTGCCGAAGCGGACGCGGTTGTGCTCCGCCAGCGCGAGGACCTTCTCCCTGACCTCACGGTTTGCGACGGCCGCCTCGCCGCTGCCACTGGTCCCGGTGGCCTTGGCGCGCGCCTTGTCCACGTCCCACAGGCTGGCGAAGTAGACGAGCTGGTTGTAGATGTCGCGCTCGGACATCTCGTAGTGCATGCGGCCGAGGCAGTCGCGCGCGTGGCCCTTGGGGCCCAGGCAGCGGCTGCCGTAGACGCTCATCTGGCGCGTGCGGTGGCCGCACGACGGGTCGTCGCACACCAGCCAGCCCTCGTAGTAGCGCGCCGTCGCGGTGCGGATGGCGTGCTCGATCTGGGCCACCACGGAGAGCGTCGAGAGCGCCGCGCCGCAGTCGGGGCAGGCGACGCCCGCGGGGGTGACGCGGTCGGGCGCCTCCAGCATACCCTCGAAGACGGAGCTCTTTTTGCACTTGCGGCAGCGGAGCGACAGACGTGCACAGTCGGCGAAGCGGACCTCGTCGGGGATCTGCGACTCGAGCGGGTGGATCTCTACGTCGTTGTTGCCGGCGTTGTGGTTGTTGGCATTGGAGGCATAGCGCCTGATGTCAAGGCCCAGAACCTCCGCCAGCTGGGTGGTCGATGTGCCGACGATGTTCGCACATAGACGCTCGACAGGCGGGAAGATCTGCTTGCCGATGTACCATTCAACATCAGGGGCAAGACCGGAGTCCGCCTTCATGACGTCTTGGGGTGTGTATGCCCGCTTGGCGACGGAGTCGGAGCTCTTACTGTCGCCAGTGATGACATACGAGATGACATCGCCCTTTCGGACGGTCTTTCCGCGAGCAAGCTCACGCAGAGCAACCTGTACCTGCGGCATGGAGTCGGCATTGGGATACTCCTTTGGAGCCTTACCAAGCTGAGTGAAGATGATGTACTTCTGCACAGGAATAGCTTGCTCCCGCATTTTGCCTGAGATCTCGCGCAAGTACTCATGGATACGAGCAACAGAGACCTCGGTCTCATCGCCTGATAGAATCTCGTTGAGAAGTCGACTGGAAATCTCCTTGGAGAGGGCACAGTACTCTCTGCGCCTCATGTCAAGACCTTTGACTTCCATCTTCTCGATGAACTTGCCGTCGGTCTCAATCATGTTGATAGCAGCATACTTCTTCTTGGCTTGAAGTAGAATGCGTCGGAATACATTATCAATGTCGATCTCCAGGAGCCTGTAACGCTCGTTTACAGCCTTCTTGAACTCCTGGCCGACCTTGAGAGCATCTGCGACGTTGTCGACATTGGCATTGATCATGACAGAATCTGTGTCTCCGTAGATAACTTGTAGAGATTTGCTCTCGGCAAGCTCTTTCGTGCTTCGGAGAATTTCACGACCCTTGTATGTCGTCAACACAGCGAGGGGACGAGCATAGAAGCGTGACTTGGTATAACCCAAACAACCGTACATAGAGTTGGCTGTTAGTTTCAGGGCAAGCTGCTTGATATCCCAAGTCGCGAGCTGTTCTATAGTGGCAGTCTTATCTTTCATCAAGCTCTTCACTTGCCGTCTTCGACTGACAAGTGTAGCGATAAGCTTAGGTAGAATGCCCTGATCTTGCTCAGTAGGGACTTCAGGGACGGCATCTTCGTCCTCGGACTGGTGGTGATTGTCAGCAATAAGTGTGTGGAATCGCAGATTCAGTTACTTACTAAGGCAGATCGGTCAACGGTCGTGAAGCAGATGTTGAACTCCTGGATGATGGAAGGATACAGGGAGTTGAAGTCCATGACCAGCACGAACTTGTCATAGAGGCCTTTCTCGGGCTCAAATACAAGACCGCCCTTGTACTTATCTTTCTTCTTGGTGTCGCCGGCATTTGCTTCGTCTGCTTCCTCTTCTTCTTGGCGTTGTCTGCCCCTGAATGTTTGCTTGTCAGGACAGATGTACTTGTTGCGATGAAACTCGTGGAGCAAAATGTATTCGTTTCGCTCTGCACGAGTACCAGTGAGAGTTCTTGCCCACGAGTTACCGGCCAAGTTGGTGAGGACCTTGGTCAGCGGAAGCAGCTGAACCTTCAAAGCCAGGGCAGTGATGAAGTATGTGTCCGTCTCTGTGTGCGTAACATAGTCCATCAAGCCATCTTTGCTATTGGCCCAGGTCTTCAGCGCGGCCTCATTATCCACGTCTCTGCGCCTATTGTCTCCAGAAAGATAAAGACTGCACATCTCAGTCAAACTCCAAGTCTGACACTTGTACATTGCAGATTTTCCAGCGTCGTTGGCGAGGTCGCAAAGAAGACGACCAGCAAGTATTTGACGTTCCGCAAACACATTGCCGCCGGCCTTGCCAATTGACGAAGGCCATTGAGACCGTCTGAGCCTTCCGAGACGAGACCACTGATGAACCTTTTTCTCATGGAGTCGGTTTAATAGAACACTGTAGTCGACACCTTCTAGCTGATGACCGAGAAGAACATCAGGATCGACCACATCCAACTGTGCGAGGAAGAACGACATCATCTCAGACTCCTGCTTCATGGTCTTGATTAAACCCTTCTTGCGATCCTTCGCCATCTTTTCAAAACCAAGGGGAAATGCAGTTCCATGAGGTCTGATGAGAGTGAAGGTCCGGCAAGGTAGCTTGTCTGCAGGCGTGGTATCACTGAGTAGAACATTCTCGTAAATCCTAGCACTGATAGCAAGGATCTCCTGCTTATTGTCTTTGGCATTGAAGTTGGTTCGGAGTGCGACACTCATAAGAGTCAGAGGAGGAGCATCGAGATTGTCCGACTCGCTGAGAGCAGAGACCATATTGGGATGTTCAACAAGTACTTCTAGCTTGCAGTGTGATGCATTCTTGACAGCAGAGAAGTCAGCATCCTGGATTTTGAGCCAGCACGGGCCCATGATGTTCTTCCACAGGACAAATTGCTCAAAAAGTGCAGTGTTTGTGCCGAATACGTGTGAGAAGGTCTCACCAGTAGCGTTCATATCAATCACCGGTTCTACTTTCTATTAGTGGGTGGCAATACTTATGAGACTAGTGACTTACTGGTATAGGGGTACAAGAGCTTCATGTACTGCCCTTCCTTTGGCACGTCTTTCAACTCAAATGCATACTTCCTGGTGCAAGCCTTGATTTTATACATGTCGACGTTCATCTTGGTCATGATGGTATCAATCTCGGTGTAGACGTCCATCATCTCAACGTCTTCTCCTGTCTCCTCGCCGCCTTGAACGCGTTGTGGACGAGGCAAGAAATATAGCTTCCTCAGAATATTGTCCACTTTGACGAAGCAGCTGACATATGAGTTTGTCTTTTTGTTCAGCACCTTGCCGAATAAGCAAAGGCTACCGTTCACCTCCGTGTAGTCAGTCCAGAACATGTTAAGACTGCCATCCTCTTCAATAGCATCCTTATAATCAATCTTGCCAACACTGCGAGGCTCAGCTGGAGAGCTAGAGACGACATTGAGTCTCTGATTGATGTCATTCCATGCGGATGCTTCAACAGCGGGGTCAGCCTTGTTTGGAGATGATTTTGGCGGTGAAGGATAAGGTTCGGCTTTGATGATCTTCTTCGGAACCCTCGAACCTGACAAATTGACACTGGCGGCATTGATGGCACCGGCATGCGCAACCTCCATCATGTCATCGTCTTCCTCTTCAGCCTCTACTTTGATCTGAACCTTGCGCTCAGCCACCTTTGCAGTTGGTGATGAAGGAAGAGGGTCACTCATAGGGACATCGTTGACGGGGAGAGGATCATCGTCCATAGCAATGAAGCCATCATCGTCCGCAAAGTTGTCAGCTGACGGGGTTGGAGGAAGCCTGTCGTCCGCAATCTTGACTTTCTTTGATACAGGCTGTCTGTTTTCTCGCGCAGGAGAGAGTACACGAGCTCTGCGACGTTCCGCAGAGCGCTCCCGCTTTCTAGACTGTCGAGGAAGGGGAGCAGGGATGTTTGCGTCGACTTCGCCTAAAAGGTTCGCGAGGAAGTTCTCATCTTCTTCGGTCTTCACAATCTGGTGGTTCATTAGAAAAAACTTCTCGAAACTAAACAGTCTATACCACATACCTTCGGCTTCGGCTGGACTTTGGTAGCTCCTTTCGTGAAGTACTCGCTGATATCTCGATCGTTGGCATCACGCTTAGCTTGATCATCCTCGCGCTGTTTCTTGGCTATACGAAGCATGTCAATACGCTGGAAGAAGATATCTAGAGAGTTCATGTTGCATACATGTCTTGCGATCCTTGCCACGAACAATCATGTCATCTTCACTGTCCGTGTCGTACATAGGCTCGACGCGGTCCCAGTCTTCACGTCCATCATCGGCGTAACCTTCGCCATTGTCGTCAACAACAAAGTCGTCCTCGTTCAGTCGGTTCCGGACGATCTTCTTATACTGATCTTCGTCGACCTCTTCGTACAGAGCTTGGGTCTCCTCGACCTCATATGTCTCGAACTTCTTCTTGCCAGACTTTCGCAGAGCTCGCAGCTCTGCGAACTTGCTGCGCTTGTCAACCTTCGACATGGTGGGCAAGGGGAAGGAGGGGGATTGAGGAGCCAATTGAGGACACGACCAAGAACCAGAGCTGTAGAATCAGAGGTTCATAGTCGTGAACGGTGATGAGAGGTGTTGAAGTGTGGGAGACTCGAGTGCAGCCACCGTCTGGCAGAGTTAAAGTGGGCGGGTTTTGGCAGGGCGACGCGTTGGGGCGTGTTAGTCGCGACGCGAACCCCTGCCTACCTGGTAGGTGCGCTAAAGGAGGCGGCCGGAAAACTAGACCCCACAACCCCCGAGCGTCATCACTAGCGGCCCGAGACTGCTTGTGCTTAGATCCGGCAGAAAAAAATAGTTACTGTCGAATTGCAACACCATTTTTGTATGGACAAATCCACAAACGCACTTTACGCGAGATAGTCGGTACTACACCAAGTTTTGCAAGCTTTGATATGTTCACATGTAGAGCTTGCGCAAGGAGGGTTACCGCTACCCTCTTGCGCCCCGGCGTGGCGGCAGATTTGGCTCTCAGACCATCTCCTCGACTGTTATCGACGACTCCGAATCTTCGCCAACAGGCAACGGTATTCGCTGAACTAGAGGAAGCGCAGGATGAACCTGTACCTCAGACCGAACAAGCAGAAAAGAAAGACAAGCCGAGCCAGAACCTTGACTGGGTTGTTCGAAAACATCTCGAGTACATGAAAGATCCATTCAAGATCGCAGCACATGTCAAGCATACGCTAGGGAAGAATAGGTACGATGAAGCTTTGGCTCTTACCCGGGAGGCCAGCAAGAATGCGCAATGCGTCGTCAGTTGGAATCATCTGATTGGTTATCAAATGGAACAGCAGAGACTGCATGCTGCCATCAAGCTGTTCAATGAGGTCAGTCTCCTATGGTCAATGGGAGTTCTATGTTGGCTGATAGATTATCTACAGATGAAAAAAAGAGCGCAAATGCCAAACGCACAAACCTACACCATAATCTTCAGGGGCTGTGCCAAGTCCTTACATCCAAAGTTGGCCGTCTCGGAGGCCATCAAACTGTACCATTCCATGACGAAAAGCTCGCGGCTCGAACCGAATACCATTCATCTTAATGCCGTGATGCAGGTTTGTGCTCGAGCAGAAGATCTTGCGTCTATGTTCAGCATCTTAGAGACTGCCGATAAGCCCGTACGCTCGCCGAATGGTCAGACTTACACCATCGTGTTGAATGCCTTGAGAGAACAGTCCGCCAAACCCCGGCTGCCAGGCGGAGTAGATGACGATGAGATCGTCAAGCGAAATAGACTACAAGCCGTTTCGCGGGCCAAAGTCGTTTGGGATGAAGTCACTAGTCGTTGGAGAAAGGGTCAGATCATCATCGACGAGGAGCTTGCTTGCGCTATGGGACGTGTGCTCCTGAATGGGGACCATCGTGACCTCGACAGCATCTTGTCTCTCGTGGAGCAGACTATGAACATTTCCCGTATCGACAAGGATCAGATTGTGCCTCAGCAGACGGGGAAGAAACTTCAAGATAACACATACGGTTACGTTGTGCCAGGGCGCAATGCTCTCTCGCTTGTCATGAAGGCACTTGCACGGCTCAGGCGATCAAACCTAGCGCCGAAGTACTGGCAGGTCTTCACGGAAGATTACAGAATTATACCAGATGCAGATAATTGGTTCAGCTATCTAGGGGTATGCGCGAAGGCAGGGGCAAGCGCGAAAGCTGCGGAAATCATCCAAATGATGCCTATGGAACTGCTGACGCCCAAGACATACCGCTTGGCTTTCAAGGTCTGCGTCAAGGATAACCTCAATGTGCACGCTTTCGATAATGCCAACATGATATTTGATGGAATGGCACGGACGCTCAAGTCTCCGGACTGCGAGTCTTTGAAGCTTTATCTTCAAGCTGCCCTGGGCAATCATAGAAAGTTTAAACTGCTAGAGGAGACGGGCGACCCTTCAGGTTCCAAGTTTGCCAGAGGCGAACAAATTGTGCAAGCCCTGGACCGTCTGTGGGAGCCCCTGAAATTGGCCCAGAATGCTCTGGCTTATCCGGATATCAACACACGGTCCCCGGAAGAGGAGTGGGCGAGGACGTACGACGACCGAGCACAGCTCATTGGTCTCAGCAGAATGATTGTTGCTGCAATCGACAAGCTGTTGAGCGAGGGAATGGTCAGCCCGGAACTGATAAAGGTCTTGAAGACGCGGCGCAACATCCTGAATCGCCAGGTCGCTAGACATTACGAGAAGTATCATGCCATGAAGGGCAAGAGTAAGGGTAAGGAAGAGCAAAAGCCAGCCAAGGATGGTGACCAGGCATGGTAGAAACTCTCAACGAATATTTGTACATTATAATGAACCACTACCCTGTATCTTCACACTTACAAAGGATGCCACATCGCAAAGCTCCTGCTGCAAGTAACCCCACGTCAACAGCCCCATCTCTTTGGCAATGGTCTGATACATCGTGCTCGGCTCTAAATTGGAAGGTTCGATCAGAAGATTTGTTATGGTATAGAAGCTTCCTGCCTTCCCGGGCAGCTTTGGATCGCGCCTTTCGCTCTTAGGCAGCCTATGTACCGTGCAGCTGTCGATCTGTTTTCGAACTGAGAAGCTATACCTCCATTCATTTTCAAGGCCTTGAGCAGTTCGTGCATCGCCTACCATTGTGTTATCCACTCTCACTACTTTTGCTGGCTCTGGTTCTCATCAGTATCGCGTCAGGTTAACATATATTATATCGAATTTCGTCTGTTGTCATCCACTCAGATCTGGTACAGCGGATCAATCAATATCGACCGCTATGCCTCTGACGCCAGTCGCCAAAGCTCGACAGAGCTGCGAATCTTCGGACTCGAGGAATAGTCACGCGTCTCATACGCCGAGAGAAACACTGCGGCTGAAAACTCGCAACTTTGTGCACTCTGTCCGAAATCGCTTTTCCACCGAGACACTGCATGGTACGGATCGTCTAGATGGTACAACCAGTTTGCCGGCCTCACCAGCGAAACACAGGTGGTGGAAGTCATTGAGAACAAGTGACTCTACTTCACGTGGTCCGGTGTTGACTATTCCCTGGGTCGGCCCTGCGGCTGCATCAGTCCGTTATGGCGAATCATTGCATAGATCATCAGACTTCGGTGAGTTGTGATACTCCTTGCGTGTGTCCAAGACTAAAGCTAACATATTTGCTCTAGCTAACTCCCTTGGCAAAGCATACCGAAGGAAAAGCTTGCCAGACAGGCTGCCGCTGATGTTTACGGCGAGCAAGCTAGACGAAGGAAATTCAAACTGCAGTCACCCAAATCAACATGTTACCGAAAGCTCATTGTCCCGGAAGGTGGTCAATGGTGTTGCGCCCCCGAGACTAGAGATGCTATCGGTCGTTGAGTTTGGAACGCAGAACCTGTCCAGTTTCCGCGAGATCTCTGAGCAAGCAATCCTAGGTACGTTGGTTCGGGACGGTGACGAGCAATGCCTAAACAGAGAAACAGAAGTCGGATCGAAGTACAACGAGGAAGAGAAAGATCAAGAGGGTAGTAAGTGAAACGTCGAGAGCCTTACCTTGTTCTTGACTGACGGGTGCCTGCATCTATCAAGAAACAGACACTCCTCTTCACGGAGAGACAATCCGTAACCATCAATGCTTGATAATGAATCCATCCATTGACGCTGTCATGACAAGTGCGGATTCAGCAAATTCTCCTACTGAAGCGAGCGCACCTGGCAGCGAGGCTCGTAAACATGACATACCCTCATCACATGGAAACAGCAGCTTCGCGCACAGTTCGGAGGCTCCATCTAGACTGGCTCCCGACAACGTACAACGAGAGTCATTGGCGGATGGAATAAGTGAGTTGCTGAGAAAGCAGCGAGTGAAAATTCAATATCCAACCTACGGCTTCTGGGGGTGTGATGGAGAGACGGTCGAGTACCATAATGGAGACCAAGCCCTGACGAGTTTCATGTTGCTGAGACAGTTTGGAGGCTGGTCCACTCAACTACTATACCAAGAGGATCTGTCGACTTTGTATGCTTTGCCAGCCTGGGTCGTGGTTGATCGCCAGCAATTTCCCAAGAGCTGGACCAGTGGAGTTTGGGAAATATTCTACATAGGAAACCAGGCCACGTCGCATCTACGAAGCGCTACTGTTGGCGAGGCTCGCGCACGCTTGATTAAGCAAGGCAATTCGGTTTTCAATGAACTACTTGCTGAGGTTGAACGCAATGGCGGGTCATTTTCCAGTACCACGCAGGATGACGAGATTGAGGGAACCGAATCACTGAAAGGTGAACGATGTAGCTCGCCGCAACCTACTTCTGAGCTGTTCAAGGCAAGATCTGGGAAGCATGTGTCTTTCTCTGAGCGGGTTCAGGTTCAAACACTGAATGACACGGATACATTTCCTGTACCGGACACCTATTGCACTGGTGGCGATGCAGATGCAATTGGAGACGAGTCTCAAATTAACGAAGCAGGCTCCGATGCCCATGACGCTGATGAAGGGACGAAAATCCTTACTGAGGTCAAGGATGATAATAGACTGGAAGCTCATCAGTATGGCTCCAAACTTCGACGCAGCAAAACATCAATCCAGAGATTGCGAGTCCAGGATCTGCCGCGTCGTGAGGAGGATTTGGAGAACATGTCACCCATTGAACTCGAGGATATCGATATGGAAATGGCAGAGCGATTGGGTGGGCGACCAATGCAGATGAATGGTAGTAGAATGGAAGTGTGAACTGTCGACTTGCTCCAGAGTGATCAATCGTTACAATCCAGTAGCACAGGCTGGTAGATAGACAATATAACTATACATGTTAGATCGTACCGAATCCTACTTCACTGATTGTTAAAGAAATTATACTATAGTTATCATCGAAGCCATGCTAAATATTCATAAGTCTATAGGACACGGGTAGACAGGTAAGTGGGTGCACGGGCCACATTTAGTTGTGACGCGCCAGGGACCAGTCGTGCACCCCCTTGTCCACCATGTTACCTCCGACAGCTTGCCGCCGTAGTCGAGAAGCCCTGAAAGCTCGACTTTTATCCAGAGACGTTTACCGATCTGTCTTTGCAATAATCTCTTCGCCGAGCAACACATCTTACGGCCCGATACATGAGAGTAGTGTGACGCCTCTTCTTGAAGAGAAATTCTACCGGCTTATCGAAACCTGCCTCGCCTAAGTCTGCGCGACCAACATCGCCAAGTTACGCCCATCTCCCGTCGATTGAACTCTGCCGGCTTGCCCATCATGGCCAAAGTCGCGAACGATTTCGAGAAGATCATTAAGGAGGGTGCGTATTCGACTTGTTTCTGCTTTCTTATGGACGAGTTCAGCTGACTCTCCCGTCTGGGACCAGGGCGCGAGCGCAAACAGAACGAGGCTCTGGCCGCAAAGATCTTCAGCAAGGACCGCCGCGCCAGCGCACCCCTCAAGGCCTCGGGCACAGGCCCGTCGCTCGCAAGCCGCGTGGGTGTGAAGAAGGTACGCAGCCTATGCCACTATGCCACGACGGCGAGAGTATCCGGGGGAGAAAGCTAATCGTTACCTACAGCGATCCTCACTCGGACCCCGAGCCCAGACTACCGCCCCGGCCGGCAACATCAACGGCGAGTGGACGCACGACCTGCACAACGCGACGCTGCCCAGGCCCAAGGCGGCCAACACGAAGCCCAACTCGCTCGCCAGCCGCCTCCACGCGCCCGGCACGAAGCCGCCCGCCCAGCAGCAGCAGGCCCGGCAACAGCGGCGCGCCGCGCAGACGGCCCAGGCTCTGATAAAGGCGGAGCTGGACCCGGTGTTTGCAGCGCAGCAGGTGAACGTGGTCAAGGGCGGGGCCGGCAACGCCGCCAACAGCGGTAGCAGCAAGAGCGTGTGGAAGGGCCAGGGCATGACGATCCGGGGGCTGGCGGGCCCGTTCGTGGTGATGGCGCAGAACTTCGCGCCGGGCACCACCGCCGCGGACATTGAGAGCGCCATGACGCCCGTGGGCGGGCTGGTCAGCAGCTGCAGGCTGCTTAAGACGCAGCCCATCGTCATTGCCGAGATTGTGTTTGAGAGCAAGGAGGGCGCGGAGAACGTCATCGAGACGTTCAACAACCAGACGGTGAGTGAGAGACGCGATCTGTCTTGCTCGGCGATGAGAGAGCAGGCGATGCAGAGAGGACGGCGCGCGCTGACATGATTCATCTCCGGCAGGCTGATGGGAGAGTGCTGCATGTGTACCCCAAGGCCGGTGGCCCCTCGGCCGTGCAGCGGGCACCGCCAACAGGACCTCGGGCCGCCTCGGCCACGACTGCCGCTTCTAGCAACACCACGGTGGTCGACGGCTCTCTTGGCTTTGACGATCCGATGGATACAGACACTCCCGCCAGCAGACCGAGGCAAAATGGTCGAGCTGGTGGCGGCGGCGGCGGCGGTAGCGGCTTGTATAGCGATCAGCTAGTGGGCAATGGCAGGGGAAGAGGTCGAGGCTTCCAAAGGGGTGGCCGCGGAGGAGCAGGTCGATAGGACCGACCTGACGACCGTGAACAATACCCAGAACCGTCACAAAACGATGGTCGCTGGCTCTCAGACTGGTAATTTGGATCTCGTCAGTGAAGACGAGGCCGTCGAGAATCTCGGAACGGAGGTCATAGATCCGTGGGGGCACTTGGATTCCCGTGAACATATCTGATATTGGCTAGCTGTGAAGCCCCTAACATGCCCTGCTTCAAGTGTCGTAGGTCACAGCGTTTTTATTCAGTCGGCTTGGCATATAGTGGTGGTAGGGACGGATCTCAAAGGCCATCGCGATGCAACTTTTTTGAACAGCGCCTATTGCCGATATCACTGGCGTCTGAGGGAGATAGAAGATACATGACTGTAGGCAATGTACACTACACACGTTTCAGGAGCAAACATAAAGCTCGAGACGGCTACTACGTATGATACACATTCCAGGAACGGCAACGAAGCACAAGTGACAAGAATCGAGGACAGGCAGGGGTTTCATCTCTTTTCCCGTGCAATTGTTGAGAGGTCTGCACTACGCGATGCTCGGTATGGATTCTCCTTACAGCAAGCTTTCTCCAGTCTCTCCTGAGTCGAGCCTCACGTCCCGTATATCCTCCTCCGATAACAGAAACGGACATGATGAGACTTATATGCTAGACAACCGCCCTCCTTTCCCGTTTCCCAAACCAAAAAATATATGAATCGTAGTGCCGCTGGCTGGCACTACCGGAGCCAGACTTTCCCGCGCATCAATATGTAGAGCTCGAGACCCCCGTCAAAATCGCCAGCTATCCCGCCGTCGTTCGTAACCACTCTCGTCAGCTCGGTCGAGAAGGAAAAGCCGGCCATTGTTCTGCATGCTAGGTCGCGTCTGCCGCATGCTGGGCCGTGGTGCATCATGTCATGCGCAAGAAAACGAAGCACAGCTTGTCTCCGCAGCTTCCCTCCGTGATGGGTATCTTACACAACTCTCCAACCTATATACCAAGGCTGTGCGGTGGATATACATCGACATCGTATGCGTTGTACACACGACATGTCAGATTGACTTCTGCTACCCCAAAGCCGCCACAGCACCCGGTTCAAGTGAGCCGTCGACTACAGCTCCTTTCAAAACTGCCAGGACAAATCAAAGGCGATAGTTCCTGGGTTGCGTAGGGCGAGATGTCCGTGTATCAGCGAGAGTTCAATGGCCCCATGGACTCTGACCAAAGCCCTCCTCAAGAGTTCGCTCCTCGAGATTACGAATGAAATCCCTATTATTTGTCCCGTTACCGCGGCCTTGTTGCTGTGCACGACTGCCTCTTCTACCCGAACGTCCAGGTGTCTGGTCCATAAGCGTCGAACCATCGGTAGGAGGAGGATAGTAGGCCGGGCTTGGCTGCAGTCGGATAGGCTGGCTGGGGTCAAGATGGCTGGCCACTCTCTGAATAGCAGCTGGGATGCCACTCTGCTGCTGCTCCATTGTAGAAGCCCGTTGCCGTGACCTGGCCGCTTGCTGCGCATACAGATTTGACTGATTGACACCGGCGTAATTTGCAGGTGGCATCTGTGCGGGAGCTTGTGACATAACCATCTGCCCATAAGGATTAGGCTGAGAAGCGTACGGTGGCGGTGCCCCAGAATGGCTAGCTCCTGGCGTGTACAGGTTGTTGTTTGAATACAATGGAGGCGCGGCAGCATGAGTAGGCTGTTGATACTGACTGGCAGCCATGGATGCATATGCCCCTTGGGCAGCCGTGTTTGCTTGAGCTTGGGCAGCTTGGGCACGCTGCTTGCTTAATGCTTCAGCCTGCTGTTGTTGCTGGGTTCCCGGAGCCGGAGACCTGTTCAACGAGCTAGCCTTAAGGTTCATCGGCGGGACGAACGGTCCGGTGAATTTCTGTTGCGTGATGAAGGGATGTAGCTTCGCTTGTTGAGGAGACCAGCGTTCTAAGGGGTTGATAGATAGTAAGCCTCGGACAAAATCAATGAAGGCGATCCGGTTGTTCATTTCTTGTTGATATATTAGTGAAGTTTCTTTAGAGTAGAACTGAGTTGATACGTACCACGATCAATCTCGCTTTGCTTCATATTCTTCCGTGGCATAGGGTAGGATTTGATGATCTCGGGCAGTGTGCTAGCCTGAAAGTATTTCTTGCTTGGCTGCTCTTTCGTGCCGTGTTCTCGTGAGTATTGCTCCATACTCTTGAGGTGATACGTCCGTCGCCCAAACTCGTCTTGCCTCTTCTCGAAGAACTCGCCGGCCTGCTTGCCCATCTCAATCATCCAATTCGGAGGATTTCCTAACATCTCGACGATACGGGACACCTGATTGTACTCTGACGAGCCGGGGAACAAGGGAAGACCTAGGAACAATTCGACAACGATACACCCAAGCGACCACATATCGATCGCAGACGAATAAGGTAAGCCCAGTAAGACCTCGGGCGACCGGTAGAACCGTGACTGAATATAAGTATAGACGGTCTGTCGCTCATCGCAGGCTGACCCAAAATCAATGATCTTGATAATAGGGCTCTCAAGGTTCTTCAGAAGAATGTTCTCGGGCTTCAGGTCACAGTGAATCAGGCGAGCCTTGTTCAGCAGCGCCAATCCATTGAGTAGCTGTTGTGCAAACACGCGTACTAGGGTCGTGCTGAGACCTCTAAACTGGTTCTGCTTGATCAACTCGTAGAGATTGACGCTCAATAGCTCGAAGACGAGGCAAAGATGCTGCCGATGAATAAAGGTATCTTTTAGTCGTAGAAGATGATGATCATCGTTCTTGTCCAGTTTTGTGTTCAACTAGATCCGCCAAGTTAGCAGCTGGCGAGCGGGCGGCTGTAAAGGTTCTCGTTGTACGAACCAAATCCAAAACGGACACCTCCATCATACTCTGATTAAAATATGCAGTGCGATTCTTGATAACTTTGACAGCGACGACCTCCTGGGTCTTCAAGTTCTGGCACTTCACGACTTGGCCAAAGGTACCCTGGCCGAGCACATCCAAGATCAAGTAACGGTTCCTATGAGTGTTAGTTCGTCACAGCCACCAGCAGGATTTCGCGCATTGGAGCATACTTGTGGCCAGCTTCTTCAGAGCCCAGGATGTCATTGACATATAAGATATAGTCACTGTCTTCATTATCGTAGCCATCGTTCTTCGTACCCTTGCTGGGCTTCGTGAGAACTCGTCGTGGGTTTCGCGATGACTCGTATTTGAAGCTAGGGTTGCAAATGCGATATGTCGCTGGCAAGTGAACCGTGAGGGCTTGGAGAGGCTGTCACAGGAAAGATGTCAGCCGTCCTTTCGAGCGATAATTGAGGCTTGTACTACTTACACTGATGAAGCCACCCTCAGGGTTAGCTCTTCGGAATGGCGGCTGGGCGTTGACCTTTGGCCTGAGGTCCGTGGGAGCCCTGAGCTTCTTAAATTCGGGCACTGGGCCTCTTCCGGTTGATTGAGGAACCGGTCGTCTGGGTGACTTTGGATCGTTCGCGTAGCTGGCCTCGAGGGAGCTGACGGTCGCGGATGCGGTATAGCCCTCATTCCCGGCGGCGTAGGATGCGAGAGAGGGGAGCTGTTGTGGTGCTTGTCGGCCGCCTTGGTAATAAGGGCTCTGCGGGGGTTGATAATCAGACGGTCTGGTCGGCGATTGTCGCGTCGCGGGAGGAGCAGAAAACTGGCCGCTGGCGTTTTGTTTTGGCGCATAGGGCGAGGTTGGTGATAGCACCTCCATGGGTGAGTATCGTTGGGCAGCAGCGGATGGCTCCTGCGGGGAGTGCAGGTTTGAGGAGCGGCCAGCGCCGCCAGAGAGGTGCGACTGGTGATGGGGCCGCATGGGATATTGCTTCCCGGCGTAGGGATCGTGGGCGTCCTGCATGGTCACGTCGCCATTACCGTCGCGGAGTTGCGGGGTGGTGATGGGGGAGGTCATGGAGTTTGGTGTGGGATGCGAGTTCAATCCACCTCCTGCTCCAGCAGCAGAGTACTGTTGCTGCTGCTCGTATTTGAAGCCAGCGGGCGGCTGCGCCTGAGCTGGCCGGGCGCTATAGTCCCTGTTAAGCTGGCCGTTGCCATTGCCGTTGTACCTGTTGGAGCCGCCGGCCGCATCGTTGTACGACTGCCATTGCTCCATGGCCGCGGTGGGTTATCGTCGTGAAGGGAGAGATGGAGGAGGTCGAGAGACTCGAGATGCGTATGCAAAGTCGAACTCTGGCGGGAGAGTGTTGCTTTCTCTCGCGGGCAGGTAACGTAAGGTTAGGTAGGTAGGTATTAGGTATGGCTGGCTGGCTGGCTGGCTGGCTGGAGGCGGCGGGAAAGAGGCCCGCACACACACACAATGAATGGGCTGTGCGTGGTGTGTGCGTGTGGCCCAGTCCCAGTCCCAGTTCAGTGTGTGAGCGACTAAACTAAAACTCGTCGTTGGCCTTGACGCGTTCGAAGCCCAAAGTGGGCTGGGCTCGGGGGGCGTCGTAAAGCAGCGACTAGGTGGTAGCCTTGGCCGTTCTAACAAGAGATGGATAAGAAAAAGTGAAAAAAGAAGAGGAAGACTTCTTGTTATTGTTGGGCGGAAACGCCCCGGGTTGGTTTGAGGAAGAGACAAATGTCGACGGACGGCGGATTTGACTGACTAGTCTAGGGATTCATAATGAGACAACAAGCCTGACTGGTGCACTGTAGGAAGGTGTGTGTACCTTATGTGTACTGTATGTGTGTGTGTGGTGCAGGTGCAGGTGCAGCCGCAGGCGCCGTTAAATCGTTACTGACGCACTTAGTAGTGCTTGATGAGAAGAGAGAGAGAGAGAGATATGGCGAAGCTTGCGGTGGCTCACTCATACCTGATTGTCCATTTGACTTACTTTTCCATCGAGCTCATATTATTCCCAATCCCCAATTCGAGACGCAAGAACTGTCGTGCTACTCCAGCTTGGGAAGCGCAGAGCTCGAAACCTCTCTGGCGTCGATGGCTTCACTCTGGTGCTGTTTCAGGCCTAGCTCGCTCCCAGTACGTCCCAATGGGCACCAATCCACATTCCCCAGTCTCGAGGCCTCTTCACTTCTAACTCGTCATTTGCCGGGGCTCGACCAGTCATTCAGGACCCAACTTCTCAGGGACACAGCTACAGCCTCCTACCTACACTCTGGCCATTTGCATCCTCTTGACGATCATCCGGCAATTGCCATATACTCGTATCACACACACTGTCTGCCCAGCGTCCGTTGTGTGGAGATTAGCGGGTGAAGATTGCCTGGTGACTCAGAGCCAGGAACCCTGGAGCTGGATGAAGTCATGAACAGTGATGGCGGCTCAACACCCACACTGTACAGTACAGTAGTAGGTATTCCAGCATTCGGTTTCTTCAACAGCAGGACATGCGCGCCAGTGGTTTGATCATCTCCAAGTAACGTTATCACTTGAAGCTAAAACTACTAAGCAAACCTTAGGCTGCTGGTAGTTGCTGGTGGTTGCTCTGCTGCTGATCACAGGCCACAAAGACCCTCCTTGTCTCTCTGTGTTGTTTGAAAATCCGCAACGAGCTCCAGGTCGCAAGGAACTTGACCCTTCGAGTTCTGTCAAAGCTTCTCGAGTCCACTCCTCGGAGGCGCCTACGCAGAGCGCTTTATTCTTCTCGAGCATGGCTGGCTGCCCTTTATAAGTCGGCCGGTGGGGACCCCACATGATTTGCAAGACTTGATGCACACTTCTTACAGCTCTCGATGATGAGCGGTGACTTGGTCGCGGTTGCATGGCCCGCCTCTACTCTGCCAGAGAGAGAAAAAAAATCTGATCTGATCTGATCTGCCCTTCCAACACAAGCTACCACGGACAATGACATTCGGGGCATAATTACAAGACGTAAGGACAAGAGCGCCACGCGTTTCTCATATCCCCAACTCCTCAAGTCTGGGCTGTGCAGTCCAGCTATCAATCAGTTCAATAGTGGCTCTATAACCCAAGTAGCGTGAGATGACCTCATTGCCGCCGCCAATTCAGGGCAGCAGCCGCCACCACCCACGCGCGTTTCGCTCGAGTATTAGGTATTCAAGGGCATCACGCAAGTTGATGCTGGGCCACGGAGACTGTTTTTATATTAGCTTCACCCGTCCCCCAGCCCAGGCTCCAGGGAAAACACAGTGCACTACCACGGCAGCCGCCGTGCCACCCAGCACTTGATTATCCCACTATAATCCATTAGCCGCCATTGGGGATTCTCTCTGCTATGTAGTATGCAGTGACGATGAGGAAGCGGACCAATCGCCCCAATGACGCCAAGTGGGGGACTGCAGAAAGACAATGCCCCTCGCAGGGGGGGCGGCGGTGGTGGTTGAGTGGGATTGGCCTCTTCCTGCTGGCAAGCCACACATCTTGTAACAAGATACGACCTGGAGACAGGTCTTGGATTGGGATGTCAGAGTAGCTACTATGCAGTATGATAGCATCTCCGGCTCCTCACCACAGGTAACGCGGTTGATGAGAGCTTTCTTTGCATGGAGTAAGCCCCCAGTAGCCTATCTACATCAAGGAAGAAATGCGAGGGCTGCTCCCCAGCCTGGTGGTTGAATGCGGCTGTCACAGTCATGGTCAGACACACCTGCATCATCTAGGTGGCTGCCATCGTTGGTCAAACACAATCTTCGATTGATTTGCCTACTTTAGTTTGGCTATGCTCCAATGGTCTTTTTTACAGTCTTTTTTCGCTCATATCTTCCCTAACCCCACGGGGCCTTCCCTACAGCTTCAGATCCTGCCAACAAGAAAAGAAAAAAGAGAATACCCAACCAAGGCTGTCTCAAGGGAGCCTGGCCTTCGTATCTGTGCTGCTAATTTCTGGCGTCATCATCCCTCGCGAGCAAAAACACAACCCAAAAAACCATGCGACCCTCACCTATGTGAGCTTGGTCATAATAGAAACTTCGTGACTCGTGAGAGGGACAAAGGAGGTAAAGTATGAGGAAGAAGAAGAAGAAGAAGAAGGGGAAAATGTGGTGATAAAAGGTAGCGTAGAAAGGTGGAACAAACATCAGATATCCTCGCAATGCTGCTGTAAGGTGGTATCCAAACACGGAAAGATTCAGTACAACTTTTTTTCTCAATCGAGATGGACATGCTTTCAACTACAAACCCGAACTGATGAGAATTGAACATCTGGGAATCACTAGCAAAGGAGAACAAGAGAGTACGGCAGAAGTGAAGTACACCACAAGGTATGAAGAAGTAGAGAAGGAGCCCGAACTTTATTCCACCAAAAGAGAAAGAAAGAAAAACCCTCACAGTTTCAACCGAGAAGAGGTAAACGCCGCTAGAAGTAAGGGTGATGTGTCGGCTTGCAAATCCATTTCGACATCCCACCATCAGAGAATCATCAACAACAAAATATTCCCTATACTGTACCCCAGCAGAAGAGTCCAAGAAGAAGAACAGACTGATTTTCGCCAGACATCACAAAGATGGACTTTGCAGATCAACCTTGATAACCCTGAAAGCCATTGTTGAAGTTCTGGCCCGGAGGTGGCTGTGCCCATTGTTGAGCAGGCGGCTGCTGACCTCGGCCATAACCTCCAGCACTGGGCGGACCAGCGGCGTAACCCATCGGCGAGCCTCCGTAGCCAGCGGGGGACTGGGCCGATGGGCCAGCATAGTTCCCTTGCTGACCTCCGTATTGCGCTACGTCTGATATGTTAGTAAGGCCAATTGCAGAGATTGTCGGCGACCCCATAACTTACCACCATACTGAGGGAAGTACGTTGAAGGAGTCCCTGGGTAGCCTCCAGGAGCCTGAGGGTTCTGGGGGCTGTAGCCGGCTTGAGCTGGGTCGAACTGCTGGGTGGGATTAGGGGTTTTGTCCTTGCCCCACTTCCGAGTATGTCAGTGAATAGGACTGGGCAAGTCAACGCTTCAGGGGAAGACATACACTGCACTTGAGCGGCCTTCCATTAACATTATAGCCATTCAGCTGGCAAATAGCCATAGCGGCATTCTCGTGGGAATCCATCTTGATAAATGCAAAGCCTCGGTCGGCTTGGAATCGAGATTCAACAACAAAGCCAAAGTTCTGGAAGAGAGGAACGAGATCATTCTGGGTCGTGTACGGCGTAAGATTGCCGACATAGCAGGTAGTCTGCCACGCGGGCGTTTGACTGACAATCATATCGTAGCTGTGAACACCGTGTGTTGGGAAATGGTGATGGCCGTACGGGGTTGTCGGGGTCATTCCCATCTGCTGCATTGCCGACTGCTGTGCTATAGACGGCTGGCCCTTCTGGTTGGCCCAGTTGCAACGGATGGCACGAGATCCAAGCCACTCGCCGTCCATGGAGCTGAGCGCCTTCTCCGCGTCCGGCCGGTCCCGGAAAGCAACGAAGCCGTACCCACGGGAGCGACCAGTCTTCATGTCCCACATGACTCTAGCCTCGGAGACAGAACCAAAGGCTGAAAAGGCCTGAAGCAAGACTTCGTCGTTAACCTCGTTTGACAAATCGCCGACAAAAATGTGAAAGTGGTTCGATGTGTCTTCCTTGTTGGTAGTGTTGGACTGGTACGCCCAGTTCACACGGATTTCCTGTTCAGTAAAGTTAGCTGCTTTGCGACGAAGAGCAGTGGGCAGCAGCGCGCCACACATACCGACTGGTGGACACGGCGTCCGTTCAATGTCTGCATAGCACGCTCAGCTGCACCTGGGTCATCATATTCCACGAAGCCATAGTTGTAGCCCTTGGCCTGTAGCACCGGTATGGTTAGCAAAGTGACTGGTTGTGGGCAGAGAACAGCAGTTATAGCAACTACTGTCAAATGTTGGTTGAGGAACAGCTTACATTCTTGTCAGGAATGATCTTGACGTTCTGAACATGCCCGGTCGTCTCAAAAATCTGTCGCAGAACGTCCTCGGTCACACGGGGGTCTAGTCCACCAACGTACAAAGCTCGCTTGTTAGGCTCGGGTGCAGCGCGGCGAACAAACCCACCACCGCTGCTTGGCGACATGATGCCGCCGCTCTGGTCTCCTCCCGTCAATGGCGAGGTGATGGCAGTCGGGATAGGATTCGTGTTCTGAGGGATATGAAGAGGCGGCGGAGGCATATGCGCAGGGTTTCCCTGGCCGTTCTGGCCATTCTCATATCCTGGGGCCCCAGTGTTGGGCTGAGGAGGGGGAGGAAGCTGAGCTCCAGCGGGAGGGGGGCCAGCATCAGCCATGGTGATTGATGGGGAGGCTATTGAAGGGGCTTGTGAGAAGCTGTCCTCGCAGCAGCGGACTTGATTTGAGCGGGCTTGTTAATTGAAGTGGCGCAACTCAGTTGGCCGGAAGAAGAATATCAGACGGCGAGCGACAAAGCTGAAGAGTCTATGTCTACAAGCTTCGCAAACAAGCGCAGTCTACCGTGTGTATGTTGTTGTCTCTTGAGAAGGAGAGTGATCTGGCCCAACAAGAAAAGAGTTCCTTGGGGACTCGAGGCAGAAACAGGAGCTCAAAGGAGGTGGTTTGCGACCCTTCTTTGCGCAGCGAAAACGGATCGAGTTGCCAGTGAGGCGGAGGAAAACGTTGTCGATCAAGAGGAACAGTAGGAGATTCGTCGTACGAGCGAGCCCGATAAGAGATGCGCCAATGCAAGAGAAGAAATCCCAACGCTGGAAATGGAAAGGATGCTTAGAGCCGGCAGGTCAGCAAGACAGCTAAGCTTGGCTGAAGAGGCGACGGACGAGGACAGCAAAGGCGACGGACGCACGAAATGTGTTCGGAGACTAACGTAACCGTGGGCAGACGGACGGAGCGCAGGCGAGACGGACGGGAGGCGGACCTGGATGGAGGGACCTAGGTAGTTAAGGCAGGCCACAACAGCACAGTACCGTGACGATGATAAGGGAAAGCAGAAGCAGGAAACGACGAAGAAGAGGGAAAAAGAAACGGCCGTAAAAGGAGCAGTCCCCCAGAGGTTCGTTGCAGCAGCCGCCGGTCCAGAGAAGATGGTTTTCTCGTACCCTGCGAAATGGAGAGGTGAAGAGGAGGAGGAGGGAGGAAGGGGAAGGAAAAATAAAAAGAGGAAAGGGTTCAATGTGCTGCAGTGTAGACTTAGTGGAGGAGGAGGGGGGGGATGGGGTCAATTTTTTGATCGTGCCATTTGTATGGTGGAGAGCTGCCAGACCAGGCCAACCTTGGGACCCTACCAAAGGTACAGTAGGTACAGTACATACTATGCAGTACAGTCCCTAGGCTCGCTAGACTGAGGCCCGCCAGATAGACAGCTAGACAACTAGACGGACCGAGAGACGGCTGCCAGTGGGAGGCCAGTGCATTGTGGTTGCAGGTTGCAGCGTGCATGGATTGAAAGGATTAAGAACCTGTCTCTATTAACGCTCAGCTACCTGGTAGGTACGTAAGACCTATCTAGTCACTACACTATGCCTAAAGCTAGGCGATGGTAACGGCTTGGAAAATTGGGGGTCCTCTCTTTCTCTCTCTCTCTCTCTCTGTCTGTCTGTCTGTCTGTCTGTCTGTCGAGAGGTGACTGTGGCGTGGCTGTAGCTGCCTTAGTGTGTGTCTCTCCCTGTGATCCAAGCTTGTTCTGCTGTCTCCCGTCCCTTCTTCTTGTCTTTGGCTCTGGTGCCGTCTTTGAACTTCTGCCAAAATCTAAGAACAGACCAGGAAGGCAGACAAACCCCTGGTAGTATTTGGTCTTGACCCTCCATCTCTCTCTTCAAGTCGGAAGGCAAAAGAATGTTAACAAGCATAGCTATTGCTCTTCAGCATGAGAATCATGGTGCCAGAGAAACTGTCGAATGTCATTTCTAGGAGGTCCTCTGGCTGCGCTAGTAGAATGATTCTCCATTTCATACGGATTGGGAATAACAACGATGCTCGAGTATCGCAGTTCACGCAGATACCCTCCGAACGACGGCTAGCACAGCCAGCCCAATGCAGACGCGGCAGCATCGGAGCTCGGTAGCACGCGATCAAGGCCACAAGGCCACAAGGCCACGGCGGGAATGCTGCGGCTTGCAACGGTTCGGGGATGACAGGAGCTTGCTTGACACCTCCTTTACGGTATCGTTTGCCATGCAACATCACTGCGGGCCTAGCCACGCAGATAATAAGAAGAAGAAGCGACTACAGACGCAACACAATAAGCAGAACACATCTAGCGGTATTGCTTTGGTACCGTAGATGCTGAACTGGGTGGAGTTATTCTGGCCCGAGAAACTCGAGTACCGGTATCCTGACACGGGAAATAAGCAAGCAGAGCTCTCCCGAGCCTTGAAGCACAGACGGCTTATCCACCCGGGGGCAGGGAGCAGAGATCTTGCAATTGACACATCCACAGACCCTCCCGGTGTAGCAGACCCAAACCCGATACCCTGGAAGAAGATGCTACTTGAGTCATACTGAGATCTCGAGTAGAAACAAGACCAGATAGTGTGGACAACTGGAATAGCCAAGATAGACTGGACCAGGCTAACTTGCCTGGATCTCTTTCATGAGCGGCAACCTACTCTGGTTCAGTGAATGAAGGCTTCACCATGTCAGCCCATCACTCAATTAGGGACGGTTGAGCCAACGTCTCAAGTACAAACCAGATACCGATAGGTACCTAAGATATCTGGTCGTAGGTAGGCAATCTTGGAGGGATAGCAGTGACGGCAACTGTCTTTCCGTGCAACCGTTGTCAGTGACAAGCCGCCAATGAACGTCCCACACTCTGATACAGTGCAACTCAGGTACTGAGGGTATGGTGGGGCAACCCGCTAGCTGTTCCAGCCAGGTCATCCATACATACAGCGTCCTCGCCTGCTCTTCATCTCATGGCCAGTCTGCCAGTCCATCCCATTAGAGAATCTGCAGTTTCCGCAGTCGCTGCGGCCCTCATGAGTGCGGAGACATGCATGCAGCCGAAGTACAGGCAGCTGCCTGGGGGAAGCTTGATAGAGCAGCAGCCAGTGACTAATATATCAAGTCGACACACATGGCGTCAAGCAGGATCCTCAAAAGACGAGCCGTCCAAATACCGGTAGCTCGACTGGATCGACTGGCCAGGTGGGGGGCCTGCCCGCCCCAGCGCGAGTTCAGTCTGTTCGTACAGCTCGTCCTCAATCTGCAGTAGACACTACTGCATAGTAGGTAGGTACGCAGTAGCACCATTCGGCGCAACTATTGCGTCGAGTTGCATCCCAAGCGAGCATAATGCAGGTCTTGATAGAGTCGATCAGTGGTCCCGCCTGTCCTAATTTAGACGCTACCCAAGGGCCACCCATACGTACTGACAGTGCTGACCTACTCCCACTAGCGCCGCTGGCGGCAGTGTTTGCCGAACCCAACGACACCTCGAGCGAGGGAGCCACCCCTCCACTGTGGTGGAAACTAACAGCCACACCCTCCCTCGGAAAGTTAGACAGCAGCCAACTTCAGCACCAACTCACCCTGACTTTCTATTGTAGAGATATCTTCACATATCAATTCGCCCGTTTCACTCTCTTGGATCCCACTACTTCCATATCTCATTGAGAGCTGAGGGTATCGGCTTCGGCTCAGCCTCCCTTCTTCCCTAACGCAAGCCCGTCGCCTCGACAGGCCCCCCCCCTCACTTCACTCTCACAACCTCATGATGGTGGCTCAAACAGGGCCCGAGGCCCCCATAGACGTGTTGCAAAAGATGGTGAACGAGGTCGTAAGTGATAAGTACCATTAATATCAATGAACAGTTGGAAACTGATAGGACCTAGCTGGTGCAAACAGGCAAGCTGCTGCACAACTCAAGAAAGGGCGCTCCCGCGAGCGTTCAGCATGCCAACATCAAGTCTCAAGCCAAGATAGTCGCGTCACACAACCGCTTTCACATCGCTCTCGACGATCTCGAGGAGCAGATTGTCAGATCAAAGTCGGTTCTGATGCGCGATCTTGAGCAGCTCCGCGCTGAGCGCCAACAGCCCGTCCAGCCGGCTGCGCCCATGGTGATTGATGAGCCCGAGGAGCTGAAGATTGAGGAGCCCTCTCCGCCGGCTGCTCCTGTCCCAGACATGGATGGCGGAGGCCAAGAGGATCTTAATATGGACAGTGATGTTGCGGCGCCATTCCCCAATATGGGTCTTGACGTGCCTATGGACACACAGCCCGACAGCAGTGTCAAGGAAGAGAAGTCGTCACCCCAACCAGCCGGTGCCCAGCCCGCCCAGCCAAGTAGCGAGCCTTTCAAGCAGGAGGCAAAGACTGACCCGACGCCCCCAGTGTCGGCACCGGCAGCTCCTGGCTCCTCCTTCAACGATGCTTTCGATCTGACAGGCAGCGGCACCATGTCAAATGACGAGCTGAACTTCACTGACATGATGTTCTCTCTGGCCCCGTCTAACGACTCCCAGACTCAAGGCCAGAACCAAAGCCACGACCTAGACCTGACCAACTTCGGGAGTGCCAATAATTTGTTATCTCTCGACGGCCTCGATACTGGCCTGAGCACAAACACAATTGGTGGCACGGGTACGGCTGCAGATGCCGCCCCCGTAGCGCAGATGGAGCTACCTCAACTTGATATGGCTGGCGATACTTCCGGTGCTACAGCGGCCAAGAAGCCCGCAAAGACAACAGAGACAAGTCTTGATGATTTCTTCAACCTGGACGGAAGCACTAGCATGGACAACATCGACCTAGACCTAGATCTCGATGGTGCTGGCGACAACACAAACTTCGACGACCTCTTCTTTGCGGGAGACGATACGGACATGGGTGGCTTGGGCGACGCGGACGCCTACTTCGGACTCTGAAGGAACAATCAACATCTATGAGACGCATTCAGTATAGCAGACGTTGCAGGCTTCGTGATGTTACAGGAGATGATCTCCAAACTCGCCAGAGTGGTGTCTCTTGTATAGCCAACTGGCGTTTGCATTTTGGTCAGAGATCAAAAGAAGTTGGTATATACCAGTATGTTTGCTAGAGATGGAAATCATCAGTTTTATTACTTCCGATAGAAACGGAACAAGCGTTTTGACTGTGACGGTGTTCCCTGGCCATTTCTTGAAGGGATATACCTAGCTAGTGTCCGACATCATATACATAGTTTGACCATCATATACAATCAAGTGGACGGCCGCCGTATAAGCCATTTTCATGCTTCATTCATCGTCAAGGACCTTGGGTTGCATTCCACATTTCACCCAACATCCCCGGAAAAGCGGCATTTCTCCATCCCATCCAGTCCTTGTCCAAGGCTCCCCATGCCTCCTCGTAGCCCGTCTGCTGATTCCGCGCATAGTAGCTGCCCTGCAACGCCCACAGCGCCCAGTCCATATCGTTGCCAGTGGCGTACTCGACGAGACACTGCAAATAGCGACGATCCGCATCGCTGAGCCCCTGGCTCGGCCCGCCCGTCATGCCCACGCCAAACTCGGAGAGCAGCAGCGGACCCGTGTACGCCTTTCCCTGCTCGAGCAGGAACCCGTCGAAGAGGCCGTAGGCCGCCTGCACGGCGTCGCAGCTCTGGAACACGTCGGTGAAGGTCACCGTGAAGGAGTATGCGTGCATCTCCCACACATGCTTCCCACTCCACCCGCTCGTGTCCAGGTTCCTTGTTCTGATAAAGCTGAGGTCCGTGGCCGAGCTGATGCCCCCGATCACGACCAGCAGGTCTGGGTTGACGCTGTGGACGAGCTTGGCTGCCTGGCTTACATATGTGAACCAGTCGTTGTGGGGGCCGTTCAAGTCTTGTAGGAAGGACTGCCGGATCTCGTTGCGCAGCGACATCCCTACAACGCCGGGGCGGCCTTGCGCCCATGTCGCCATGGCCTGTAGCCCTGACAGCCACTGGTCGGTCTTGAAGTATCGCGAATTCAGATCGTTATAACCGAAAGCCGAATCCCACCAGCCATTGCCGTCTGTAAGATTGCAACACCATGTAGCCTTAGACACGTGGTTGTCCAGGATGGTCATAACACCGCGGGTCCAGAGCTTTTCAACAACCGCAGCATAGACGTCCTGGGTGGTAGCAGTGGAGAGGAAAGGGTTCTTCGCAACCGCTGAGTTGTAGAGACTCTGCATAGACTCCACGGGAACACCAGCCTGACTGGCGGCCTGGCTGAAAGCATCAGAGACTTTGAGCATCGGGTTGAGTGCATGGTCGATGGAATACGTCAGGCGCACGCAGTTGAAGCCCTGATTACGGATCCAGTCTGCCAAATAGTCTATGGACTGTTTATGCAGACCTTCGGGGAGGTGCGTTTCCATATGTCCGGCCCAGTTGATACAACGGAACTTGATGCGCTCATTGTTTGCGTCAAGAATCCAACGGCTTGATGTGTGTAGAGGTAGAGTCAAGCCCAGCGCTGGCGAGGCAATTCCCAGTACAACTAGGAAGAACAAGAATGGATTCATAATAGCTGGGTTGGCATGGTCGATATGTATGGCTCGGTAGATACGTTTCGATATTGATACTTTATGAAAAACTGACGTAAGAGGATTGTGACGACATGAGGACAAGATTGTCATACACCAGTGTAGTTCATGGGCTTTGCATGAGCTATCATACATGTGATTCTTGACAAAGTATCGTGGTCCGAGGTGCTTGGGAGTTCCTGGGACTTTGTCCTGATGGGCTTATAGATCACTTGCTTCACTTAGAAGGTGCAAGATGCACTGTAACATTGAACATGCCATAGCACAAATTCTCGGTCCAGGGTGTGACTGCTGAACTCTCTTGAAGGCCGAACAAGAGTAGAACCCAGCCATTGTGGCATCCAATGACTACGAACTGCATCATTGGAGTAGCCCCGAACAGGGCCAAGTCACCGAAGGAGACAATAAACAAACACTAGAAGGAAGTCATTCTGCCTCAGGGAGAGGCAGAAGCCTTGAGCCCTGTTCTTTGTGAGCGGGAAGCCACTAACCACCTGTTCCATACAACGTGTGATTGGGCACTCTTGCCAATGGTTGTCAGGAAATGTCGAATGACAGCTGAAGACGACTGTCAAACATTGGGGGTTTCCCAGTTATAGCTCATCTCCCCCTCTCATAAGGAGTTCGATTTGCATTGAAGATCATGTAATGCAGCGGGGTCAACGCCACATTAGCCACAAAATTGTGAAGTGCGATTGATCGTTGCTATTCGCTTGGTACTCTTCACACTTGTGCAGGATAACTCTAGCTGCTGTAGGGGACTTCAAGGCACAAATTAGTTACTTGGCCACCTGCATTATGCGCTGCAGGAGACCATTTCCCCCGGATTACGATTGCTTGATTTAAGGCAACCTTTCAGAAGAAGTACATACTGCGATGGTAACAGAGGATGTGGTATCTCATATGTTCATATATTCATATCGTAAGCTTCGTAAACACATTGGAGCTGCTATACCTGACAGTACAGCAACCGCTTTCATGAATGGTAATATACGTAAACGGTAGCAGCAAGTGCTACCATCCCTGGACTCCTCGCTCCAGGAAGAGGTGAATGCATAAATCGTAAAAAGGTTATCAGACAACGGCTGGTGCACCAGCTGCCGCCTTCGCCTCAAGCTCCTTCCTCTTCGCTAGCAGGCTTTTGAATGCTCCCAGGCACTGTACCAATCTCTCCTCGTCGTGAGCACACAGTCGGTAGCTCTTCTCCTCGGTAATAATTTGAAGACAATGCGTCTTCGACCTGCTGATTGGGTCGATATCCACCACAGTGAGGATGGAACCAAGGTGAACGATAAATAGAGCCGCATACTCGGACTCGTCCTTGTATAGAATCAAATTTCTCGGCCGAAGAACAGCCCAGCAATCCTTCCATTGCCGCACACCTCCTTTGCTCTTGAGCCACCATAGCCAACCCTGCCAGATGATACGGTCTGGATCCTGTTCGATGTTGATGCCACTGACCTGACTGGCGTTCCTAAGTCCCAGACTCGGACGAGGCTCCATCGACGAAGATGGTGGAGACTGGACAGCAAGGCTCTCAATCGATGCCCCTTGTAAGCGTTGTATGTCTGAGTCGGAGAAATCAGAATGCGATGCTAGCTCGTTTCCTGAATACTCCAGATTCTGGGACGGTCGACGGGCTGAAGGGACAAAGCGTGGTATCGCGGTCTCTTGAGGTTCAGGTGAGCTTGAAGCAAACCGCTCGCGGTCTGATTGCCGCTCTTTGCGACACAGAGCACCAAACCCCATATAAGAGTCCCGACGAACTACCGGACTAGCCAGAAACATTTCTTCCTCCTCCTCTTCTATCCTGGCATCTTTGCGAATTAGGTCTATCCATTGCTGGGCATCCTGCGCTGTCGGGGCTTGGAAATGGAAGTTCCTGGCTGGAGAGAATAGGCCGAAAACATGTTGTCTTTTGTTCTTTGGGTCTTTAAGAAGGGTGGCAGCGGTAAGGTCTGTAAGATATATTTTATGACGGAGCTTGTCCTCCTTCTCGGACTTGTAGACGAAAAGCGTATTCGGTCGTAGCACCAGGTACATCGATTTCCATGCTTTTGTTTTTGTGCGCTTCTGCACATATCCGCTCTTGATGACACGATCAAACTCAAAGCTGCCGTTTTGGTTCACGGGAGAATAAGTATCGAGAGCGAGCTGACTCCTCAGCCTCGTGGCAGAATTCTGTGGGAGGGTGATAGAGGAGCCTGGGATGGTGATGTTGGCTGATCGTTCGATTTTACCGCTCGTCATTGTTGGCGATAGTTGGGTTTGTGTCTCGACCATTGCGGGTGGTTCTTGTTGTTCGTTGTCTGGGGTGTAAAATGGCTAAGCAAGGCTGAGCAGCGAGCTCCGCGCGAGGTCATCGGCGACCTGGCGACTATTTCAATGTCCACGGGGGACTGCTGAGCTGGCACCTATTCGAACTGTCCAAGCGAGGGCGAAAGCAACGGATGCGGGTGCTAGCACGTTCCAGAGGAATTATTCTCAACAAAAGGGGTTTGGACGCGGTTAAGAGGTTGAGGTGTGACGAGGTGGCTGGTCCAGGAGGATCTAGGAGCACGATGCGCCCTCCAACTGTGTAAGCTGTCCCAGCCGCGGAAGGAAGGCGAGAACCCGGTGGACAGCTGCAACGCGTTTCGTCTTCTCGGGCTCGGGCAGAGACCGTGGTGAAACTCGGGAAGGAGAACAAAGTTGGGGAGACGCCGATTGCAGGAGGGACAGTCAAGTGCGGTATATGAGGTAGTGGTAGAGGTAACGTTTGCGGGCGGCGCTAACTTAGAGTCCAGGAGCAGCAGCAGCAGCAATGATCAGCGGCCGATATGTTCTAGCTTCAGGAACACGCAGAATGTCTCGCAATCTTCAGGTTCAAAGCCGCCATCTGATGGCAAGAATGCCAGCCGATGCGATGCTTCATGCACTGCGATTTAGGACGGTCTGAGTGGCAAGCGATGGGAGGGAGCTCGTTTCAGGATTTGCCTCCCCCAGCATACTGTCTGGTGCATCTTATTAGCATTCTAAGGTCGCATCCAAATATCCGGGTGGCTGAGCGACCTTTCGGTCTCAGGACGCGCTTGGCTGGGAGTGTTAGCTTATTACCACTAAGCACATGAGCCTCTTGGCAGAATAAGCTTATCGGCACCTGTGCACCCAGGTACCCACTTAACAATTAATTGAACCCCTGGCCTATAAAGATGGCCATTCGTTACCGCCTCAACCTTTTCACTTTTGATATGGTTAATTACTGGTCACTGGGTCTGCTTGTTGTTGTCAACAGTATCGCTGGGCAAGCTGTTCAGCATCGTGTTTGTTTTCGATGTCGACATCCGGTACAATGCGCTTCGAACTGGAAATCCCCAAGATGTCGTCATGAGGCTCGGAAGGCGAGGTGTCACTCTGTCTAGTGAAGTCACTAGACCTTCTCACGAGATCTCAACCGCTTCCGGCCGATCCAGCTGGTGGAAACTCTATTCTGCCGTCAGTCGTCATCAATCTTCCCTGTTCGCATTTCCAGAGCTAGCTGCAATATTCTAATCTGGCATTGACAAAAACAATGCATTGTGTTAAGTAAGCCAGCGTTGATTTGGAGGAAATCGCTTGTCTTCAATTTTTCAGATTTGGTTGCGGGACCTGCATGCACCGTGTTTGACAATTGGCGAGTTACAATGGCCTAGCCCCTCCAGTGCACTCGTCGTACCTGCAGGTCGGCGACGACTCATCGCCAAATGCCATCTATCACTGGCTTGAACTCCACTTCAGCTGCAATAGTATTCCGTACCTGTGAACTTGGGACTGGATTTCAAGAAGTTATAGTCTACCATCTGGTAATCTCATTCACTCGTTTCTTTTCGGTTCTGTATCTACGAACTTTCCTAGTATATTAATAGGACTTTTCTCGCATTCATTTATCCTTCTTTTACGTGCCTATCCTAAGTGTTGCATCGTTTGGTGAGACAAACTCTGGCAACCAGACCATGGCTCTTCCGCAGGGAATTGCGGAGATCGGGGCAAGGCTCGTAGAAGAGCTCACAGCCACTAAGTTTGCCTGTCAATCGGTTGTTCCGCTCAGTGGCGGTACTGCTAATTTCATCTTCAAGGGACAGTTGAGAACTCCTCTTGAAGATGGAACCACAGAGATCCTCATAAAACACGGCGAAGGCTTTGTCGCCCTCAACCCGAACTTCAAGATTTCGACATCACGTTGTGTAAAGCTATATCTGCAACCTATAATTTGACCAGACTCGCTGATCACATCACAGAAATTTGAAGAGACCTGCATTGAGACACTTCAGCAATTATCTCCAATAAGTACCTCGATATGTGAAGTACGGACGCCAAGGCTATACTCGGCGATACCAGAGTCAAACACTCAACTTCAAGAGTATCTCAAAGGAGCTTTGAACCTGAAGCTGTACTCACTTCATCATTATGCTTCTCCAACCCCTGAGTCCCTCAAATCCCAGTGTGTCAGCATCGGCTATGGCCTCGGGCAATGGCTTCGCAGTTTTCACAACTGGGGCGAGCAGCCAGAGCAAGCCAGGTTTCGATCCGAAATCAAGCAGAATAAGGAAATGCAAGACTTGAAGCACATGATCAATTACGAGTGGCTCATACGCAATGTTGAGAAGCATTCACGCCTACTTGAAACTGCCCGTCCTGTATTTGAGCAAGTGCGAGATATGGCAAAGGCGGAGCTTGCGGATGAAGAGAGTCTACAAATAATCCACGGCGACTTCTGGACTGGCAAGTATGTATTCTCTGCATTCACACGATGACAATACCAAGACAGGCTGGTTAACAAGTGCGCCAGCGCCCTTCTCCCGAATGAGCCCCTTCAGGAGAATGTCTCCATACCAATTTTCATCATCGACTGGGAAATGTGCCAACTTGGTGTTCGACCACTTGACCTAGGACAGATGATAGCAGAGCTATATGAACTCACCTTGTTCAAAGATATTCAGGCTGGCTTGTGGATGGTAGAGGGTTTCGCCAAGGGGTATGACTTACCGAATGATGCGTTCGCCTTTCGATCCGCAATCCATGTGGGAATTCACCTGATCAACTTTGGCAGCTCGGTACCTGGCTGGGGCAGCCCCGAGCAAGTTGAGGAGGTGGTTGAAACAGGGAGGGATATCATCGTAAAGGCATGGGAGAAAGATAGGGAGTGGTTTGCGGACCATGCGCTGGGCTGCCTCTTCGCTACATGATATCAAGTTAAAAAATTCTTTACTGCCCTAGGCTGTAATTGTTCTTCAGAGGTAAAATTACTATTTGCTATGTTTAGCTTGTGTCGTTTCTAGGCCGTTCTCTTGAACCCACGCCTACTACATTGTAAGAGTTTTGCACGTGATCTAGAAAATTGAGCCAAAGAATCAATGACTCTTCTACGTGAAAGCTCACTCTTACCTACCAAGATACACGAGAATGTTATCTCAATAACATTAAAAGGTTTACCTTATCATTTGATGCTTGAAAGTTGTCTCTGTGAAAATGGAGTCAGGGACGGCGGGGTCGCAGCCTGTGCGCTGCAGGAGGTGTAATGAACGAGAAGCCACACATAAGATCAGGACGGAGCCAGCTTGCAAGTATGACTATAGAGCCCTCTCAACTAAAATTTTCGATTCAAACTGACAAATCTATTCAGTGTGTGTTTCTGTCGCTTCATCAACATGAAGACCATCAAACGAATGGAGGTGCTCGACAAAGAGGTCAGGAGTCCAGTGCAGCCTAAGCACTATCTTGTTGGCTTGTCATTTGGCCCGGCCTCGTCATCTATGCTGCACATCCTCGAGGAGAACGTCCAGTATCAATTAAAGAAGCGGAAGTCTGCTTCATACCAACTCACAATTGTTCACGTCGACACAAGTCTTACGCCACCCTCACCCTCTGATGCTGGTTCTGAAGCAGACCTCCTACTAAAACGGTACCAGGAAAGGTACCACCGGTTTTCGTATGAGTGTGTGAACCTGTCATATGTCCTTGAGCTGAAGACCATTGACTGGTCTGTTCTACCATCAATGGAGACCGGTGCAGAAACGGAGCCACGTGAGAAGCTGGCGGGATTCTTTGGCAGACTTCCATCACTTACCTCAAGAGCCGACATCCTCAGGCTCTTTATCCGACACATCCTCATTGCCAAAGCGGTCGAGCATTCGTGCACTGCTTTGCTCCTGGGGTATAGTACCACAGCCCTTGCGGAGCTTACCTTGGGAGAAACGGCCAAGGGCAGGGGCTACTCGCTGCCATGGCAAGTCAATGATGGAATTTTCCCCATACCACATTATCCAACAGATGATGAGCCTCCAGAAAGTGGCCCAAATTCGAGACGCGAACCATCCACAATAGCAATCTACTATCCAGCCCGCGATGTGTTCCGCAAGGAGCTCGTCTCCTATACCGCCCTCACAGATCCCCCGTTGTCTGACCTTATCCCCGAGGGCACAGAGAACACAGGCTCCGTCGTCTCGCACAAGGAACTTAGTATAGAGGATGTGATGGCACGATATTTTGAAGACGTGGAAGCGAACTACCCCTCAGTAGTAGCAAATGTGGCAAGGACAACAGGGAAGCTCGACCGACCACATGGCGGTGATAGATGCAGGCTATGTGGAACAGTTTTGGATGAACAAGGTGACGAAAGGTGGAAGGGAGAAATAGGAGACGATGGCGGCAGCGCCACAGGGAAGCTATGTTACGGGTGTGATAGATCAATCAACAGCTGATATAGCTTTTACAGATGTGTCTTTGACATCGTATTTCTTTATTCAAGGCTCTGAGCCAGGTGCTAACTTTTCTGATGCCCAACCAAAGGTCTACGAATAACTTCTGAACCCGCGCCTGGTATATGCAAAAAGCCAACCATAAAGGGAAACTTGGAATCAAGGGACCCCACAACTCCTTTTTCTTACAAATCAGGGTGTAGCCAAAGCATCTGCTGGCAATATCCTATTCTCGATCTTCCTGATTAGCTTGTTCGTCTGCTCTGCCAAGCTCAAGGTCAAGATGGTATGCGGCAAGATTCGGGCGAGATGGGGTAGAAAGCCTTTGTAAATGGCGAAGAATCCTTCGGTTTTGATTGTCTTGCCCAAGCAGTCGAACACTCCCTTGTACAAGTTGCCGTTTTGGTTGTACAGCCGGGACATGATGGTATCTAGCGGCGGTTAGACAAGGCTTTAGAAACTAGCTTGCGGGTGGATCTTCTTACCAGGAGGGTGCATGAAGACACAGACAACGAAACCACTGCATGCACTACTCGTCAAATGCAGCGCTGGGCCTTCCTCCATGCCGAGATGCTTCACGAGGCGTCTTTTGGCGAAGAAGTACGTTGGCAACTGCACCGAGCTTCCGAAGCCCGTCCGGATCATGGCCGCGCCGACTCCGCGGTACAAGCCGCGGGGACCCTCGCCCTTGTAGATCTGGCTCAAACCGTCCCAGGCATTCCGGTACTTGTGCTGCGTTCCAACAGGTAGGAATGGCGAGTAGCTCTGTAACCTGGTCTTGACAAGGAAGAAGGGGCTTCCGGCAGCTGCACCGATAATGCCGGAGGAGGCACCGCAGAGCATATTGATCCCCAGACTCTGGACTTTCTCATCCTTGAAAATCAAGTTTGACAATGTCTTGCGCATTGGCTCATAGAACCCCAGACGACAACCATTGAGTAGAACCTGGTATATGTATGCTGTTCCCAGGCCACGGTATATGCCCCGTACTCCCTCGTTCCGGATGATGACCGACACGCCGTGGAAAGGTCCTCGGTAATGATGTGGTTGATGTCCCTTGTCTTGTAGTTCTCCTTGCAATTGCATCCTATGCGCCTTGGTTAGTCTAGGCCATCATTGCAGTAATCCAATGGTGTAACCGACCGAATCTTGACCGTCTCGAAAGGATGTGTTGCGGTGACCGCACCGCACGCGGCGATGCCGCCGGCAATGAACGCACTTTCGTGGATGTTAGCTCTAGCTTGAATATAAAACGATATTCCCGGAGTTCGTACCCTACAGTAGTCGACATTGTGCGCTCTTCAAGGTGCGTTGTGTGCTGCCGTCGCAGTGACTCCCAGTCGGTGCTGGTTCCGGAGTCGCAGCCGGAGCTCTCGAGCGAGGATTGTGCTGTTACCGAGCAGCCCGCGGCACAGATGACGGGGAAAATATACAGGGAATTGAAGCAAAGGAGTGGTAGTTATGTTATGATTAGAAACGAGAGGTGATTAGTATTAGGTCTTAGCTCAGATCCATCCTTTCGCATCGATGCTTACTGTCCTCGCTCTACCGTACTGTAGGTCGGTGTTGTTACAATGCAGTGCGGGTTATTGGGTGTTGTAAACGAAACCTTGCGCTGACCTAGCTCCAGTAGCGGGAAATTTTTCCCTGGGTCCTCGCAAAAGTCGCTGCGGATTCGGAGGGTGCAATGCGATGCCCGCCTCAGCTACGGGGAGTGTCCCAACTAGCCGGATGACGGCATTTGGCGCCCGCTGCCATCAGCACTGTCGGGCGAGGCACACGGACCATCTGTGCTCTGCCCTGGCTCGCCCGGGGCTACAACAGCACCAGCGCACCACAGCATTACCAGCGGAGGGGAATCTGGATCTCGGGCTGCTGGTTGGCTAATAATCTGCAGTAGCTCAACCTTGAAGACGCCAGCTTTACGACGGAGCTCCACCGCAGCTTTTTCAAGGGGACCTATTGGTAGTAAACCGCATCATCATATGCACTTACCTTAGCTTCCAATTCAATCGAGCCCTTGAGAAGCGCGCCTCTCACTCTTGAGACACGCTTACTACCACACAAAACAGCCGAAAGCGCCTGAGAACTGGATCATCTCAACTAAAAACCTCACGCACAGCTTGCCGGCGCCGCATTGACTCGACAGCCAGCGCGGAATAGCCATGGCGTCCACTCCAATGGACCTCGACGGCCCCGAGTCCTCACCGGCAAACAATACCCCAACTCTTAACATCACTCGTACCTTAGGTACCAATATCAACAGCACAGGTCTAGTGAGCGATGTGATCGCGAACTTCAGACCGACAAAGGTTTGTGTTCTTCTGTCCCGACTTGCTTTCTCAACCACTAACGAGAGGCGTTGCAGCACTTCAGGCGAGACGATGTCAAGGAAGGCCGCCCCCAGCCTCACATCCTGTCTCTGGATTTCGACGACCCTGGCGAGCTATGCATGACTTCAGAGAGTGACGAAACGATTCAGATCTACAATGTCAGGGAAGGTCGGCACGACAAGACCCTGCTAAGCAAGAAGTACGGCGTGAAATTGGCCAAGTTCACTCACACAAGCTCGAGCATCGTGTATGCGAGTACAAAAGCGAATGGTACGTTTTTGTAGATTCCAAAGACTCCGATATCGCTAATTGAATACCTCTACAGATTCGATCAGATACCTGGCAACTCATGACAACTCCTTTATCCGGTACTTCGAGGGACACGAAGGCACTGTTACATGCCTAGCAATACACCCAGGCGCCGACAACTTCATTTCTTGCAGCCGAGACGACACAGTCCGACTATGGGACATCGGTACGAAGCAATGGACTGGAAAATTGTTCCTGAAAACACCATATCTCACGGCATGGGACCCTTCTGGCAAGGTATTCGCGGTTGCTTCATCAAGCGGTGGAAGCATCTTACTCTATGAGCACCGGAATTTCGACAAGGCACCGTTCTCTACATTCGATGTAGTGGCAGCTGGCGCCTCAGTCGACCAACACTATACGATGCAGGGATGGACAAAATTGGAATTCTCCAACGACGGAAAATGCGTCCTGCTAGGCACTCGCGGCAATGGTCACTTTGTCCTGGATGCCTTTGACGGCAGCCTGCGAGCCTACTTGCGCAAGCCCGAAGGCGGAACACGAAGGGCAGCTGCAGGAGAGAGCAGCGCCGGCAATGGCGCCTCTTCAGAAAACCCGGCGAGTCTGGAGAGCAGTGGGGACTGCTGTTTCTCACCAGACGGCCGATATGTCTTGAGCGGATCGAAGAAGGATGTTCTGGTGTGGGATCTGCTTAAGGTCTCGCCCGAGAAGAAGACTTTAGATCCGACCTATGTTCTGGAGGACAAGCGAGAAGCGGCTGTTCTGGCATACAATCCTCGTTTCAATCACCTGGCGACAGCCGACCAAGATCTGATGTTCTGGTTACCGGATCCTCACGTATAGCGCATTCGAAATACGGTTTGATTTCATTGGGCTTCATGAGGAAAGGAAGTGCTCTCACATTTAGAGGGGTCAACGTCATTTTTTCTGGTGGAGAAAAGATGATACCCGTTGCATTGAAGGCGTCAAGGGAATGAGGTTTAAGGAGTTCTTGAGAGGCAAATAATCATCAGCAAAGCAAAAGTAACATGAATATGGTTCAAGTGTTAATATTAAAAGGCTATTGTATGAGTACAGTCAATTAGATAGCAACTTCGTTTTTTGAAGCAAGACTCTATTGGCAGCTTCTATTATTACGCACAAGTCTGTGCTGTTATGAAATTGATAGTAATGTAGATGAGAGCGGTTAGCAAATGATTGTACCCCTATTCTGTAGGAGCCTCCTAGATGGCTTGAATTTCTGGGTGAGGCTCACACCTAGTGGGATATCGATGGATGAGCTGATGAGCTCCCTTCACAATTGGCTGCCCCGCAGTGACCAATAACCCCACCACATCTCGAATACTCAAAAACTCCAAATTCCACTATCAGCACCGTTCGCGTGACGTACACAAAACCATACAATATACTCGCCTTCGCAGACGACGACACCCTCGTGCCCGCCGGGAATAACACCATAGTCGCAGCTGAGAACGCTTGGGTGCCTGGTCCACTGTTCAAGAGAGTGGACTGGTGGGAAAACATCGCCAAAATGCCTACCTACCCGACCAGCCAGGAATGGCTGCGCCAATCTTCTCTCCTTCTTGAGGCCCGACCTTCCACAGTAAGTACACTTTACTGATGCAAGAGATGCTCTGTCAATGGTGCCCTTGATCGAAGGGACGTAGCCTTGGTCTGGGCTAACTTGCCTCCCCTACAGACCCGCATCACAAGCAAATACTCCATCAAGCCCGCGAAGTCAAGGCCAGCGAAGGAGGGGGCCGCGGCAGCAGCAGCAGACGCGGAGCCGAAGCCGCCGCGCGGGCGACTCGTGCTCAAGACGTTCGATCCGGTCGGCGGCGTCACGCTCAAGTATAAGACGACTAAGGCCGCCGAGGTGGCGCGGCTGATCCAGATGCTGGGCACGCTCGGCCGCACGATGGCGGCGCTGCCACCGCTGCCGCAGGAGGAGGCCATGCCCGATGCACCGAAGGAGGAAGCGCCGGCACCAGTAGCCCCTGCTGCGGCTGCCGCCCCGTCACAGCCAGGGCAGCAGCAGGGTGGAGGCGGTGGAAAGGGTAAAAAGAAGAAGGGCAAGAGGTAGCGCAGTGATGTATGTATAGGGAGGGAGTGCGGAAACGTAACCTAACGAGGGTTGCCATATTTCAAATTGCTAGATGGCTGATTGTCAAGGCATCTTGGAGGGTGGACCAGTCAATACCAAAGCGGCAATAGGATCAAGAACATTCAAGACGACGAGTGCATAGGCGCGCTATGTTTGCTCATATCGTCCATTGATTTTCTAGCAATGAAATCTACTAGTACATGTCTCTTCCAAAGACATCAATTCGTTTCCCATCAGCATACCGCGCCATGACCATAACCGTTGCTCTGCGCAGAGTATAATAAACACATGACCCAACTCCTCGAAACGCCATGAAATGACAAAGAGGTATTTTGAGACGGGATGTACCGCGATTAGAAGGGGTTGAGACACGCCCGAGGACAAATCCTGCTGTCCGCGTCTATGCCAAAAGGAAAATGCAATGTGATGTAATGCATATACAAGAGCAAAGACCGCAGCACAGGTTTAGAAGTCGTCATCGAAGGAGAAGTCACCACCGTTCTCGTTCTTGGCCTCGGGGGAAGTGACATCGTCCGAAGCGACCTTCTTTGTGCTGTTCATGACACCAGCTTTCTGGTACTCGCCAACCCGCTTCTCGAAGAAGTTGGTCTTGCCTCCAAGGGAGATGTTCTCCATGAAGTCGAAGGGATTGGTAGAGCGGTAGACCTTCTCGTTGCCGAGAGCGACAAGGAGTCTATCGGCGACGAACTCAATGTACTGCTTCATCAGATTGGCATTCATGCCGAGCAGAGCACAGGGCAGAGCCTCAGTCAAGAACTCTTGCTCGATCTTGACAGCATCGATAATGATGTCGCGGACAACCTCCTTGCTGGGTCTGTTCTTCAAGTGTGAGAAAAGCAGGCAGGCGAAGTCGGTGTGGAGACCCTCATCGCGGGAGATGAGCTCGTTGGAGAAGGTCAGGCCGGGCATCAAGCCACGCTTCTTCAGCCAGAAGATAGAAGCGAAAGCACCGCTGAAGAAGATACCCTCAACGGCGGCAAAGGCGACGAGGCGCTGAGCATAGGTGGAGTTACGGTCCTGGATCCACCTGATGGCCCAGTCGGCCTTCTTACGGATGCAAGGAATAGTGTCAATGGCATTGAAAAGGTAGGTGCGCTGGGCAGGCTCCTTGATGTAGGTGTCGATGAGAAGAGAGTAAGTCTCTGAGTGGATGTTCTCCATCATAATCTGGAATCCATAGAAGCATCGAGCCTCGGGGATCTGCACCTCTCCGCTGAAGCGCTCAACCAGGTTCTCGTTGACGATGCCATCAGACGCGGCGAAGAAGGCCAAAATGTGAGAGACAAAGAACTTCTCATCGTCATTCAGACGATTGTTCCAGTCATGAAGATCCTTGGAGAGGTCAATCTCCTCAGCAGTCCAGAAGGAAGCCTCAGCCTTCTTGTACATTTGCCAGACCTGTCAAGGGATGTCAGCGCGTCAACCACTTTACGCGTCAGAGGGGCAAGTCGCGTCGCGTACCTCGTGATACTGGATGGGGAATAGGACGAAACGATGAGGGTTCTCCTTGAGAATGGGCTCCTCGAGTTCCTCAGCAGAGAGACCAGGGGCCTTGGGGGCCTCCTCCTGCTTAGCGACCTCGAGGGCAATGGGCTTGTCGGCCTGCTTGGCATCCATGCTCTTAGCGAGGTCAGTGACACCGGCGTCAATCGGCTGGTTCTCCTTGTCGGCGGCACCGAAGTCGAGCTTCTTGACGGGAGACTCGATCTTGAAGTTCTCAATGGCAGAGGCAGCCTGGGAGAGACGCGTGTTAGCAATTGAGGCTGTCAAAGAGGCTGGCGACGATGGCGAATTACCTGCTTAGAGGGGGTGATCTCGACAGACATGGTGTCAATGGGGATGAATTGAGGGTAAAGGAAGATGGAGAGCAGCCGCAGATGACGATCAGATAAGGAAGATGGTCTGTAAGATGCGGATATGCTGAATGGGAACGCGGTGTTGCGGAAGTGGAAGTTTGTTGAGACGTGTAGGCGGATTGAAAGCAGAATTTATGAGCGGTGCTAAAGTGGTCCCGGACGCGCCAAACACCAGGTCACGTTCGCGGGGCGTGTTTGTGCGGACCCCCTGTAAACGCGTCGGACCCGCCCTGTTTCTCGCCCTGGGCACTCAATTTCCCCAGCCTGTCAACACCAGCCACCTGATTGTGATTCCTGTCGGTGTTAATGGGCAAAAACAGCCGGCTGCACCTCGTAGACCGAGCTGTTGATGGAGACTGCCCAGCTTTGTCATGGATTATGGCACGAATATCGACCCATTGGTAAGGATGGTGGATGTTTTTATGCTGTCATGAACAATGGAAACTGAGTTTCTTAGTCTCTGTTGCCTGCGCCCTAAGTGACATCACCAATGGCATCGCCAGATACTCGCCAACGCCCTCCCACATCTGGATCTTGTACATTGCTGAACATATGAATCGCCCACTACAAGATAGACCATATGGGGGGAAAAGGCCAGATTATTTTGTTATTATGAGCATTTATTGAACTCAATGGGCTTGCCATGCTATGAGAATTACTACTATTGCTAAACATGCCTGCCTGGACTATCAGAACCTCGAAACTCCTGATGCGACTCGTGCTGGTATAAGCCAATCTAACGCCTTATGAGACTTGAATCGATATAATGAATCGAAGAGTTGGACTGACACGTTGCCAATGTCCAGCTTATGGTCCCTGGAGCATCACTTTCGCCCGCTGCTCGACGGCTTCGCGCGGCCGTTGTCCGGCCGGATACCGCTCATAGCCATCTCCTCGTCGCCTTGCCGGTTTTTGCTGCCGCCGAACAGTCCGAGTCGAGATTTGGAAGCCGCGGTTGGAGGAGCCTGTGGCTGAGTTGCCCCCGGTTTGATGAGATTGTTCGGGTTTCCAGCTGCTAGTTTCCGTTCCTCCTCGCCCTTCTTAATCAGGTATTCTTCCAGTAACCAGGCGTTGCGGGTGTTGGCTCGGAAGACGGCGTCAGCGAGATCTCCCAAGAACGGAATCAATCCCACGGCAAAGTCCAGCATGATGTTCAGCATCATCCGCGACTTGAGTGCTGCGGGAAGGCCCCCATCGATTTTGCTAGCGTGCCGCATGACCATGACTGCCAGGAGAGCGTCTATCACATCACCGATTGCGGGAATGATACCAATCACGCTGCTCCAGCCGAAGCGGATGCCGCAGCAATTGAATAGCGACATGTCTAGGCGCCATGCCTTCCGACGAACACTCTTGAGAATCTCGCCATCGTGTGCGGAAATGCCAGGTGGGACGCCTTTCTTCTGTTTCTTGACCCTTCCGGTGTCGCGGCCGTGCTTATCGTAGACCTTGACCTCCTCGTGATAGGGATCCTAGCAGACGGTTAGCTTCCCGGGTCGGATCAGTACAGGGAGTGAGGCTAATCATCCAAGCCCACTAACCTTTGAGTTGATGTTCTTCGAGGCTGCGTCTTTCAGCGCCTTCTTGGCGACCAAATTGAAGATCGCACCAGACATTGTGACTGACTATGATTTCGTGTGGATGTTGATGAAGAGGTCAAAATTGTTGAGTGCAGAAACGCCAAGGGCAGACGATGGCCGTGTTTAAAAGTAAAATGCTGTAATGGTCTGGGCGTTTCTTTGTGTGGCGGGTGGGAGATACGAGTATTGGTTGGCCGCGCGTGAAAGTCGTTTGTTTCAGAAGGCGCTTTGCAGACTTATATTTAGGGACAGCACTCGACCCGACCCAGGTTCAACAGCTGTGATTGACTGCTGGCAAGAGATCTCAGATCACAGAAGGAAACAGAAATCTGAACACGTCGGACTACCTACCTAGGTACGGTACGGTCTTTATGAATGTTAGGCTTGGGGAACTGCCGGAGGGCGCCCATACGTTTGAGGCCCCATGCTACGCCCGCTTTCTTGATTTCGCGACACGCATGTAAATCGCAAATGCCCAATGACGTCTCTAAGCCGATGCGCGACCAAAGCGTACTAAGGTAGGGGACTGAGCTTGTTTCGTGTGGCTGAAGCTGGCGAGCTAGAAAGTGAAGAGCGGGGCTAATCAGGAGCACAGCCACATCGGTTTTTCTCCGGGCCAGTGTGGCTCCCTCCAGCGTGGTTGTTTCAGTGAGTAACCGATGCAGCCCAGTGGCAATTCAACAAATTGATAGTCAGGCACTAGCCACACCTGCATTTCAGTTGTGGGCATGATGTGTGTGTAGCGGTATTTTGCTAGAGAGGACTCACTAGCGTACAGCCGTCACATTGGCACTGAATAACTGATCTGGCACCACCAAACCAACTGACCAACCAGCACCTTCCGCCTTCCGGCTGCTGTCGCGAATTGGGAAACCCACTGCAGCTGTCCATTTGTTGCGATCGATCCACGTCGTCCATCTCCCCACGTCTTATCGATACAACCCACTGCCCGGTCTACCCTACCACAGCTCGCCTCACCCACAAGACTCACTCCCTTCGTTCCTGCGACTGATGCGAACACATAGCGGGAAGTCACAGTTCACTAGTCTCGTCGTTTCACTTACCTTATCTCCCATCCCTCGCGCCATTCGCGGCTGATCTCGTCCCTTCGTACGCCGAACTTCAACCCATTGCGACGACTTCACTTCAGCTTAGGGTCGCCTCCAGACCACTCACTCTCGGCTCATCCAACGTGCCAGCGTGACAGCTGCTATTTCTCTATTACCGTGGATATGCTTGACGCGTTCAATCACGATGACAGAAAGGAAGATGCAACTCGAGGATTGTGAGTCAACAGAAGAGATATTCCAAGTCGACCTGCTTAGAGGTTCACACCTCATGATGCATACTAACTGTGACCTCAAGGGCTGGACGACCTCTGCGTCCGCTTTATAATCAACCTCCCACAAGAAGACCTGTCCACGGTCGCGCGAATATGCTTCCAAGTTGAGGAAGCCCAGTGGTTCTATGAGGATTTCATCAGGCCACTGGATCCAACTCTACCGTCGATGACCCTGCGAAGCTTCTGCCTTCGCATCTTTCAGCATTGTCCTCTACTCGCACCGTTCTCTGTTGAGAACCATATGCGAGCGTTCGAAGAGTTTCTCCAGTACAAAACCCGAGTACCCGTCCGAGGTGCAATCCTTCTCAACGAAGCGATGGACTCGACCGTCTTGGTCAAGGGCTGGAAGAAAGGCGCCAATTGGAGCTTTCCCAGGGGCAAGATCAACAAAGACGAGGATGATCTGGAATGTGCCATCCGCGAGGTCTACGAAGAAACCGGATTTGACATAAGGGCAGCTGGCCTGGTCCCTGAACGCGATGAGGTGAAATATATTGAGGTTACAATGCGGGAACAGCAATTGCGCCTCTATGTCTTCCGCAACATTCCCATGGAGACACATTTCGAACCAAAGACAAGAAAGGAAATCAGCAAGATTCAGTGGTACAAGTTATCAGAACTACCAGCGTTTCGGAAGAAAGGCAATCAACAACAGAACGATGCGGCTGCTGCGTCGAATGCAAATAAATTCTACATGGTCGCCCCCTTTCTCGTGCCTTTGAAAAAATGGGTTGTCCAGCAGAAGAAAAAGGATGCCGCTCGCAATCCTCATCATGGGCACCTCTTTGCACAACCTCTCAATGAAGAGCCAGTCACTGAAGAGGAAAGTGGTCTCCAGCCGGAGCTTTTGAGCGAATCATCACGTATCACCCCTGCAATTGATACGCTGGAAGGCGCTACAAGAGAGCTCCAACGCCTCCTCAAAGTTCAACCACCGACACAGGGTCTGCAAGTTGGGTCAACAGCCCAGAATAGTGATAAGGGCGGTGCGCTGATGGCTCTACTTCAAGCCAAGGGTGGGGAGCCGCCTCAACAACCTCCTCAGGTCAATAGTCAAGTCCCGCATACGCCATTCGATCTCACGTACACTCATGCCCCTGAGCCTCACACTCCGCATCATCACCATCCTTCGCAGCGCTTGCCTTTCTCTAGCTATCAAGCTCCTCCATCTTTCCCAATTCCTCCAAACATGAATCAAAACTTTGCGGGTTCTTACGGTCCTGCACCTAATGTTCCTCCTCAGATGATGCCGCAAAATCAGTACCCAAATCAGCACGCGGCATATATGGTTCCGCCTCAACATCAACGCGAACCTATCCAGCTACTACACCCCCAACCGTTACCACCCCAGGTTCCTAATGGTCTCCTCACCAAGGGTTTTGTGCCAACGCCTGCGGTACCGGAGGAAAGATCCAATGTGCCCGAACTGGCTGGTCAACACGTCCGGACTCAATATGACACCATGCAAGTGATGCAACAAAACTATGTTGCGGCTAGTAGGGCTCCACAACATCAGCGAAACCCTCAAGCTGCGGAGCTGCTCAATATCTTCAAGCAGGCTGGCAACCATACTTCGGAAACCCACACTCATGTCACAGCACAAGCACAGCCATCGGCTGAAGATGATCGTCAGGCACCGCCTGTCAACTGGGCTCCTTTGACGTCAACCTATGGCCCTCAGCATGGCTCCAACCCTACTCGACCCACAAACATAACATCACAGCAAATGCCTAGCAATGGGTCTTCACAATTTGCTGGTGCTCAAGCGCCCCTCAGACAGCCCCAGACAACTGAGAAGCAAAAGTCTGCTCTTCTTGACATATTCAAGCAGCAAGGCCCCGCGCCGGAAACTCATCAACGTCACACGAGCTCTCAAAATCCCACGATTTCCCAACCTCAGCAGGTTGCGTCTCGTTATGTTTCTAGAAATCCGAATGTCGAAAATGTTATAACATCTGCACAAGTGGGTGGTGGTCCTGGCCAAGTTAACCCCGATCTGAATCTCCCATTTGGAGCTCTTTCAATTCTTAGTCGGTCTAAGAACCCGAATGACCAGCTCAGCAACGAGCCGAGCCCAATGCAGCAGCCCCAGACGGCTCTGTCTCGTTCAAGTGAGCTCCCAGCTCCTGCAAGCAAACCCCTGGAGATCATAGGATCCAGCCATGTACCACTAGCCTCGCACCCAAATTTATCTCCCTATCAAACCCAGGCCTATCACGGATTACCAAGTCCTCAGGCAGGATCATCTTTCAGTGGCTCGGGAGGCGTTCAGCGGCGTCAAGACGCCAACCCAGAACAACGACAAAAACTTCTGTCACTGTTTGGCAAGCAACAGGCATCACCCACTGGTTCCTTTTCCGACGATAAGGGCAAAGTTAAGGACCAAAGTGTATACGAGCAAGGGCACAGCGGTACGCCTCGATCTCGCGTCGCGTCTTTGGCCTCCGCTAGTGGGGATGGGGCTTCAGGGGGCGCTTCTAGGTCAAGGCGCGGCTCTCAAACCCCTATCTCTCCTGCGGAGCGTAGCTTCCTGCTCGGCATTCTTGAGTCCGTATCCAACAGTGCTCGTTGAAGACTTTCTGAAAGAGCAGGCATCAACGGCAAGAGAGCGTTTGACACGAGCAGTAATCAGTCCTCTATTGAGTGTTCTAGATTGATTGAGCCCGCATCATGCGCTTCTCTGTTGCAAAGCTTAGGATCCTTGGAATTTCGATCACGTATATCGTTAATATCATCAATGCATCGGAAACAGCAAATGTTACCATTGGGGGACATGCATCGCAAGGAGTTGGTTGTTGGACATAGTTTCTCTATCCAGTGGCCGTCTTCGTGTCTCATATATACCCTTAATAAGTCAACCTGAGTTTCATACCTTCAGCAATTCAAGCTGTCTATGACAAAAAGACGAAGCCGTGGTATTCGTGGGGTCTTGCCTGCCCGATGTAGAAATTGGTGTTGTGCACGGGATCTCGATTGGCAGCCATATATATCCATGCACATGACAATACGTGCTGCTTGATTAAGTCATGTACGACGCAAGAGTGGACTGATATACACTGCATTTCGCACGCTTTTGTAAGTCTCCTGCCGTCTCCAGGTTTTACCAATCCTGTACCCCACGCAGCTAGCCGTGGTGGTTGTTGCAGTCGGGAAGAGCCCCTCCCCGCTCGTCCTCGTAGTAGCCTCCGGCTAGACCTAGATACATGGTGTGATCTATCCAGCGCCTGCTCGCCCCATCCGATGGGAACGTTCCCAGAGAGCCTCCGGGGAAGCTTGACCAGTGTCTTGCCACTCTCCGTCTGAGGTTGGCCACTTCGGGAGCGAGCGTTCGGTTGCCCCAGCTGATGGTTTGAAGATTTTATTTCTTACAAAGTCCCTTATCTATGAGCCATCGGCCACTAACATGGCGAGGTTCAACATCGAACCACCATCCGCCACCAACCCCATCTCAGGCGGCCCAGACCGGTGAGCAAACATCAACATCTCTGGAGAGTGCCGGTTTCGCATGCCTCAGGGTGATGTTACCCCCTTCTTTGCTTGAGGGAATTTCTATAAAGTTCAATATGTTTTCTCTCGTGACTGCCACCTCTCTTGGCTTGATGTATACATAGTGGGCAAACGCACAGCTCGAGTGAATTGTGTTCGAAACGGTTTCTTTCTTGTATGACAACCTGTGCACTGCAATATCACGGTCATCCCCAGAAAGTTGCAGACAAGAACGAATATTTGGTTGGTGCTCTCAAATTGAAAGCACAAATCCATAATGCTCTACAACGAGTCCCCGGATACGCTCTTCCAGCCAAAGAGCGCGGTTGATCCGACAGGCTATGGCAAAGTCGCTCTCGTGACGGGCTGCGGTTCGGGCATTGGACTTGCAACCACGCAGCTACTCCTGGCGCATCAGTTCCAAGTCTGCGGGCTCGACATCAACGCATTCGACTACGACCTGCTGCGGCTCGCGGACCATGGCCGTTTTCACTTTCACAAGGGCGACCTCACGGCGCCGGGGGCATGCGAGGAGGGCGTGCGGATCTGCCTTGCGACGTTTGGGTAAGTCTAATTCGTTATCTGGCACCTTTCAGGGGCTGGATGCTCATCTTCGAAATTTAGATCAAACATCGACGTTCTGGTCAACGTTGCCGGCGTCATGGACAACTTCAGCAGTGCGGATGGCGTGTCTGACGAGATGTGGGCGAGGGTGCTGGAGACAAATCTCACTGTGCCAGTCAGGATGATGCGCGCTGTTATTCCCTTTATGAGGGCAAAGCAGGACGGTGTGATCATCAACGTGGCGTCGACGGCGGCGCTCAGTGGTGCCATCGCGGGTATAGCATATACGGCATCCAAGCACGGATTGGTAAGCGTCTTCCGAGAATACCATCCGGTGTCAGTGTTTTGATACTAAGAAAATGACCAGCTTGGAGCGACAAAGAACGTTGCCTGGAGATTTCGCAACGAGGGGATCCGCTGCAACGCCATCCTGCCGGGCTCGATCGATTCCGCTATCGGCAAGGCGATTGCAGAGGGCGGAAAGGAGAGCTGGGACGCGAGCGCTTACGCAGAGGTTGCGTATGTCTTCCAGTGCTTCGATAGAAGTATCCCACCATCGAGAACATCGTTACTGACAGTTACAGGCCTGTCCATGCGTTACAAACCAAGTCACGCAAGATAACGCCTCTCGAGGTGGCCAAGACGGTTGTATTTCTCGCCAGCAACGAGGCAAGGACGATCAACGGCGTCAGCTTACCAGTTGATCAGGCATGGAGCGTAGTCTGATCGCAGCTGACTCGCTAGCAGCTATTTTGAATTTGGAGCATTCTGGAGTCTTGGACATTTGGGAGCAAAAGTCACTCGCTCTTGGATAACGGGTCAGGCGGTCTGGTCTTCCTAGGGGGCAGCGCTATTCATAAGCATATAGTCTAAAACGGCCCGACTGAGCATCGTCATATATAACTTCGAACAACCGTAGCATCTCCACGCACTTCTCTCCCTGACTTTCTTAACCATGGTGATCAAGAGACCCCATGTACTATCAATTGATATACTGTGCTCCAATGTAGCCCCAGGGTTGTGTGTGGGGATGTGGAGAAGCGGCTCTGTGCGGGCCGTCTCCCTAGCTTCGGCAGTTATGAGTCTTTGAAGCTAATCGGGAAATACTTTCGTGATCCGCGATCTGCAGGATCTTGGATGATGTGAGCAGCGGGGAGATTTTCCTATTTACCGAACAAAAGATCCTTCCAGTCAACGGGTTTCAGGGGGATAAATCATGATGTACTGGCAAGTGCTTTTCAATAAGTCGTCTGTCGCATTTACTCTAGCAAGCGCAGACTGAGTTTCCAGAATTATCTTCTATATTTAGTGAATAGTACATTTGCTTCTCTTGTTGAGGACTTTGTTGCCAGACATAGCTTCCCTTTGCGGCTGAGCTTTCTAGCTTAGGAACTGCCACTAAACATAGCATCTTCTCGTAGGAGTGACTGTTCCAAACAAAAGAGTCCGAGAAAGAAAGAAACTGGGATATGGTGATTATACAGGCCGAACGATGCCCTCTAAAAAAGCTTCTTCACAGTGTTTGAAGTGGAAAGGTGGTTGTTTTCTGGATGGCTCCTAATCCACTGTCTATTACACCACAAACGGATGGGTTCATTGGTCTAAAAGAGCTCGTATTATTAAGATAAATACGACTTTTCGCCCGAAGTTGTACTTTAATGGGGGAATATCAACAAAAGCCAATGTTTATGGTCTCTCAAGGAACGAGAAACAGTAGTAGTATCTCAGGTATTCCTACTCTACTCCGTTGACAAAAGAAAAGGGGGTATTCGTAACTCCAACACATTCCGGGGTTCCGTCAAAACCTTAGCAAAGCCAACGAAAGACTGCCTGCAAAAACTGATCTAAATAAGACACGCGATTTCAGAGATAAAAAGAGTCTGGACCAGGTTGACGACCAAAACACGCATACAGATGTAATGACTAACCACTGGGTGGCTCCTATGCCGTGATTCCAATCGAGTTCTTAACATGAAAGTCATCGTCGTCGTTATCAAGATTGAGCAGGTGGAACCGATTGGCCATCCTATTGTTGGTCTTCTTCTGCGGCACAATCTCTTTGCGTGGCTTGACAGGGACAGGCATACGATCGAGCGCTTGAGCGCACTCATCTAACTCCCAATCGATCTTCAGACCCTTATATTTGCTACACAGTAATTAGCATGAAATTCCTCATCGAGCACTCGGTTCTAACTTACCCCCGACTCATCATGCAGGTTCTCGCAAACATGGCATTGTGCACTGAGTTTGTGGAGATGAAGCAACTGCTACCAATGAACTCGACCTTGATCACCACAAGGTTGTGGATGTGCTCCAGATCATCTCGAATACTCTCCTCCGTAATCCGAGGATCGCAACGTCGAATGACGAAATTCCTTGTAGCTCCAATGCCGATCTTGCTGGCAACATGACCGGGCAGGATAAACTGACGGTCGCTCCACCGGATCTCCACCTGTTTGGCTGTGAGTATGCACGCTCAAAGACAGTGCTTCAAGAAGCGACTTACCCGCTTATTTTTGATGTACAAGTCGTTCTTCTTGACATGATCAAAGAAAGCCCTAGCATCGACAGCATGCAAAAACGAGATGGCCACTGAACGATCGTTCGCTCGCAGGTAGACATCCAGCAACTGCCCGCCTCGAACAACTCTGGTGACGTCGGCATGGGTGACACCTTCGGGGAGATTGGTAAGTAGAATGGTCCTGGTGCACTGGCGGTCGTATTGAGGCCTCTGCGTCGGCTGAGGGAGGTCGATCGGGACATTCGTCTCATCTACCGGGGCCTGTAATGAGATAGAGTCAGGGCTAAGATCTTCATCTACCCAATCCTCCGACTCATGGACATGAACATTCGCGAAATGTTTGCTCCAAGTCTCATAGTTTCTAATGTTGGTCGGAAAGCCCCGCGGTGCTTCGTTATATGCAGGGGGTGGTGCTTGCATGGCCAGGCGAGCGCCTCCATCGCCAATAACACCCACCTTGGTCGTGGTCGGCTTAATGGGCGGTGTGTCTTGGATTGTTGCATCATCTTGGCTAAGCAACTTTATAATCATCAGCAAAGGGCTCGAGAGAAACGACTAATACTAAAAATCATAACATGTCAAGCAATTTCTGCGCTTCGCCCGTGAGAGCGTGGCACGATGGAAACGGAGAAATAACCTACATCAACAGTACTCTCGTCTACGCCACCTCTCAGCAGGTTACGTTTCAGGTTCGCTAAATTGTCGAGTCAGCAATGTATCTCGACTGCAACTGACTCACCATTGGAACTATGCTGGAGTATATATATGTGGACAAATGGATAGCTCTGAAATGCTGGAAACCACCTACCATATTGTCTGGCGATCTTCTTCAAGTCATCGTGTTCGGTCTTGTTGAGTATGATACCAGTAGGGGTTTGAGCGGGATTGTCGATATTCTAAAATCACACTTGGTCAAGATCTGTAGCATAGCAAAGATCCGAAACAAACGTACGAAGTCGGCCCTAAGAACGTGGCACAGATAGTCAGCCCTATGCTACAACAACGAATGCCATAGTGGGTCTGCAAGCTTTGGATGTAACATACCTCCTGACAAGAGTCTCAAAATATGCTCGGTCGATTGTCACCATGTCTGACGCCATTTTGACGGGAGGGACTGGTGTCTTGGGGGAAAGACAAGATAATACAAGAAGAAAAGGAGGCGGAGAGGGAGAAAATAAATAAAGAAGGTAAAGTGATTTTGCAGAAATTACCTAGGTAGGTAGGAAGGAAAGAAGCCCAAGCCCCGCGCATCGACTGAGGGCCTGCCTCGTCACTGTCGTTTGTTCTCCCAAATCTTGCAGATATCAGATTTCCGACGGCCAGGATCCCCAAACAAGCTACTGCCAGGTACTTGCACGACCACTGTGAGGTAGGCGCGATGGGGGGCTCTGGCAGGTACCCCACACTTGCTCTTTTAGGACAGCTGCACGTTGGTTTCTGACGGTGTGAGGCAAGTGCCTTACAGGATGACTGCTTAGTGGCCCTGGAATTCGGCACCCATAGCTCCCAAGGTCTATTAGCGCCTCCACAAGCCTAAAGAGCACGGTCCTCCGCCAAAGGAGCCACTTGCGGGACGGCCTGGCCCACCACTTTATCTTCGATCAGCGCTGCAAAACGACCAATGGGGCTCCACTGGGTCGCGTGTTCAAAGACACTGAATATGATCTGTAGTTTCCGTTCTGTGGCTTCTCCTCTAGAAAGGCGGACGGTTTCAGCAGCAGAAAGTAGATTATCACAATATGGAAAGAAGGAAACTATTGTATGGTCCCAGTTAGGGATGTTTCTTTCACGGCAGGTGGGAGCTCGTGCTGGTAGTTACCAGATGAAGCGAAAACTCCTCGCTTATATAAGTGACAACGACTGTGTAAGCGCCGCCACAAAGTTATTTCCTACGAGTTCTGTGTTGGTGTCCTCCTTTTCTTTAAAGTTAATTTCTGAAAAAATAAAAATAAAAATCTCTATTTCTCTCGAGAAGTTGTCAATTTTTAGAAGCAAGCACTCCATAGTGCTAAATTTGGCAACCTCAAGAGGAGGCTACGGCTGCATGTTCCATGCAGTTGGTAGCCAGTCTGGATGAGACTATCGCCAACCTGCGGTACGGGGACCAACGACCGCTTCGAAGAGAAGTCATCTGTTTAGCTCAACCTATCACATTGACTCCTTAACTGACATCAAGCACCGGGCTTCCAATTGAGAGATGCTTTGTGCTCTCTCTCTCTCTCTCTCTCTCTAGCGCCAGGATGCTGTCATGAGTAGTTCTCGACTCTTATCTCTCCGTCATAGCCGTCATAGGGTTGCTAATCGTCATCGACCAACGTCAGGCCATCGCATGACGAAATCGTTCTCTATAATAAGATTTAGCTCCAGCATGCAATGATGTCCGGACTCTGCTAGCCCCTTTCGTCATTGTGCCTAAGTATTAGCAGTGGAAGGACATCTTTCTTTAGTGTCGGCCCGCAATGCTCGCAGCCGCGGTGCTCGTTATGGCATAGGAGAACCTTCATTAGCCGTCATCAACACCCTAGAGTTACCTATAAGTATTTACATAGGTATGCCGTACTTTATAAGCAATCTCTTACTGCGATAACGGTAGGAGAAGGATAACATATCGGGAGAGCCCAAGGTTTGGCCGAGTTTATAAGGGAGGTAAGACAAGTATTTCCAACGGCGCCGGCCGAAACCTTAAGAAAGCGCTGGGAGTGCCTGGACGGGCCGCTAAGGTAGCTCGGTTCTAGTGCCAGTCTAGAGCGCCACAAGCCATGATCGTACTGAGCCACCTTCTAGAACAGGCAAACCAGCCCCGCGAACAACGGCGCGGCTGATAATACGTGCAAGGAACAAGAGGACGGTGTTATTCCTCTTACCTTATCTCAGGCCAATCTCTTGCCCCCAACCCAACTCCTTCTCCGCCCCGTCACCGAGACGAGAAGCTGTCTTTGTGCGCCTGGCACCTGGTTCGCTGCCTCGGCAGATTGGCTCCTCAAATTGGCTGCTATGCACTATACCAAAGCAACCATATCACTGTCCCCCGCTGCAGGCACGGCATCCGGAATGCATCCTCAGTGGCCAATTCCCGCCCAGCTCGTGCACCGTCGACCCAATCTCCGGAAACTAGCAATGATGTCCCAGGCGTGCTGATGCTGGCCGCTCTCATTGCTGCAACCCTCCCTCGCGGAGGTCCCCTCTAGCTGGGGAAGCTGGGCGATCTGGCACCAGGTAGGGCGCTTTATATTGCCTCGCCGCGTCCCAAGAAAGTTCTTGGAATGCTTGTCTCCTCTTGTCCTTCTTGGCTGCGTTTCCCCTTTGCGCAACCGTCCAATTAGCCTGAGATCGACGAGTACTTGTCACTATGAGATCTCTCAGCCTCGTCACGAGCATTGCTGCTGCCCTCCCGGCTACTATTGCATGCGGAAGTGACGGCCATACTGGTTGTTACGGTCCCATCAATGCCGTGGAGCATGTCCGTCATGTCAAGCGCATTCAGCCTGGCGCCCCGAACGCGACATATGGGCCTACCAGACCCCTCGAATGGGGTCAATTGAATGTCTTGCATACCACAGACACTCACGGTTGGCTCGAAGGTCACATAAAGGAACAGAATTATGGTGCTGACTTTGGTGACTATGTCACCTTTGCCAAGCACATGAAGCACAAGGCTGGCAACATGGGAGTAGATTTGCTGATCGTCGACACTGGTATGAACTCAGCATTGTAGTATTAAATGGCCTATGAGTTGCTTATTATGATATACTATAGGAGATCTCCATGACGGAACTGGCCTCAGCGATGCGACTCCGGTCGATGGACAGCTGTCCCAGCCAGTTTTTGAACAGCTCGACGACTATGATTTGCTGACTATCGGTACCTTTCACTAACACCTCTGACAATACATGGCGGAGACTAACATGACATTTGTAGGAAATCATGAGTTATACGTAACAGAAGTCGCATATCAAACCTTCAATGATTTCAGCAAGTTTTGGGGAGACAGGTACCTCACATCCAATGTCCAGATTCTCAACCCCAGCACGGGTGCGTTTGAGTATATCGGAAAGACGCACAAGTACTTCACAACAGCCCATGGCTTAAGGATAATGGCTTTTGGCATTCTCTATGACTTCACCGGTACGATGACACTCGCTAAGCATAAAAAGCCGGCGAGCTGACAATTCCAGGCAATAGCAACGTGTCTAAGGTGATCAAGGCGGCAGAAATGGTCAAGCAGGATTGGTTCCTCGATGCGATTAACACAAGCGAGCCCGTCGACTTGTTCCTACTGCTGGGGCACAACATTGCTCGTCCTAGCACCGGCGGTAGCACTTTTGGTATTGTCTACGACGCTATCCGGAGTGTTCACTCTAGCACACCTATCCAGATATTCGGCGGTCACAGCCACATCCGTGATTTTGCCGTAGTTGACCAGCAGACAACCGCTCTAGAGGCGGGGCGATACTGTGAGACTCTCGGCTGGTTCTCAATGAGCGGGTTCGACAAGACGAACAGCGGCTATACTGGTGTGACCAATCCCCACGGTGTCCCCAACCCAACCCGGAAGGCAACAAACACTTCAACCGCTCCTTTTGTCTATTCCCGTAGATATCTGGACTGGAATAGGTATTCATTTGAGTATCATGCAATTGGAAAGCAGGATGATGCAGTGTTTGACTACCACAGCGGTCTTAGGGTCACTGAAGAGATCACAAGCTACCGAGAACAGCTCAAGCTTGGAACCGTCTGTAAGTATCAAACGTTGCTTGATGGCAAAATATTGTTGGCTGAAAATTCCAGATGGATGCGTACCCGAACACTACTGTCAGACTTGCGTTCCTTTCACGGATCCTACCAACATTTTTACCGTACTGGCCGATGCATTGGGTACTGTAGTTGTTAACCCTGATCGCGCAGACACAGCCCGAATTGTACTCACCAACACGGGTGGCATCCGCTTTGATCTTGTCAAGGGGCCCTTCACCTATGATGACAATTTCATTGTCTCACCCTTCCGGGATGTGTTCTTCTATATCCCAGACGTGCCATATGCCCAGGCGAGCACGCTCCTGGCTAGGTACGTAATCACATAGCTCTCGAGTCGAGATACACAATACTAACTCACATTTCAGCCTCAACGCCGGAGGAGCGGACAAGAGGCGGGATCGCTATGCCGCCATGCCCATCCAGGAGCGCGACTCCTGTACCGACCCCATTGTCGGCCCAGTTTCTTCGATCGAGATGAGAGATATGGCGACGCCCAGGGGTATCACTCGTCGACAGGTGCAGGACCTGACACCTGGCTACACCACCACGGATGATTTCGGCACCGACGGTGACGATACTGCCCACAGCGAGATTCCCTACTATTCCATTCCGAACTACTTCCAGGGCAGCGGAGGCTTCCCTGAGACGGGTACCCCTGATGTCGTGGATGTCGTGTTTGTTGATTTCATCGAGGACTATGTCCTTGGAATCCTCGGTTCGGCGTACTCTGCGGACTCGGTCTCATGCTACATCTCTTGCAACTACACATCGCAGGATTACCTGATTCCATATGCTCAGCTGAAGTGGCAGGAGAATATCGCAGATTGCCCCATATAAAATAACATCACATAGAGTGAAAATAAAGAAGACTTCGATACTTAAATGACCTTTGCTAGACCATTGTCTATGTAGTCGAGTGCCGAAGGGGGTCAACGCTCTCGCCACTGTGTTGATACAGATAAAATCATTCCACCGATATATGCCCGTTTATGCCACCGGCCCATTTTCCTAGCCCATTATACCGCTCTAAACGCCCTTATTCCCCAGATTTTCCACATGTTACTCATAAACGGCTTCTGACAAGATCCTCTTGAGTGCCGATTTATCATCCCATTTCCCATCCTGAATCCATCTGATATCCAAGAGTTGACAGAGATTCAAATCGGAATCTGTCAAGTCATCAACCGTGTCCACGCTCAGGCCCACCACCTCCGCCAGACACTCACGATACGCTGACCGGTCATAGTGGTCCGCGCCAAACCGGCACTCGTTCTTGTCTCCGATGAGAGACGAGAGATTCCCTATCAGACACACCCACACCAGCGCCGGCTTCATCGCCACAATTTTGCCGTCCCAGTCTTCATCGTCGTTCTCGGCTGTCCAGTCTAGCAAGCGCGGATCTAGGACGTCGTCGCTAGTTAAGTGGTGATAGTTTACCGCTGTTTTGACACGGTTCTCATCTATGAGTTGACGTAGCTGATGTGTTAGAAGACTCAACAATATGCTGTAGCCGCCTAGATTCCGCGGGAAATCGGGTAGTAGCTCCTTGAGGTAGAGAAGAGAGCAAATCCGCAGCAGCGGATCCAGCGTATTGCCGTGCTCGGCCGGTATGACCGGTGCAATGGCAGCTTGGTGGTTCTTGATAAAGTCTTCGGTCTTCAGCCACGAGGGGTCGATTGGGTCGACGTCCGCCTCGGGGGTACCGGGTCTGGCTCCGCTGCGCAGTGGTCCGGGTTCACAAACGAGTGCATGCTGCACGGCTTGGTACTCCTCCGTGAATTCATTCGGGTCGAATGTCACCAGCCTCGAGGTCTTAGCGTAGGCGTAAGCATTCACGAGCTTGGCAAGGTTGGATACGGAGGTCAGTACTGGAGGGGAGATGTTGCTTGGTGAGAGGACGGCAGTCACATCGTTGACGATCTCTTGCCGGGTTGCTTCCGGTAAAGTATCGGAGGCGTTTTTGTAGAGACGACTGAATGGGAAATAAGGCGATGAACCAAGGGTAGCAGCACCCTTGATGTCAGTTCTACCCATTTTTGTTAGCGCGATGTTGGTCAAAATCTATGTGAGAAATACTCACTTCCGGATTTTAGAGAGTAGCGCCGGCCGGACTCCTTCTAGACCGCCGTTCATTTCAATCATCTTCTGTAGGCCTTTCATATGTACATGCCAATGATCATATCTGCCTATATAGTTCTTCACGAGTGTCAGTGTGATACAATGTATTGCTTTTCATGATTGTAAACCTACCCCCATGAGGGCCAACGTCGTGATGCATTCTAAAGTAATTGAGCCGACTCTTTTTGGACTATTGTCTAGTTGTCGATTTATGATCGAGCACACCTTAGATATGTGATACGACAAGTCTTTGGAGCTCATTTCTCCTTTCGCTATAGACTCGAACATTGTCCCGCACATCAGCACACAATGAAGTGCTGCCAAGTCATTAATGACCAAGTAGTAGAAGTCGTAGGAACGGCTCGGATTGTAGTCCAGGACAGCTTCGAACGGATACATCTTCCGCGGCACAACGGAGAAGTAATTGTGGAACATCTTGCGGTTCTCCCCTGTCATATATGACGGTAGGTCGTGAGTTGCCCATGTTGGGATCGATGGTGTTGGGTTGCCAATATCGGCGATGTCATAGAAATCTTGAGCTGTAACTGAAAATGATGGCTGGAGCCCGTCTTGCTCGGGAGACGGCCTTTGAGAGGCGGATGTTACAGAGATGTTGTCATCGGATCGCGTTGTGTTTCTTCTCCTCGCAGGTTTCTTGGCCTGGTCATTTCTTGTCTCCTCCTCTGAATCTTTATTGTCTACATCTTTCGCCTTATTTCTGACAGATGGTTTCTTAGGCTCCTTCTGCTTCGTCACAAACTTGAATTTCCGTTGCAGGAGCTGTGACGAGTCGGGATCTGCGCTAGAACTGCAATTGCTGGCCTGTGGGTACGAGTTCACAAAAGAAGTGCCGTTGAACTTCTGTTTTGACACCTGAAGACCACGTCGAGTTGAGATCAGCTTTCCATTCTGGGCAACTGTGACATTGAAATGGTCCATCCTATTGGCCGCCTTGTAGCAATGCACGGTACTTTGAATTCCGTAAAGGAAGCGGCCAAGGGATGTGTGTGTGTGGAGCGAGAGAACCGACAGACTGGAACTGGGACACACAAGTGCAGCCAATGCTCATCCAGCTGTGGCTCGAACTCTTGAGATGCGGCGTTGCAGAAGGGCGGGCGGGCGGCACGATGCCTCTTTAAGGGATCTCTGCCCAACTGAGACGACTGCGTCAATGCCGGTGTGTTCCCTCCGGCGGCTTCAAATCCAGCTGGGAGCAGCCAGAATACCGGTGGCGGCCGGGAAAGGCGACACTTCAGTCTCCTGACAGGGCTGAAGAATCAACGATGTGGCTGGAGAGACGGAGTAGCTGAGACCTCGATTACGGCTTGTCGCTAAACCGAATCAAGGAACACTGCCGTAATAGGCAATCAGACACAATGGAACGGTCGGCTTTCCTCCCAGCGGATGCCCATTATAAGGTGCAATGACGGTATTATATAGAAGTCTAAACCTAGGGGATATGCTAGATGTGTCAGCATCACGCTCATAGTCGTGCTAATCCCTCGTTGCAATGGCAAGCCCGCCAGGAAGTCGTCATGTCATTCAATCATATCCTCTTGTCTTCAGCCAGTTAGAGTGGCAGTAATGGAACTAAAAAGGATGGCATTCTGGCTTACTGAAATATCTCCGGAATAAAATCTTGCGTGATCCAAGATGACGAGCTTTATTCCGGCCGTTTGGTTGTGTGCACTAGGGCCCGATGCAACCGCCGAGAATTGACTTACACGAACGGGATAAATCTACATACAGTTCGCGCGGTTCACACTACGCAATCACAAGTCAACAATTAATACAAGTCGGAGCAACTAATGCCAAAATGGCGCACCTACATAAGAAGCGTAAGCCCAATCGACTTTCGCATATTGATGGACCGTCAGATCGATCATAAAGCAGTAAGAAAGCTCCTGCCTCACAGGGGTCATACAAATCACTAAGTCCGCACGTACATCCGCTCCTCTGCGGACCGCCAATCTAATACTCCGCTCAGGGTCAACTAGTGTATTAGGTAGAGTCAGAAGCAGTATCTTGAACACCTAGAGTGTCACCGAACAAGCATCTTACGTCAGCCATACAGATTCTATAGACGAACGGCATCTCGAGATATTCGAAGTCTACCTTACCCCGGAACATAGCCTTGCATCGATCATTAAGCATGATTAACTGCTTTAAGAATGGGACTTGGTTTAGGATTACTTAGATGCGCGGATTGGGTTCGGCGGGCTAAGATACGGTGTTCCTTCTTTGGTTGACACCGGAAAGCTGACAAAACAACTTAATCATTCCCCTTACAAGGTGATTTTTAACTTGGTTGGTCTTTAAGGAGAGCTGATATCTTTGCTGTGACTTGAAGATAAAAAATCGCTTGCCCTTGCCGGCGGATAAGCTTGAATAGTTCCACATGATATTGACACTGTTTGGCCTTAGAGCCGTTTAACTCCATGCTCCTCTGGTAACTACATGGCTTTTTTTTATGTTTTTTTATTCTTTTTTATTTTTAATTTTTAGAAAAGATAAGCGTAAGTATGATCCACGGGACCATGGAGCCAGGAATAAATGCTGGCTGAACAATGTACATCAAATACTTCCGCTTGTTGGTTGTAAGATACTTTCGCTCGTAGTAATAATGCCTTCGTTAGTAGTCTGGAGCCCAATATTCCTTGTAGTGAATACTTCATATCCGCGTAACCAATAGACAAACATCTATATGCACTCGGTGTTATCTCCCAGGCGTATAGCTCCATTTAGCGACATAGCTTTCAATATTCCTTCATTAAGGTCGCAGAGTTATGTGTCCGGTTGTTGACAAATAACCCGGTATTGGAAGGCTCGCGATTGTTAATCTACCCAATTGCCTCTATGTGATTCTTCATGAAAATCAATTACCATAAGCAGAGCATCTCGTTGCGAATACTACTGATCCAGCTAGGTGAACAGCATCTTCGAAGGGCAGACGGATTGTGCCATCTATGCCTCGTAAGTCTCTTCAATCACAAGTCGCCGCGTGCATGCTAGAGATGCTTTGAATTTACGTAAGAGCTTGGCAGTCATCAGAAGTAAACATCTCCCTTCATAAGAACTCGCGCCGTCCGGAGGAGCTCGGCAGAGGCAATCTCATCACCGGCCATAGTGGCTCCTATCTCCACGTTGCCACTGGGATGCCCAATCACTGTTGAGCCCCTCTGATTCATGGAGCGAGCAATCTGTGCCGGAATGGTCCCAGGAATATTAGTTGCGGCACCTAAGCATAGCGCAAGTGTCAGAGGGACAGCCTTGTGAGCCTGACCCATGGACATGGCCTGGACCTTAATGTCAATGTCTGCGCTGTCAGAGCTGATCTCTGACTGAGGGAATATCATAACTATTTTCGGCACGCTCTGAATTTGAGGGTCGAGACCCATCTTGCTGGTCCCTGCTTGTCTGATTTGCTCGAGCCTGAGCTTTAGCTCAGGATCTGCCTCGATAGATGCTGGATTAAGGGATGAGATGTTTTGGACTGGGAGGTCAGACACACGCACGAAGACTCCAGGGTTGGAAACATCCACTAACGAGGCCTCGATAGTGTTTCCGTCGGGGAGTTCGAGAATGTCCACAGGGTTACCAGTTGGTAACGCCTTTCCTGTCTTCGCACCTGCTGGGCTGAGGAAGCTCAGCGTGATTCGCGAGTTCGTCCCAGGGACCCCATCCATCTCGTAATCGCCATCAGGGCAGTACCTTAGCGGATCTCCTACGACCCTGAAGCGCGAGTGGATAACCTTAGAGGTATTAGTGTTGTATATTTTGACCATAGCAGTCATCTGTCCATTCTCATCTGCCGTGACGTTCTTAACAGTCTTGCCTATGTAGCCTTCGTCAAAGGCTACAGGTCCAACTATTGAGCTCATATTCCCGCAATTGCCAGCCATGTCAAGTGTGCCGTCCTTGATGCCGACCTGAACGAACGTGAATTCGACGTCTGCATCCTCCCGGTCGGTGGGTGATAGCACGCAAATCTTGGATGTAGAGGAGATCCCAGAGCCCATCCCATTGAGTTGACGACCATAACCATCAGGCGAGCCCATTGCAGCAGGTAAGACGGTGTGCCACTGATCTTGCGGCGGCAGGTCATGACGATTGATAACCAGACCATTTGATGTCCCACCTCGGGCGAAGATAGCTGGAAAACTCCTCGGCACCATGTTTGTTGAGTAATAATGCGATACAGCCCCAAAAATAAGTCGCCGCCGCTGCCAAATTGGCGGGGCCCTCGGTAGAGTATCGAAGGTTCTCAAGGACCTGGTGACAATACTGCAGCTCGTCGAGAACGTCACTCCAGCCATGTCTAGCGATTTGGAGTGTGTGAGCCCTCTGCAGTTGATTATGAAGGCTCGGCTTTGTCTTTTATCCTCACGTCAGCAGCTGTTCCGGAAGTCGAAAGATGCCTGTCGTTTTCATCTCGAATTTATTGTTGTTGCTCTTCGACACACGAGAGGTCTTCGGAAGAGTGCCCGGGGAGTCGGCTCGGCAGATCGGCGTGGGGCTGGCCCCACTTGCAACAGGAGCAAAGGGGGAGTGCCGACATGTCCAAAGACAGTACTCACAGGCATTCGAATTGATGGATCGTATGTTTGATTGTCGTCTTCATACTCTATACAGTAGTTTGAGGCTAACACTATCACCAATTTTACATGCGCTTCCTAGCTACTAACAATATCATTACATTGCAAAGCGCGCATTGACGCTGTGCCTGTTGAGTAGATTCGATTGTGAGAGGCAACTTCAAGAGCAATGGGTCTGCATCACTCGTCATCATCATCGCCAGCATCAGCCATGCTAGTATCTGCAGGCGGAGACTCGTAGCCTCCTCCTGGGCTTGCAGCGTCATCGCCGTTGATTGGTGATGCGGGCCCTTCGTCTTCCTCGTCCTCGTCATCGCTCACAATGCGACCTCTTCTAGATCGCTTTGACTGCTGCCGCCTGCCCACAGTTCCTTCCTCATCCTCGTCATCTCGCGCCTCATTGTCAACATCCATCTGGTCATCTGATTTTGGAGTGGGAACATCGGAGATGGGTGAGGCTGGAGTATCGTCTCGTGCGGAAACTCTGTCTGCTGCGTCAAGGACGTCACTGTCATCGTCGCTGTCCGCGACAAGCTCTGCAGATTTGTATTTGGATGATTCCTTCTTGCCAAGACGCCTCTTCTTCGGCTTTGGCTGTCTCTCTTCTTCCGACTCATCGCCATCCTCGGGCTTCTTTCGTCTAGACCGACCTTTCTGGCGGGGCTCGCCACTGGATTTGGGTGCTGGTTTTCGCTTCCTCTTGACCTTTTCTCCCGTTTCGCTGTCAGTGGTCATCTCTGCTGCTTGTCGCGCGCGCTCTTCCTCGGCACGCTGCTCAGCCATTACTTTATCGCGGGCTGCAATTTCCTCACGCTCTTTTCTGATCTTCTCCTGTCTCTCGCGCTCCTTATCCAGAGCCTTCTGCCGCTCTTCCTCGCGCCGACGAAGCTCGGCTTGTCGCTGCTCTAGAGCTGCGGCTAACTTCTCTTTGTTCTTCTCTTCGTATTCCTTCTGGGCTGCGATAGCACGCTCCAGCTGTTTGCGCTGAGTATTCCGGGCCATATTCGCACGCTGTTCAATGTCATGCTTGGGATATGGAGTCTGCGGCTGGGTAGAAATTTCGTCTAGCGATGTGATAGCAGCTTCAAGGCCTTCTGCAGCGTCCTCTAATTGCTGTAGTGTACGCTCATGTTCCTTGATATTGACAATAAACGAAGCGAGCTGTATCTGCACAAAGGCGATGTTAAACTTAAAGTGAAGTTGCTCCGGAGCTGCTTCTAAGGTCTAAAGAAAAATTAGCTACCTTTGTTAAAACGTGTAAGGGCGACATACCTTCTTGGCGCATTCGAGGGCGGACTTGTAAGCGTCTAGGTTCTTTTCCTTTCGTGCCTTATTCAGCCAAGTCCGACCAAGGCAAGCTAGAATATTAGAGTCGTTCGATTTGCCGTCCTTTGACAAGGCAATCTCATAGCACTCAATAGCCTTAGAGAACTGACCCAACTCCGAATGGGTATGGCCCATGTTGACAAAGACATGAGCGTCCCTGACCGTGTCTCGAACTTTTGAGAAGATCGCTAAGGCTGTCTTATAGTCCTTCTTATCTTCAGCCAATGCAATCGCGATGCCCTGAGCAGCATAGGCATTCTTCGGATCCACCTGTAAAGCTTTGTCGAAGAACTCGACGGCCTTGGTGTAGGTCGCGCTTCGTTTCTGTTTTTCGGCATCCGTATCCCTGCGCATCTCGCGAGCGACCATAAGCCATAGATTACCCATGCCCACAAGTGCATAACGGTCATGCTTGTCATGATTCTGCAGGGTCCGCTTGTAGACATGGCCTTCAGGATCGTCATTAGGGTTTCCAAGGCTGCCTGGCCTCTTCCTGGAACTCTTGCCTCTAAACCATGCATAGAGAGCTCGAACATCTAGATCCGTTGGGTGCTCTTGATACAACTTCGCAACTGCATCAGGCCCGTCTTGACCCGGAGTCGTCCTTAACTTGAGATATGCAAGGCGGATGCGAGCATCGGTGTAATCGTCATGGCGTTTTAGAAGACCTTCATAAACTTCAATAGCCTTATCAGTCAGACCCCTAGACTCGTAGCTTCGACCGAGGTTGAAGCTTATCGTTGTCACAAGAGCATCTGTGTCCAGGGTCTCATCCTTCTCGCCAATTCTGATACACGCACCCAATGCTGCCTGAAACAGGTCACTGGCAAGTTCGTGCTTCTCTGCTTGAGAATAGAAACAACCAATGTTATTGAGAAGCTGCGGTGGGAGGAATTTGCGAAGTTCCGCATGCACAGCAGCTTCGTCCTCAACGTCTGAAGGGTAGTCAGACTGCGGGATCTGATCAATCTCCAATTGCTCCACCTGCTGCAGACACTGGAGAGCTTTCTCGGGATGTTCAATTTCATATAGACGCGCGAGATTGAGGAGAACAGAAGCATCTGGAGATAGATTCTTCTTGGGATCCTTCCAGGCAGATCTGACATTTTCCAAAAGAGAGACAGCTCTTCTCATTTGTTCAGTAACGTTCTCGTCCCTGCCTGCAGCCTCCTGATTCGCAAACACTTCTTCAGCATATAGAATACCCAGAAGAGCCATTGCCTCGTAGCTTTTCGACTTTGATATGATCCGATCCAGGTGATATCTGGCATCGCCCATCTCATTCTTGAGCACAGCAAGCTGAGCAATTCCGAACTTCGCAGGAAGGTATCCCCGCTCATCACCACCTCTTGCATCATCAGCTCGTTTATAAAATTCTTTAGCGCGTTCCACATCTCCGTTAATATGCTCTTTCCGCGCTAGGAGATACCAGCCGTCGCTCGCAATGGCATTGACATCGGTGAATTGAATAGCTTTGTGTGCCAGCTTGTCAACATTATCAAAATTCTTCTTTGACAGGAAATAACCAGCAAAGGTTGCATTTGTAAGTGGGAGATTGCTGTCAAGCTTGAATGATTTGTGGGTGTATTCAGTCATCGCTTTCTTATAGAGACGAATGAATTCCGGACTGTTGATTGGAACACGTCCGCTGCTGTCGAGATAGTAGAGGCCCAGGAGGATGTTTGCGACTTTCGAGTCAGGATTAATCTCGTAGCTTCTCTCCCAAGCTGATTTTGCATCATCTTTGAACCCGAGCTGCCAGAAGCAGCAGCCAATACCAATGCGAGGGTCAGGATCCACAAGATCGGGCATCTTGCGCAGCACCTCCTGATATGCAGAAAGCGCGTCAGGGTATTTGCCCATAGAGAATAGAACTCTTGCCTTGCCCATGGTTGCCAGCATGTTCTTTCCCTGGGAAACTCGAATTGCATCCTCGAATGATTTCAGAGCATTTCTCAAGAGCTCTGCCTTATCCGCATCGGCTGAGCCAGCAGGTCCGGATGATGAAGGAGTCTGGAACGAAGCTCTGAGCAGCAGCAAAACGCCACGAGCTAGGAAAAGAGGCGGAAAAGCTGGGTTGATTCTCGATGCTTCGTTTAGACTAGATGTTGCAAGTTGAAGATAGTATTCTTTCGTCTTCGCTTCCGAAACTAGCTGGCCCTCTGGCGCAGTTCGCGGCGCCTCACGACTCTTCCATAAATACATCCAACAGAGACAGCTCACCATACTGAGCTTATCCCTGGGGTTGATATTCTGCATCGCATTGCCACCACGGATTAACATCTCGATGGCATAGTCAACCCGTCGTAGTTTCGCGTAGGCAAGTGCAACCGCCATCCAATAAGTCCGCGCAGCTTGCTCTGTCTCGAAAAGATCGCAGAGATCCGACGGATCATCGACCAAGTTCATCAGATCAATTTCGACTGCTTCATCTTCCTGGTCGCGTACAGGAATATCGAGAACGGCGGGCACGTCGGAGAATCGCTTGCTCGTGGGGGCGCCGTTGGCGGCACCATTCGGCGCGCCATTGACATGGCCGTTATAGAGAGTCGATGCCATAGTGGCTCGCAACAAGGGGGATACGACGTTGTGGGGATGACTCGAAGGCGGCCTTTCAAATCATGAGGCCGTGTCAATTGACAAAGAATTGTGAATAAATAGCGAGAGAAGGAAAGATAAATTTGGCAGTCGTGACTCCAGCTGTGATGCCTCTAGAAGCGCGCAAACGCATTCACAGAGACTACTCCTCAGCTGGGGTTGATCTTATTCCGGGGTTGGGATCACGACAGATTTGTTTGCTTGGGAATTAAAGAAATAAAGCGACTTCGCGAGGCTAAACGTATCCATGCCAGATGAGGCTGAAGCTTTCCCACCCTTGTCGAGAAAATGCACGGACCACAGCCATAAGTTATATCACGTGACACCCCTTCTTCCAACACTCCTTCTCAGCAATTATTTGGAAAGCTGCCTATAAGACGAATAGTTGCAGCAGTAGTCGCTAATTTATAACCCAGTTTCCTTATCATAGAATCTGACTCTAGTATTACAATATAGCAGATGTGCACACTTGTACTGAGGCTTCATTTGCTCTCAAAGTATCACTTTAATCCAAACAAAATTCTCGTTGGCCCCTTTGGTATTGTCTTAAAACACAAGCAATATGTTCTAGAAAGATATTCTGGGTAGATCATTTAGGTTTATTGTTATACAGATGACTTGGGTAGGATTCATCCCATTTTTAAATAATAATAAAATCTGAGCGCTATTGTTGTTTCGGTCAAAAAATATCACAAACAGGCTTGTGAGCAAAGTTGAGGCGATCATCACAGGACTATTTTATTTCATAACACGACCCGTCACTTATTTTTAGTCTATTATTTCACTGACTTACTTTCTCTGAACATAATATTATTCAACCATCTCGGCCCTAGGAAATTCCACTCAATGAACCCGAAGTCCTTCGAGCCCCGGTGAACTTTACTTCTTTCAAAAAGCTTCCGCCCTCGGATGAATACTGAAAGGTTCATGTCGCCAGCCAAAGATCAAATTTCTTCTGTCATCCAGCTCCGCGCGTATCGTTACCCATCAAACTCGCCTATCGCATTGGTACTTGGCGCATCACGCGACCATGATGGCAGATTCTCCTGCTGCTTCGCCAGACCCGAGTCACTGTTCTGGCTGGAACTGTATGAACCAAGCACAGCAGTTTGGCGTTATTTTCAGTATTGTGTTCATCTTCGTCTCCCTTCTTTTAATGTACTTCTATCTCCTTGCCCGGTCTCCCAGTCACCAAGACCCAGTCGACCATGATATCGAAGCGGGCTGGAACGGCAGAAGTGGTAGGAATATATATGAGATGCGTGTTCTGAGGATACACGATCGGGATCAAAATAGGTTGGTCTCTCTACCACCACGTCGTCACGATTCACCGAGACAGTCATTGGATTTGCCGAAACGGCCAACTATCCCTAGCCAACGATCTTTAACTGATCTTCCGATATCGCCGACTCCTCCACCTCCAATATCGATGTTACCATCTCTACAACCAGGAACAGGAGGAGCTCCTCCGTGTCCACCTCCTCCACCCCCTATCATACCGCCATATTCGGTGCAAGGGCTGCCTAACTGGTACAACCTTCCCTGGAGGATCCCGATGGTTGTGCCCTCTCCTCTACAAGAGCAGTTCTATCCACCAGGGGAAATTCCGGGTCGAACACAGGGTATTGCGATGCTTACCTACCCTCCAGTCCTCCAGCCGCCACCTCCTCCTCCGGTCTCAACTATACGGCAGAGCATTGATGGACCTGAACGGATTGCTCATGAGCCAGTTATTGAAGAAAACTCTAGCAACGAGGCCTCTATATCACCCATCCAAAGCTTCTCCCATAAAGTAGACTCGGCTGCACGTTCAGAAAGATTAGAACATTCTTCAACACAGCGATCATTAGATGAGCCCTCGACACGAGTGTCCAATGAGATACTAAATCCATCGGAACAACCTTCTAATGTTTCAGCTGGAGAAGTCAGTGAGCTCACATCTCACCGTCGATTCCATCAAGATTCAAATACAAGTCTCGGACTGAAAGCTGTGCGGGATAACAGGTATCGACGGCAACCCTTGGGGGCAAGCGACCGTCGGAGGTCAAGACGTGGGAGAGACCTAGCAGATCACAGCCACGGACAATGGACTTCTCATCGTAGTTTGCACACTTCGCCTATTCGACCATCTTTGGATGAGCTCCTGCGAGATAGACAGATAGGTGAGGCTTCAGCCGATCATCAACACGACCAGTCATTTGAAGTCGAGAACGAAAGGCACTTCGGTAACCACAGCAATGTAGAAGATGCAGAGGCCGCATCGCCTACAGGTCCTCGTCGAAGGCGTCAAGTTACTTTTCATCGACCATCCCCAGAAAAACGAGAAACTCAACCTGAATCTCCTTTTGAAACAATGCGAATTCCTATTCCCCGATTATTCTCACCAGCTCAAAACTCAGAGGCATCGAATACGGTCTCCTCAACGGCCGCAACCACAGGACACAGCTCCGAGTCGTCTTACAACGATAGAGATGGGTTTGAGAATCTACCGAGATCGGCAAGACAACATTATATTTCACAGCCACCACGAGACTCATCACCACATAGAGCTTCTCAATCCTCATCAGTGTGAGTTGATAAGCATCTTTTGAAGGAGAATGGTATAATGTAATTTAACGGTGGCTGACGAAAACAGTGCTCACGAAACGCAGAGAAATGGAAGAGGTGGCCCAAGATCTATCGAACTACCAAGGCGCCAAGTCTTTAGAAGAATGATTACAAGTCTACTTCCAACAGTACTCAATGCTATCACCGAGATGGCAGAGATCCCTTCACAAGAGACGCAGCTTGATCAGAGACAGCAAAGAGAAGAATCTCGACATTCCGGTACAAGTACTGCTAGACATTCCAGAAGGCACGTCTTTATATCCCCACATCACTCAAGAAAACATGAAAGCTAACAATTCAGATCGAGTGAGACATACAGCGAAGTATCCAATGCAGCACCTCCTGGGCCTACTACTGTTCAGCCTCGACAAAGCCCAGTATACGGAATTCCTGATGAGTGGATTGGGTCTCGACCATCACCAGCCAGCCCCGTGGCTCAGTACCAGCATGACCAGAGTCCTAGCTCTGACAATTTAGGGGACCACTTAAACGAAGAAAGCAGATCAGCTTACAGGGTTGGAGCCGATGCTCGGAGAGATAGGCGACGAGCTACCAGGGCTGCTCGGTATATCAGAGATGGTCATGCGTGAAAGGGGAGCTCACGTAAATTATGGGGGAAAGAATGCTGAAGCGAATCGTGAATTTCAAGTCACTTGACAAGCATCACGATACAGAATTGTGGCGTATAAATCTTTGCCTCATTTTACAAATCTTCATACATGTACGATACCTCTTGCTCGACGCCAATACGCAAGATTCTGAGAGGCATTGCTGGCGGCGAAGTACCGGCATCTCTATGCATGGTTTTCCAACTTCTCCCGGTCCAACTGCCGAGGTAGTCAAGCCTAATTGACGCTGTCATGTTTCGCTTCTCTCGCTGCATGATCTATGACCAAAGATGCCCACCGTGCGGGTGCCTCATTTCGTACAAAAGACAAATTAGTGCACAGAGCGAGGAGGAAAGCCACCGATAATATGGAAAATTAGGGCCGCATATAGGTCGTAGTGCATGTGCAGAAGGATGGGGTGTCATCGGCGTTGTCGAAAACCGGGTTTCCTGCACGTTTGATAGCCTAAGCCACGATGACATCCTTCAGTCCTGAGCTTCCCGTCTTGGAGACTTTAGACAATGGATTGACTGCTCTGTATACCACTTGCAATTGCTCGAGACTGCTGAAGCCCAGAGAAGTAGGTGGCTGGCCCCCCCGGTTTCGGACGCGTCATGCCCTGCCGCAGCGCATAGATACCGCCCTTTTGAGCCACTCCTCCGCCAGGGTAATAAACGTTAATTCTAGAAGGGTGAAGATTCTAAATATTGAGAGTCTTAATACTCAAAGACTTCGAAGGTTCTGTTTATTGTAATAGGTCTATCAACTTCAATAAAGGTAGCAATACTGTGTTGAAGAGGTAATGATACCCTTGCTAAATTAACTATTATTACCCTGGCGGAGGAGTACATACCCTAAACTTGGGGGTTTCTTCAAACCTAGTGCCATATCTAATCACTTTGACAGAAGTGAGTTATTTAGCGATGATGAGAGTCCGATATGTAGCCCCGCAGGTCTTGTGAACATACGGAGTGGAGAGGGGAAAGTTCCCTAACCCTGGTATATGTAAACAGTCTGTATAACATGTCTAGTTCGATGTAACGCTGAGAAAGGATTACGGAACGGAATGTGGGATTACCGAATGAATTTCAAAGCAGGCTATGGGAGAAGAGTTTTAGCCTTATTGTTCAACTGTAGAGAGAACTTCTGACGGTAGACAAGCTCGTAGTTCACGATTTCGTTGGCGATTATAACACGGAGCTTGTCCCCCAACCCAGATGTGAGATGGATCCAGGATTAGGCAAACACTTTGGACGATTACATTCATCTCTATTAATTAGACAGCAGAGATCTGCTCATTGAAATATTGATAAGGCGCTTCGCTCTTACAACAACCACAAGACAATGTGGTCCATTAACTATTTAATCGTACCAACCCTGGCAACTCAAGTCCTGGCAATAACGAGCGACTTTGTTCTGACTTGTCCTGTAGCGTACGCTGATGGTACGTTCTTCCTACAGATTCACGTGGGATGCGTATTAACATCAATAGGAGGGCTGTACTTGAGGGAGACCAAGCCAGGGTCTTACACGCCAGACCTTGGTGGCCTTCTCCCGGCATCAGAGACTTTTCAATTAGCGAGTACGTCAGTCCATGGTAGTACTGGGTGTCATGAATAACATAATCGGCCAGTCGCTGTGACAGATGGTCCAGATAGCACGTGTTGTGGACCAGATACCTTCTACCTGGCGAAGAAGACCGGTTCGAATACTTTCCAGAGATTCGACCTCCAACCTTACCTTGATCTGTCCGCTGGAGCGGTGAGTCCTATAGGATTTACCTCAGATAACTCTACTCTTGGAGCAGCGCAGACTACATTCGGATGGATGGATGTCTACGGCTTCCTAATGTGGAGTCCTACCGGACATCTCAAGGACGTCTATCCTCCCCCAGCAGCAGACGGTAGCCAGGTAGTTGCGCCAAACCAGGGATTTGTGCTTCTCCCAACAGCTTATTCGGGAATTCTTCAACTCATTTGGAATCAAACCTTATACGAAACGAACACGACCGCCGCAAACAGTCATGCGATTGGCCAGTGCTTCTCGTCCACAGGAGTGACGTTTGATGATGACCTCTGATGGGCTGGCAAACATGATTATGATCCACTGTTCGGATTTTCTCTTTTTTCCTAGCAACTGAATGCGTAGCGTTAATGAACACGAGATGGCTGAAGTTGTGGTCCACCACCTAACAAAGATATTGGGCCTCGACTTCTGTCATCAAACATCAAGGCCATCATTCAGAGGGCCATTTAGACTGTTTAGTGCGTCTGAGAAAGTGTCAATGTTGGAGACTCCATTCAAATAACATTCATAGTCGTCCTTCAGAAGAATGACACTTCTAAAGGTGTACATTCGTTAATTGAATGCTGGATATTTGTCACAGCTGCCAAGTTGCCTTGCTGTCAGCTCTATGTACCAAGTGATGGCGGCTGTCAAGATGCTCAACTTCCTGTTCATAGAGAAATCAAACTGTGTAATCCAGATGTATAATACACATCTGATTCACTCCTCCGCTAGGATAATAAACGTAGAATCTTGAAGTGTGAAGGTACCCAATGGTAAGAGCCTTAATACTCGTTGAGACCAGGAAGATACTGTTTATTACTATGGGTCTGTCAACTTCCGAACAGGTAGTAATCCTTTGTTGAGGGGGTAATGGACCGTTGCTGTACTAAAATTTACATAAGGATGTTTCGATTCAGTGAGGGCGAAAAGGAGGCGGAGGATGGCTCTTGAGGACGGATTAGGTAAGGCTGCTGCGTAGTGTAAGCGGAAGGAGGCTGGCAAAGCCTGGGACATGGCCTATCTTCGCATCTTGTGTGGTCCGTGCACAGCACAGCGTCGTCATTTCTTGGTAAGGTCCCTACCTAGTAGCGTAGTGTGCCTGAGCAGTGGGCCGAAAGCTTTGAGCTCCAACATCATCAACATCGCCTGGTAAAGCAAGTCCGCAGCCTCCGGGACCTCGACAACACCCAGCGCATCTCGCAGCAAACTGATACAGTCCACGAACCTATCTTCTATAATCAGCGGAAGCTCATGCCGATTTCTATCGATTGTGCACTGGCATCATCCGGCTTCCTCCGCCCCACCCCCGCGACCAGGCACTGCTGTGCTTTGGGCCAGCCGAACCTATCAACAAAGCCGAGGCAAGTACAGGCAAACTGAAGGAGTGGCCTGCCATCATTGTTGGTAGAAAGTTGAATCTGTTTGTACTTGTTTGAGGGGCATCAGAAAGTCTTACAGCCATGTGGAACGACGAGGACAACAACCCGTATGGGAACAGCTTTGACCGGCGGGATTCATTCACTTCCTCTACAGCTAATCCCACTTCTCCAACTGCTCGTGAGTGTGAGTTCATCTTTTGCTTGTCTATCTGAAAGGGAAATTCACAATGTTCCATGACATAGACTTGCGTTCAATGTCAGATGATGCTGATTCCGACTGGGAGCAATTAGACCCTCGATTTGATGCGCCTCAGACCCCCTCCTCGACTGGCGACGAGGCTCCACCTCCACCTAGCTATCGAACCGAAGCCAGCGATGTCGAGAGCGACGATGAATACAATGCCCAAGGTCAAGGCGAGCTGGCCCCTCGGCGCAAGCCAGGAGGCTATGACAGCCGGGTTGAGCAGATACTCTACGAGAACCCACAGCTCCCGATTTTAATCACCGATGCGGGGAAAAGCCTCGAGAGTGGTGGTAGATATATTGTCTATACCATTCGAACAGGAGTAAGTGATTGGTGGCTCTCTGTGCTCGGTGCATTCCTGACATATGGGTATTTAGGATCTTGAGGTTCGCAGGCGCTACTCGGAATTTGCCTCTCTCCGGGATGCTTTGACTAGACTTCACCCCACACTCATAATCCCTCCAATTCCAGAGAAACATACTATGGCAGACTATGCAGCAAACCCAACGAATGCGAAGCAAGACCAACAAATCATTGACCTTCGAAAGCGCATGCTTGCCGTCTTTCTCAATCGTTGCCGGAGAATGGAGCAGGTGCGGACAGACGGTGTTTGGTGGCGTTTCCTTGACCCGAACGCCAGTTGGGTATGATTTTCATCTTGCTCAGTTGTAATCATGGCTGCTGACTTCTGACCAGAACGAGGTGCTACATTCTCATCCTATCGCATCCATTCCGAAGTCTATCTTCAGGGCACCACCACTAGACCCGGCCAATCCCTCAGCAGGCCATGCCTTCCTGCCTATTCCTGCGACCTCTGCAAAGCTCAAGACTGGACAGGGGGCAGGCCCAAGTGTTGAGACTGCTTTTGGCACTGAGAGTGTTGCCCGTTTCCCTCCCGAGTCTGGCGATATCAGCGAACAAGAGTTGGATCCATATTTCTTGTCATTTGAAGCCTCTATCAAGGACCTAGAGCAGCTTCTCATGGGCCCCATGGAGAAAGTAAATCGACGAACACTGAGCCACCTGTCTTCTTTAGCCTCGGATTTGTCCGAGCTGGGAGCTAGGTACAACGCGTTCGCACTATCTGAGCAGGCACCGACACTAGGTCCTGCAATCGAACGAATAGGGCAGGCTGCTGATATGTCATACATTGCGACTGAAGAGTTGTCGACATCGCTAGGTGCCAGTTTTGCAGAGCCGATGAGAGAGAACGCACAATTCGCGGGAGTTGTGCGGAGTGTTTTGAAGTACAGAGTACTTAAGCGTGTGCAACAAGAGATGACGAATGATGAGCTCAATAAAAAGAGAGCTCTCCTGGACCAACTAGAGCGTAGCGAGGCCGAAGCCAGGAGAATTGATCAATATCTCAGCAGCAGCCAACAGATACAACCTCCGCGAAGGTCCACCAGCATGCGCGATCCAGCGCCCCAGCATCGGAGGGACGGTAGCCAAGAGGATACCGCTTCTATCGACTCTGATTTCCCTCCCACGCACGGCGATGTTTCCTCTGCACCGTCAGCTAAGATCGGCACTCCAGAGAGATCCAACAGCAATCCAGGTCATAAGAAGGCGGCAAGCGGAAATTCTATTACGAATAAGATCTTCGGCCCAATCCGCCACGCGGTGCAGGGTGTTGTCGACGTTGACCCAGAGCGGACACGGAGGGACACCATTGGGAAGACTCGAGAGTCTATCAGTCAACTCGAGCAAGCTCAAGTTGCCGCCGCGCAAGATGTAAAGGATGCAAGCGCCAGTGTGCTCAAGGATCTCAAGAGATTCCAACGGGAGAAGGAAGATGATCTGAAGCGATATATGGTTCGTACACTCGACAATCTTGTGGCTGAACTCTGCTAATATCTCTTCACAGCTGGCATATGCCAAGAGTCAGATCGAGTGGGCGAAGAAGAACAGAGAGACGTGGGAGGAGGCGAGAGCAGAGGTGAACAAGATTGACGAATCTTGAGCCAGTGAGCCATGCGCATGCAGATGTATGATCATGGAGACCCAGCCCTTATGATTGTCAGGGGCTTTAATTGAATAGCGGACACATACCAGTCGCTGACTAGCATCCCTAAACCGTCTAATTACGGCGTCAAAGAGAGCAAACTTTTGAAATTCTACTCTCACTTGAGAGCTACATCCAAACACAATATGTACAAGCATACATATGGAACGTAAAAGGTGCCATCCCTGAAAACGCGCTCCTGTGAATCTCTCACTTCATAGTCTAGAAATTACCTACCAATCTGTCTTATGGGAACCTAGTAGATTAGTGAGCTAGTAAATTAGCGGTGGTAATTGAAGGAGTTTTGGTTTATGTATTTTCAATGAGAGCAGGTGGATTTCCAGCGACTCCACGGATCCCATGCATGAAACAGGCGCCATCGCATTCAATAAAGACGGGAGGTGGCCCCTGCGTTTTGCGCCATCCCGATAACGATAAGCACCTTTTAACCTTTTGAGGTGTTCCTCCCAACATCGCGCACATTCCAGTACTGGACCCTTCTCCGTTTCCGTCTCAAGCACAAAGACCGACGATCTTAGGCGGCTGCAGGATATGTCGCCGCAGAGGCGCGACAAGTCCAAGAAGAAGAAGAATTTGGTGTCGCGCAGATAGCATTGTGGTTGTCCGGCCGCGCAAACGAACGAACAGGACAAATGGATTCAGCTTCGGGGCCCATCACGGCAATTGACCAGCCTGGTCTTAAGGCCGAGGGCCAGCTGCTGTATCACTTGCGGAGAGAAGTCGCCGATCTCTTACAGAGAAACCAGATCAGCTTCCCGGGCGCGCAGCCCGTGAGTTTCGCGCAAAAGCATATCGATGAGCTGCTGTCGAGAGAGTACGTCTGCGCATAAGCCTAATTCTGCAATGGCCCAGGCGGCCACCCCTTGCCATCTTTACTTGTTAGAACTGGATCATGAGCTGGCGCTGACCTCTATGTCGTAGTTACTACGTCTGCGAAAAGACCGATGGCATCCGCTACCTCTTATACTTAACATCTGACGAGACTGGGAGTGAAATCCACTATCTGATCGATCGCAAGAACGACTTCTGGTTCATACACCACAAGAATCTCCATTTTCCTCTACAAGGCGATGACCAGGCATTCCACACTCGCACGATAGTGGACGGCGAGTTGGTAATAGATGAAGAGCCAGACGGCACTAAGAAGCCAAAATTTCTTGTATTCGACTGCCTTGTCATCGATGGCAAGGTCCTTCTAGAACGGTCATTAGATAAGCGGCTCGCTTACTTCCAGGCGAATGTGTTCAAGCCATATGAGGACCTGTTCAAGCGTTTCCCTCAGGAGCGCCCATTCCAGGCTTTCCAGCTCCAAATGAAGGACATGCAGCTAGGATACGGCATCGAGAAGATGTTTGGTGAAGTGCTGCCGCATCTCAAGCATGGTAATGATGGACTTATCTTCACATGCGTCGGTACGCCGTACCAATTCGGCACCGACCAGCACATTTTGAAGTGGAAACCGGCAGAGGAAAACACTGTTGATTTCAAGCTTCGCCTTGAGTTCCCCATGGTTGAGCCGGACGATATTGATCGCGCCGAGGGCGTCACAAAGCCATATATTGACTACGAGGCCGTACCTCACGTGCAGCTGCTGACAAACTACGGCGGTGAGGCTTCGGAGCCGTACCAGCCGTATGCTGAGCTGTACCTGACGGAGGAGGAGTGGGACAAGCTGAAGTCTCTGGGGGACCCGTTGCAGGGTCGCGTTGTCGAGTGCGCTATGGACGAGCACCAGCGGTGGCGCCTATACCGGTTCCGAGACGACAAGCTGGATGCCAATCACATTAAGGTTGTGAAGAGCGTCATCGACAGCATCCTACACCCGGTGGGTAAAGAAGATTTGCTTGAAGTAGCACCGCAGATCAAGGACAACTGGAAGATCCGAGCGGACCGCTTAAAGGCACAGCAGTCCCAGAAGAGGTAGTTTGACTGTTGTACATGTCGGAAACACCATTTCAGGGGACTGGGAATCTAAGCAGATATGGAATGGGAGACTGGTTTAAAATAGGATATGGCAGGCTGCTTTAGGTGGCGTTCAGGCAAACTGTGTGTACAATGTAGCGAGTAGGTGTTTTGGTATGGCCAGGAGTCAGCTTCTTCTCGCGGATATCATTTACGCCAATTTGGGCGGGTTTGTATAAGAAGTCCAATACAACTTGAACATTTTTGCCTACGTCTTGTGAGTGCCATTTTTTGCATAGCATTGCTGAGTATTGTTCGCGCAGAATATCATTTAGTAGTCTTGGTAATGGCCATTAACAGGAATATTTAGAGAGAGAAATAAAAAATCTTTCACGAATTGAATTGAACTTAAAGCATGGCAGTGTGCCGAAAAGACTTTTCTCATTAATCATAGCATCTAGCTACCAATCAGTACGCGATGACACATCAGGTACAAAGCAACAGTTCTGTTCGTGATTATGGACGCCGTGAAAGTATCCCTATTTTAGACAAGAACATGAATTAGGTGACCTCTTCAAAACATCCACCAAAACCCTGAAAATCCGTCGAGGAAGGACGAGAAGTATCTTGGACCAGAAGACATCCAAATACCATCCACCAGTCGACTCGTCTTGATAACCCAGCAGTGAACTCCAAGATTCATCCATCAGCAAATGGTTTTGAGAATTAGCCGGTCGTACTGCCGAAACTCCAAATTGTTCCCCAAAGGATGGAGAGCGGGTGATGTTAGATGAAGAGAGTGACAAGAGCTGTGATAATCATCACGACGCAATACACGGAGCCGCTCGGCTTCCCGTGGCTCGCGCCTAGGGGCTTGGGGCCCTTAGCTCCATCAGAAATGGAGATGGTGGCTCCAGGGCCCGGACCGCCGGTGTGGGAGACGGTATAGTTGTTGGACGCGGTGCTGGTCAGAGTGATTGTGGTGGCTCCAGCAGTGCCAAAGACGGACGTGCCCAAGACAGGCGCCACGGTGCTGCTGATGGATCCGGAGAGGGCATCAACCGAGGACAATCCAGTGGCGATGGACGGAGACAAGGTCTGAGTGACGAGGATAGTCTGCTGCCCAGAAACGATCTTGGTGATAGTCGTCAAGGTGTTGATGACAGAGACTGTGGTGGTTGTCAGTGGCTGGGAACTGGATAGAGGGCTAACCAGGACCGTGGCAGTGATAGTAAGGGTAGTTCCTGGAGCGCAGATTCCCGTCTCGGAGGCCGACTCACTTGACACCAGAGGGTATGACGAAAGCTCTGCAGGCAGAGAGCTGAGAGCGGAGAGAGTGGCAGTAACAGTGGCCGGCTGAAAGATAGTAGTGGTGGTGGTAACCTCCCTAGAACTCAAGGAAGAGCTGGAAAGAATGGAGGCGGACAACGCATCAGCCGAAGACGTGAACTCGCCAGGAGAGGTGGTCAGAGTCGTGGTCAGAGTGAGGGTAGATCGCGGGATGGTGATAGTGGTGACGTCCCTGAGTAAATGTATTAGTCAGTTGCAACTTTTCAGGAGTCGATCAAACTTACAGTGTGGTCGCAGTTGCGGTAGTGGTCTCAGGGGACAAGGAGGAACCGAGCGAATATCCTACAGGCGTGATGCTGGTCGCAATCGGAGCGGCAGTCACGCTGGTAGAGACGGAAGTCTCAAGACCAGTGCAGGGAAGCGCAGAGACATCGACCTCATCGGTAGCAGTGATGAAGGGGGCGATCGTGGAGGTGAAGACCTGACCACCATCGGTAGCTTGAATGGCGCGGGCCATCTTGGGATCGACATCGGTGGCGTGATTGACAAGATCGTTGTACTTAGCCAAGAGAGAGTTGTAGTCGTAGTGATCTATGCGGAAGGTGAGGTCTGTACTGAATGGTATCTGGTGGGCGCTACTTACCCTCGTAGACCTGGAACGCCAGAACAACCAGGGTAGTCAAGGTCAAGACGCAAATGACATACTTGACGATGAACCAAAGAACATTCTTGCTGGGGAGGCGGGGGAGGTGAAACTTGGTTGCGTTCACATGAGTAGCAGGAGTGTGCTCATCGAGAGCACCTGGGGTCTCAGGACTGCCTTTCTCCATGGCGGAATCGATGTTCTTATCCTGAACGGTAGCCATTGTGACTTTGCGGTATGAACGAGTGACTTTGCGGGGTGAGTTAGACTGGCTGAAACGGATGATGAAAACGAGGGAAAATGGCGATGCGAGATGAGAGGGGGATAGAAGGGGGAGGGCAGGGTAAGAGTCAGGCGTCGGGTCCGAGTTCGCGTCACCTTGAAATGACCGGGGAAATTATAAAAGAATGTGTGTAATGAAGGACATAAGGAAAATGTGGGATTCCGGATGAATTTGAAGGATATGGAAATTTTCTGAGGGAACTTTGTGTGCTCTTGTGTGACGATGAAGAAAGATTGGTGTTTGTCTTGAGGTTACTCGGGGATACGGTCAGGGGTACCGAGCAACGATGAGAGTCGGCAGAGATGGAGACAGAGCTATGCTTACCGAAGACGCGTAGATCGTGGGATGGCTGTTGAAATTTCGCAGACGCGGAAATTCCAGGGGATGAAGGAAAGTGAATGAATGAAGGTGGATGAAGATGAGACTGCGTGAGTGAGGGTACGAGAAAACGCGACTGCGGGTTGCGTTTGCTATGAGGTAAACAGGAAGGAGAGTTGGAAGGGGAGAAAAATCTGGAAGTAAGTTTTATGTGTAGACTTGTCTGTGGTGTGGGAGAAAGATCAGTAAAGATGATGCTGGGGCAACAACTTGGGAGGAGTAAATATTGCCCAAAAAGGGTTGGAACTGGCACAGTAACGTTGGGTCAGTGTGGCCATATCAAGTTGAGCCTCGAAATTCAAACATCTCGTCCCCGCTAAACTCGACGCAGCACACGAATATTGCAGACGGCCCTTTCTACAGGATCCCGTCAAGGATTGCCCTTGATTCTAGCCGCCTGCATCTACCCACATATTTGATTGGCAGGCCTCCACGAAAAGCATTTAATATATAACAGACACCCTCCTGCCTGGTTATTAGCAAACGGCGGTTCTGTACGACGCTTGGTACCTATCCCAATATTTTGCAGACATGTCTCGACTTGTAGCCCTCCACCGGCCGTAGAGATATACATTCGTGAACTCTAACAAGCTAACACCATCCACACAGTTTTCCAATGGCATCACTGATGGCAGGTCTTCCATGCCAATCGTATCAACCATTGCACATTCGGCATATTGTAGGCTGCAATATCGCCCGCACATTGACCAGATCCTAGATCATGTAGCTATGTGACGCATTGCCTCAAACAATGTGCATTAGCCTCGTAAAATAACATTAATTGTGGAAGAACAGAACTGTGTAAACACTCGATGACTCAGAGATTATAAGAGAAATTGCTGATAAGACCATATGGTTCCCTGATATCCGATCAAAGGGCGATGCGGAAAGGGTATAGAGAAAAACAATTACAGGAGGTGGAATGGATTAACTAGATATCGATACTAAAAAGGTGACAAGGAAGGATTGTAGCCACTTAGCCTTCTCCAGAAAGATAGTTTATATCCAATGCGAAGGGCAGTTTGAAAAAAGTTGACCAAGAAGCAGGTAGAGCTCGAGTAGCCCATTATTCAACCCCCGATATCATGCGAAAAGCACTGTATAACAGAATGAGACGTGATAGATCACAAGGCAGCTAGATTGCTAGTCTTATACCCCAAACCTACTGCTTGATATTTCATATGCAAGATAATCTTTCATATTTCAATGGAAGGTTGATATTCGGTGAATGGCGCTCGACGAGCTTGGAAAAAGGAAAACGATGTTGCCTCGGGGTCCAGGATTGAGGCTCAAGTGAGTGGGACCCACTCCAGCTCTCTTAAGTGGCATAGGTACTTAGGTACCTACTACCTCAGCTAAGGGAGGTAGGTACGTACCGCTCTTCGCGCTCTTCCAGTAAGATGCAGCACGCGTGCCGCGCCCACACCAGCACGGGCACCAGCTAGCACTTGCCGTCGCGTAACAATTGGGACGACGCTCGCCCGTAATAAATCGCCTACTACTGTCGCACCGATTGAACTCCCCTCCTGCCCAAGAGGTTTTGCGGATTTCCTCACCTCTGATCCGACCTCTCATCTTCTTCCGAGTGCAGTACCTCAAGAACTCTTGCACACCTCCCTACGTGGAATTTTTGGACGATTCCTGTTCTTTTCACCTTCATCCGGAAATTTTGGTGTCTCAGGTCCCGCGCCTGGCGATTAGTCTTGGTTATACTGATCACTGTTCACCACACCACACACCATCGTCATTCGCAACACCAAAGACAACATCACGAGAGTCCGTCAATTGAACCGTGGCCGCGCACCATGGCGCCTCGAAGAAGGCAAGCCGCCGAGGAGGAGCAGGATGAAGGAGGGGACGTCGAAGGTCTACAATTCAACGAAACCCTCTCCTGGCGCGCTGGAAAGCCAATTCCCACTGGGGAGCTTGTCAAGCGACTTGACACGCTGTCAATAGAGCTGGCCGAACTCGACCAAGAATGGGAGCACAAGGATTCGTTGACCAAGATTGCAAAAGAGCTATCCTCGCACCAGATTCTGGCGCATAAAGATAAAGGCGTCAGGGCATTTGCCGCCTGCTGCTTAGTGGACATTTTGAAGATTTGCGCTCCGAATGCGCCCTTTAGCCCTGCGCAACTCAAGGTAATGCATCACGAAGCTGTACATCAGTCATGTCTTGACTAACCCTTGACTTTTCCAGGAAATCTTCAATTTAATTATAACCTCTATTCTCCCCGCTCTTCAAGATCCGTCGCATACGTACAATAACCAACACAAGTATGTTCTCGCATCTCTCACCGATGTGAAGAGCATATTGCTTCTCGAGGAACTCCCCAACAACGATGCTCTGTTCGCGCACCTGTTCACATCGTTTTTTGACTCCGTGTCAGGATCCAAAGCCGCATCTGGCGAACAGATAAGCAGAGATGTTATACAGTACATGACAGACATGCTTGCCGTAATAATCGACGAAACAGCTGCTCTTCCCGCCAAGGTCATCGACATTATCATGGCCCAATTTCTCCGCGCCGCTGCTCCGGGCGCCGGAAGAGACAAGACAGAGCAAGGTGCCATAGATGAGAACCAATCAACACTTCTTATTAAAGAAGAGCCAGAGGCTTATCAGATGGCAAGGTCGGTCTGCAACATGCACCCCGATAAGATGGCGCGGTATATTGGGCAGTACTTCAGCGACGTCATCATGGAAGCTTCAGGCATCGCGAGGTCTAATGGAAACCGGGCTGACGAAGATTCTGACGAGGAAGAGGGTGTCGCGGGGCCGTCAGAGGCCGACCTGAAGGAGCTGCGGAAGGCTCACCTGCTCATTAGAGAGCTATGGAAGGCTGCACCGATGGTCTTACAGAATGTGATTCCGCAGGTTGATGCGGAGTTATCTGCAGACAATGTGCACTTACGTCAGCTGGCGACAGAGACTCTTGGAGACATGATATCTGGCATTGGAGCAGCGGGACCACCGTCTCCTCCAGTGCTTGACCCGGCCGTGTATCCACCGCTCAAGATTAGCGATGAGGCTCCGGATAGTCGGTCGTCGAACCCGCTTAAGACACCACTCTCACCTCACTCCTTTGCGCAAGGCCACCCTGCGGCATATCAAAATTTTGTTGGGCGCAGGAATGATAAGTCGCCCCTCATTCGTGCGGCTTGGACAATTGCAGCCGGCTACATCTTATCGACAGACGCTGGAGGCATTGGACTGAGCCGAGATGATGAAACCACACTAGTTCGCGGACTAGGGGAGAAGCTCAACGACAGCGATGAGAAAGTACGCCTGGCAGGTATCAAGGCTGTTGAGTCGTTCAGCTTTCGTGATGTAATCTTGAAATTGGCTCCGCATGGAGGCGTTAGCAAGGAGAACTCTGTCTTGGGCAATTTGGCCGACAGATGCCGCGACAGGAAGCCGAATGTTCGAGTTGATGCTATGACTCTCCTGGGTCGACTGTGGGCTGCGGCTACTGGAGAGTTGGCTTTAGGCAACGATGTGGTTGCTACCGCCTTGTCTGGAGTCCCTTCGCGCGTCTGCAATGCTTTCTACGCGAACGACCTTGAACTTAATGTTCTACTCGATACGGTCATCTTCGAATGCTTGGTTCCGCTCGCATTTCCGCCGCCTCCAAAGAAGGGGACAAAGGGTACCAACGGCAGCTCTCAAACACAGTCACAGTCAGGCCCGGCAGCTTACGACCCAGACGCTATCAGAGCAGAGCGAATTTTATTGTTGGTTCAGTCGCTAGATACCACTGCAAAGAAAGCTTTCTTTGCGATGCAGGCGCGCCAACCCCAGTTCGCCAAAATTCTTGCCACCTTCGTGAAGCAATGCGAGGAGTTTAACGGGGGTGTTATGGATGAGGAAGCAACCCAGAAAACCGCAAATCTTAACAGAACAGTCAAATACATGGCTCAATTCTTGCCTGATGGAGTCAAAGCCAGTCAGGAACTGCACAAATTTGCGAAAGCGAACGACCGTCGCAACTACCAGCTAATTAAGTTTATCGTCAGCCAAGAGTCAGACTTCAAGACTGTCCATCGAGCTTTAAAGGAGTTGGCAAAACGCATACAAGGCTCCCAGCACTCTAACGTACTCGAGACTTTGTTACCCTTGCTCTATCGCTCGGGCTATCTGATATTTAATCGGAGCCACTTGTCAACTATCTTGGAATATTCCAAGAGTGACCGGGACGGCATGGGCGCGACAGCTCTTGAAGTGCTAAATGAGATTTCCCAACGCAGTCCAGATCTTTTCAAGACCCATATCGGTGAGCTTTGCAAAGACCTAGTCGAGCAAGCTCCGTCTGCAACCAAGGAAAATGAACCTGCGGCCGTGGAGTCATTGAAAGCCTGCTCTTCGTATGCGCGGAAATATCCTGAGGAAATACCCACCGACAGGTCCTTCAACCAGACACTGGTGAACTACGCTCTGTACGGCCAGCCATGGAAAGCTGCAAAGTATGCCGTGAACATCCTGCTGGCGAAGAAAGATGAAAAGAGTCTGGTCAATGCCACGGACGTCATTCAGAAGGTGATGAAGGATTGGAAGTACGACTCTCCACACTTCCTCAACAAATTAGCTGTTGTCAGCCAATTAGAAGTCCTCGCACCAAAGGTTACGGATACGTATGATGAGACTATTCTGGATATGACCGTGCAGAAGATCCTCAAGCAAGTCCGCTCCGACGCAAGCGCAAAAGACCCGGATTGGGCAGAAGATTCTGAGATTGACGAAGAGTGCCAAGCTAAATGTCTGGCTCTTAAGATCTTAGTCAACCGCGTTCGTAGTGTTGAAGGCACTGCCCGCGGCGACTCAGTGAAGGATCTACAGGACAGAGCAAAGCCTGTTTTCAAGCTGCTCAAGACAATCATCAAGAATGAGGGCGAGTTTTGCAAGACGAAGGACACGCCTAAGCATCACAAATCGCGTCTGCGTCTTGTTGCCGCTCAGCTGGTCTTGAAGCTATGCACAGAAAGACATTTCGACGACATGTTGCCCCCGGATGACTTCAATGCTCTCGCCACGGTCACACAGGACTCTCACCCACAAGTCCGGCGAGCATTCATCGAGAAGTTGCAAAAGTATCTCGTTCAAGCAAAGTTGCGGCCAAAGTTTTATACAATTATCTTCCTTGCCGCCTTCGAGCCAGCACAAGACTTCAAACAGCGCATCGAGACTTGGATCCGTTCCCGAGTACACCACTATCAAGTCAGTGGGCAACCTGTCATGGAAGCTATCATGGCCCGGCTACTATCTCTCTTGGCTCATCATCCCGACTTCAGCACTGACTCAGATGATCTCGTTGACCACGCGCGATACATTCTGTTCTACGTCAGCAATGTTGCGACCGAGTCAAATCTTGGTCTGATCTTCCGTTATGCAGAACGTGTCAAGCAAACTAGGGATGCCATCAACCCTGACATGAGTGAGAATCTCTACGTTGTTAGTGACCTTGCACAAGCCGTTGTTCGCAAATGGCAAGAGAAGAAGGGATGGGCCTTTGAAGCCTACGGGCAGAAGATTGGGCTGCCCACAGGACTGTATCTTGCCTTGCCATCTCACGAAGCTGCTCAAGAAATTGCCGAGAAGCAATACATTCCGGATGGTATAGATGATAAGCTGGATGACCTGCTTCGTACAGTCGACAGGAAAAAGGTATGTTTCAAGCATTCTTCGCAATCTCCATTCTCTAATCATATTTTAGAAGCGCAAGTCCGTGGACGATCGTGCGGAGGTTCATCCGCCTGCTAAGAAAGCCAAGCCCACTGTAAAGGTCGCAAAGACGGCAGCCCAGCCCAAAGTAGCAAAGGTCCCAGCAAAGAAGGCGGCACCAAAAGCTAAGACTCCGGCGAAACCTAAGAAGGCCAAGGCATTCTCGTCGTCCCCAGTAGCCGATTCCGAGCGGCGTCGTAGTGGGCGCTCGAGACATGCGCAAACATACATCGAGCGTGACTCTTCTGAGGACGATGAAGAGATGCTCGATGGAGTCGCTGAGTGGGACTATGAGGAAGGAAAAGACTCAGACCAGGAAGACAACGGTCCGGAAGCGGCTGACGATGAAGAAAAGGAGATAGAAGAAGTAGAGCCGGAGGCGGAAGAGCAGCTTCCCGAATCAGAGGAAGAAGATGAGCCCACTCCGCCGCCGGCGACGAACGGCAGGAAAGGGAGGAATGCGTCTGCCTCTCGAGCGAAGCCCAAGCCCACCCCCAAGCCCGTCGCGAAGGCTAAGCCAGCGAGCAAGGCTGCGGCGTCTGGAACCGCCTCTACAACTGGGAAAGGAAGAGGCAAAAAAGCCAAGGATATATATGAGATGGACATTGACTGAGGCTTCAATGTGTTCTATTATTTATCAGTATTGCCTCAGGGATGGATGACAGTTTCCTGTTATGGTTTTTATACCCTGTGTGATATTATACTTTGTCGATACAAAAGTAATCTGAGATTATGAGGACCGCCCTTTGATGCTGTCAAGATGTGACATGATGTGTGGCTCGTGTATTCAGCTTGCCATAATACCTGCAACATCAGATAAGACCACAATCTATTCAACTTGCACGTCACATTCCAGATTGAGAGAATAACTCTGAGATACCTAGCAGCGCGTTGCTCGGCATATGCTTCTTTTAGAGACGCTAACTCGAAACTCTTCGAAACCTTGCCATGAGGTCACCTATAAATCATCCAAGTAAAAGTCATCCCGGAAATCTCGCCTTCTAATGGAAAGTCGGGGCCGCCGCACCCCTAAAGTTTGTAAGACGCCGAACCGGCCGTTATCCGATCTCAATGAATCCCCTACTCCATGGCTGGACAGCAAGGCAAACGGCTACTTGAGAGTCCTTTGCTATCCTGGTCCCGTTTCGACCTCAATCTTATGTACAATGGAAACACCTAGGGACAGACGCGTCCCCCAAACAAGAATTACATAGTTATACATATCTCCGTCCCCGCGGGCTCGGCCTGAATTTACTATGATGCAGGCCCGGGGGCTCCAGATGTGGAGCTCGACCGTCCGGTAGGCTTGCCCACCCGCTGATCGACCTTTTCACGGTGCATTCTGTTCTTGAGATGGACCTCGAAGTTGGTGACAGTGGTTTCCGGCCCTGGCGTGTATAGCTTGCCTGGGCAGTCGTGGCAGCGGATTCTGGGGAGGTACATGAACTTGATATTGGGCGGGATGGGTTGTCCAGCAGGCGGTGCCGGGACTGGCTGTTCAGTCTCAGCATTGACGGCACAGTATCGCATGACGCCTTCGAAAGAGTCATTGGGATACTGCTTCAAGAGATCTTGAAGAGCTGAGCTGAGCCACTCAGGAGGCGGAGGCTATGAATATGGATTAGCACGGCGGTGGAAGGAGAATTAGGACACGAGGGACAAGACACTCACAGGTGGCGGGCCTTGCTGACCAGGAGGCGGTGGTGGAGGGGCAGGGAGACGGCCAATTTGGCCAGGAGGAGCAGGTGTTGCACTGCCTGCCTTTGCAGGAAGGTTCTGGGTCGTGGCAGAGGGTGTTGAGGGAGGTCCCATATTGCTTGGGGGAACAGATGTGCTTGGAGCACGTTGTGCTTGGCTCACAGGAGTTTGCGATCCCGATGGAGGAGCAGCTTTCGACTTGATATCCTTCAGAAGCTTCCTGAGCTTCTCCTTGGAGACCTTCAGGTGAACCCAGTAATGCGAAGGCTCCTCGGTGGAGTCTCGAGCCTCCCGTCCTGGGAAACGACGAGAAGCGATTCTAGTCTCATGATGGTGTAGAATCGTAGCTGCCTCTGGTGTTTCTGATCTCCCAATATTGGCCATGCGCTGCTGGGCGGCGGATGCCGCACCGCGCATGCCCCTGGTACGTGCCGTACCGGCAAGTTGTGACATAGCAGGTGAGTCGGGCATCGAATCGTCACTATCGTCCGAGTCCGATATAGCGCCATCATGTCCACCAGGACCTCGCTTGCCCCTACCAGGGCCGACAGCGCCGGCCGCTCTCTTGTATAATCTGCTCTCTTCCACATCCGTCGCCGCCCCTGGCAGCGTATTGGAGACAACAAGCGTCCGGATAGTTCTCTGTCTCTCCTTGAGATCGGGTAGTTGAGGCCCGCCGCGTCTGTTGACAGATCTCTTCTGTCTCCTCTGTTCGCGAGAGAATATGACCTCATTCCTCTCCAGATCTGCGTCACTGAGCTCATACAAATAGGGTGCGTATTCCTTGGCTTGCTGTTGTGGCCGGAAGACGTTTGGTAAAGGAGAGGGGAGGAAGGCAGACACAAGATCTGGGTCTTCAATTGGTCTTCCATCAAACGGATGGCCAATGCTGTACAGACTTCTCGTGAAGAGTTGTGTTTGTTCCCGTATGCAGTGCGCAATTGCTGTTGTGAACTCGCCGGACAGGGACAAATCGCGAGCCATACTTTGGGCAAACTCCTCGGGAGAATTTATAGGATTGTTAATATCCCACTCAAACTGGTCAACAAGGGTATGCTGGCCGATGGTGATGTTGAGTTTTACTAATATTCTCATCTCATCGTTCTTGTACGCGGAATAAGGGAGCTCTGGGTCGAGCGCGTCTTCTTCGGAAAATACGGTTGGGTAGAAGTCATTGAGCTGCTCGTGGATCTGCTGCTGTACTTGCTCGAAGACAGGTTGGACCAGCGGGGCCTTGAGGCCCATATCCTCGACAAGATGAGCAGCGAAGAGCTCGACAGGGATGAGGCGCTCATGAAGGTTCCATGTGAACGTGTCGCGAAGCTTGACCTTGTCCCAGTCCACGTCTAATCGGACAGGTACGAGTTCTTCGTGCTGCTCGGCTTGCTGCTGCATGTCTTTTCGGCTGAATTTAGGTAGCGCCGGGGTGCCTCTTTTGCCTGGGCGATGCTTTTCCTTAGGATACACAATCCTTGACGGCTGGCCAGACTCGGTGAAGCCATTGCCGTAGCCATTGTAGCCTTCTCCGAATATTTTGCTCGGGGGAAACCATTGGCGATATTCGCCTCTTAGAGCTTTATAATCGTCCCGTTCAAGCCTCCGTTCTTTCATTTTCTTCTGTTCCGTCATCTTGTCGTCCATGAGAGCAGCATAGGCGATGTTGTCGCGGGTAACGAAGTGGTTCAGGAGAACCTGGAAGAAGGAATCCTTGTCGCGCACCGGCGTGTCTTCTGATGGCCTGGGTGTGCCCTCTTTCGACGTCTTGGATGCGGACTCATCACTGGATCTGGCGACATTGGCGCCATCGGGGGCCGACGCGGTGGTTGACGATGAGCTGCTGGCTGTCGCGTTGGGGGCGGCGATGGCCGGGGTGGAGGCCTGCTGTGTTGAGGCTGCCATCGCGAAAAGAATGTCGCCGCAACGGAGCGACGACCAGCTCAGAAGCCGTTATTCGCGTATGGCGGCAGGGTGGGCGACGATGTTGCGCGCGCTGAGAAGGTGTGGCGGTGATGGATGCTGGGATGTTGGAGGCCACTGTGGAAAGTCTGTGGAAAGTCTGTACTGTACTCTGGTAGCCTTTTGGGTAAGACCGCCAGGATATCGGTAGCCAGTGTGGAGGTGCCAGGATGAGCACTAATGAGTGCAGAACCCTTGCAAGTTGTGACCTCTGAGTCTGAGTTAGTGGGCAAGGTTGCAAATGCTGTGCAGGACTCCCCTATTGATTGGAGATTGGACATGCCGCCAAGCGACTGAAAACGAATGTGGCTGGGAAGGCGGTTCAAAAGTGCTGAGACCTGGACTTTGCCTCGAAAACGCAGCCGAGTGAGGTACCGGTACATGCACAAGACAGGAGGCTAGGAGCTGCCAGCTGGTGACAGCTGTCAGTAGTTGGACCGAACACTGCCCAGCCCTGGAGGATGCTTTGCAGCAAATCCTCTTAGACTTCGGCAAGTATCCCCTACTACGTTCAACACAGCGTCTGTACTCTCAGCCCAGCGACAGACTCCTGGAAAAAGACAGTATGAATCGCCAACCTACCTAAGGTAGGTAGGCAGCTCTCTTACTTCACATAGAACACTAACAGGCAAGTCAAAGCTCAAATCCATGTTGCTGTTGATTGCATTGGATTGTGATTCATTCCAACCAGGTAGAATGAGAGATCTAGAGGTTAAGAAACCTCGTAGGATGCTGATCTATTGGGTAGAGTTAGATAACTACCTAGCACCTAGGTAGGTAGGTCAGCTAGGTAAGGTTGTATTGGAAGCTGGGAGACAGACGGGCTGGCTTGCAAGCTCTGAGGTAATGACGGAGCGAATAGCGGGTGCGCCCACAGAAAAGCCCCTCCCCCACCTGAAATGCTGCTACCAGGTCAAAATTGGAAAGACAACACCACCTGCCCTCTTCCCCTCCTCCTTCCCTCAAGCTCCTTTCACTGCCTTTTCAGGTCATTTTCAGACTTCAACTCACTTAGATACGTCCCTCATTATCATAGATCAAAATGGCGACCGAGGAGAAAGAAATCGGTCTGTTGCCCTTTCGCCGACACCGTCGCCTACCCCTCCTCCTTCCACCATCAGCTGCTTTCCCTGCCAACCTGCCCCACCATCCCCTACCTCAACTGACCCTCGAAGACCGGCCATTATGGAATCTCGGCGTGAACAGCTACTGACAGCTTTGGCAGACTACTCTCTGGCCAACCCGGATACCTTGACCAAGTACAAGACCGCGGCACAGATCTCTGAGAAGGTCCTTGCTGCCGTCAAGGAGCTCTGTGTTGCCGGCGCGAAGATTGTCACAATCTGCGAGAAGGGTGACAAGCTCATTGAGGAGGAGGTTGGCAAGGTCTACCGTGGCAAGAAGATCAACAAAGGTACATGCTATCTGGCCTAAACTGTTCACCCTGTCTGTATTCTGTATTCAATATTCGAGTCACTCACACCAAGCCTCTCTAACACAGGCTTCTCCCACCCGACTACGATCTCCCCGAGCTCCTATGTCACTCCTTACACCCCTCTGACCTCGGACGAGAGCGAGGCATCCACCGAACTCCAGCCCGGTGAGCCTGTCAAGATCCAACTCGGCGCTCAGATCGACGGGTTCGGTTCGATCGTCTGCGACACAATCCTCGTTCCCTCCGAAGACAAGCCACAGGATGTCATCTCTGGCAAGCCAGCTGATCTCATCTTGGCGACATACTATGCCAACGAGCTGCTCCTGAGACTGATGATCCCCCCTGGATTGTTGGCTACTGGCAGTGATGAGGAGAAGGCGAAGGCGGCAGCTGCCAAGGCCCCTACGCAGACCAAGATCAACAGCCTGTTGGAGAAGGTAGCCAAGGCATATGATGTCAACCTTGTCGAGAGCACAACTTCATGGGTATTCGAGCGCAACGAGATCGAGGGCAAGAAGAAGATCGTTCTAGCTCCCGGTGAGGGTTCCAAGGGTGACGGTGTCCCCGAGATCGGCGAGGTCTGGGGAGTCGAGGTGGGCATGAGCTTGGGATCAGGCAAGGTGAAGCAGCTGGAGCAGCGAGCTACGCTGCACCGTCGTACTACTACAACCTACGGCTTGAAGCGACCCACGTCGAGGAAGATCCTATCTGAGGTGCAGAAAAAGTTCGGCACCTTCCCCTTCAGCTTGAGGCAGCTCGAGGATGAGAGGGATGCCAAGTCTGGTGTCGTGGAGTGCGTTCGTGGCAATGTCTTCCGTCAGTACGAACTGGTCGGTGACAAGGACGGTGCACCGGTTGCCCGCCTTTTGACAACCATTGGTAAGTGACGAAATGACATGCTTTGACCTTCAAATTCTGACCAGTGTCACAGCGATCACCAAGAACGGCATCACAAAGCTGGGTAGCGCCCCAGCTCTGGACCTCAGCAAGTTCAAGACCGACAAGAAGATTGAGGACGAGGAGATCCTGAAGATCTTGGAGCAACCGCTCGCCCGAAACACGGGCAAGAGCAAGTCCAAGAAGAAGAAGAAGCCTGCTAAGAAGGCGGTCAAGGAGGAGTCCGATGATGAGGACGACAGTGACGATGAGTAGAGTAGAAGGGTGTGCTAATGCTACTACATGAACTTTGCTGGTGGATCTGACCTGGCAATCACGATTATTGTACGCCAACAAATAACTGATCTTCCAATCGAAAACCGGGAACGATGAGCGCCACAGTTTCATTGTTTTCAATGGTTTGGGTATACCGGTGATGGAAGCCGCTAAGGCTGGCTGGTTTCCTAACATTGGAACTCCCCCCATCAACGGTTTACACATCTATGCTACCTTGATTAGGAAACACGGATGAACATGTGGATAGGCAATAGCAAATTCCTTGGGGATGCTTGTTGGTGTCTACTTTTATCTACGTGATGACATTGGCGTTGATCGTTTCGTAACACTTTAGTGACTTGCACTCCAACAGCCTTGGAAGCCTGTCCGGCGCCCCTATTGTGACTTGTGAGGGGCTGCGGGCAAGCATCCTGCTTAACAGACCCCGGAAAGCCATTGCAACAGGTAACCAAAGCGAGGAAAAAGCAAGAAAGTCCAAGTGCAGGAGCTGGGGCTGCACCCTCAAGTAGCGGCTGATGCTATTCGATGCCAGTCAAGCCTCATGGGGATCCTGAAAGAGCTCATCAGGCTGGCGAGGAGATAAGTTGCACAGATAGAAGGGTTCTTCACAGAAGCCAAGCCTGGAAACCCCTTTCCATGAGATGGCCAGCGGCTGTGCTACTGAGCGTTCACTATGAGAAGCAATCCCTCTAGTGCGGTTATATATATGCAGCACGAGCTGGGTGTTTGTTGATATCTCACCACTTGGTAGAGATAGGGCACCTGACCTTGTAAATGCGACTGTGACTGGTATGGATGATGGGTGTCTCGAGTGCCTGTCCTGCTTCTCCCGACAACCTTGCACAGGTCCAAGCCCCTGGACAAAATGTGTCGGCAAGGCTCTCTACCTTCTGATTTGACTCGTCCTCGAGAGTCACGGAGGAATCAGACAAAAGAAACTGAATGCAGACATCTCTAGCGCAAGGTAAACATATTCCTCAGGGGCATGTCTTTATCGCGCTTTGTGTGAATTGTCGGGACGCTGTACTAGAGCGGGAAGCATGCGTGCATGCGTGGAGCTTAAAAGTGTATGGTAGATAGTTAAGGTATCTGAGTGCTGTAGGTAGGTAGGTTAACGGCGGCACCCCCCTAGTCATCGGCTGGTGTAATCCAATTCTCCGAGATTCCTTACCTGGGGGCGCCTTCTTTCCACCACCCTTTTTCCTTTCCTCAGAACGTCAACGCGTTGACACCAAGAAAACGCGCTGGGAGACGGACGATTGATGAGCTAGGATCTCAGACAAGTACAGCCAGATTCATTTACCTCGTGTTTACAGATGCTAACAGACCGCGCAGTCGCGACAGAGAAGGGTGCATCGCTTCGCCCGTCTGAGGCAGGAAGGGGGCGAGAACACCATGCCCAGCACCATGATCTCCTCCAACACCAGAGCGTCGCGGTCGCGATACTCGAGCCCCCAGCAGACGCCCCAAGATCCGAATGACTCGGCGAAGTCTTCTGTCAAGGACGAGCAAAAAACATTCATGCAAAAATGGTTGGAGCCTGCCGTCCAGAGCAAGGCGAGCTTTCAGGAGGCCGGCTTGGTGCGTCACGGCGTGGTGGAAAATATGGCTCCGTTGGGCACCTTGCCCAAGGTGGCCGCGTCTAAGAAACACGGTACGCCGGCGGGACAGGAGCACACACCCATCCGCAAAATCATCTTGAAGCGGCCCGTTGCAGGAGCTGCAAATTCGCCCTCAACAACTCCGCTCCTGCCCGAATCTGAGGACGTCACCCCAGCTCTCACCAGGCGCTCAGTTTCTTCTCGGGACGTTGATGACGACTACGACCCGAAGGGCACCGCTTCTCATTCATCATCTGCGCGACCGAAGGCTGCTAGGAGAAGCGTCGGTCGGCCAAGCACGCATCGGCTGAGCTCAAACAGTAGTACGCTTCAACAAACCACGGCAAACAGCCCAGCTCGACTTCAAGACAACAAAGAAACCGTCGACAGGGTTGTCGAGGCGGCTGTGGACGAAGCTCTTGATCATTTCCGCTATCCTACTGCCTGGGCTCTGAGGACGCTTTATGACGAAAACTCATCAAATCCTCACTTCGTCTCTATGATCGAGCAGGTCTACCATCAAACAGCAGACCCTGAGACCATAGAGGAATTTGCCCGCCTTGTTCACGACAAAAAAAAAGAGGGCAAGGAGGACAATAAAGGCTGCTACTATTTTGTGCCCCCATCAACAAACAGCAGGTTCACTCCACACAAACCCAAACCAGCACCCTACACTGACCTTATCACTCTCGACGTGTCCAAATTCAGCACAGAACCTGAGGTGCACCCCAGAAAAAAGGTGAAGCACAGCAGCAGTCTCCATGAGTCAGCCAGAAAGATGGCGACAAACGGAATGAACGGCATAGCAAACATGTCTCCATCACGAAATCGGGGCCGTGCAGGCTCAGTCGGCAGCGACTCATCCCTTTCATCTGCCAAATCAGTCTCACCGCCACCCGAGGGGATTGACGAGGATGAGGAGGACGATGTCTTTGGTGTTCCTGCGGGTGCTGAACGCACCAGCTCTGCCGAGACCACCAGCTATGCGTCTGGCCCGGCTGCCCGCCAGCCAATCGCAGCCCGTCACAGATCTCGAGCCACTACAAAAAACAACGGGGACGTGTCGGCCACTCCCACACCAACCCTGGATTCCCCTACCACTGCTCCTCCCCCCACCACCGCAGCTCCAGGCATGCCTGCTGCCGTGGCATCACCGCTCTTCCCTAAGCTCTCCAAGAATAAGGGCAAGCATCAGGGCGCCGCTTCGGACATCAAGTTCCCCAGCCGCTTCGGAGTGGCCGAGGACGACGACAGGCATCATCGCCTCAGGCGCTTTGCCAGGAGCGTCACCAACACGCCAGGCGCGACTTCCTTGAGTTGGGAACGGCCTCACGTCCAGGATCCTGAGGTGGATTCGGATTTTGAGACGCCAGCCCGTCCCTCTTCTGTGCGACCTCGCGCCTCACTTCCGCCAGGAGGCACACTTAGTGCACGAGCTACGCGTTCGCAGAAGCGATACCACGATGAGGTGGAGGATGAGGTCTCCCCGACGAGCCTTCACTTCCCAGATGCCGGACCTGGCTCTGAGGTGACTTCTCGAGCTGTCACGCCGCTGCCTCGTGTCGTCAAGAAGCCTAGAACAGGCTTGCGCATCAAGACTTCGTAAGTATCAATCCTTTTCCATCCTCATCGTGGAGCCGTGGAGCTTCGCGGCCCAAGCATGGTCATAAGGCTGGGTAGTCCATCCTGTTTGGTCAAGTAACAACAAGGTCCTGGCGAATAAAACCTGGCTCCAGCACTAGACAATTTGCACACGACCCCATTCTTCTATAACTCGCTTTATTTGATGGAGACACTTTCTAACGCTCATATCTATATAGTCCCATGAAGAAGAAGAACGGTCCTTCAGCAGGTATTCCTCGCGCCAGTGGAGAGCGCACCACTCCGCCTCCCAACGGACAGCCCAACAACCAAGTGAGTACAAATTTCTCTTTCCAAAGAAAGCATTTGTGCCAGTGTCTTTCCTGGCAAACAGCGATATCTGAACGCCTTGCGTCGCCTTTCTGGTGCCAGAGGCGTGTTGCATTGCCTTACGGCCCACGCGAACTTGGATTCGCTGCCAGGAAATTTTAGTGGCAGGGCCAGCCCATGCCTCATTTTTGCCAAAATATGGCGCAAAGACCGGCATCTTACCTTGGAATCAGCAACACCAGGCTAACCTTGGCGCACAGGACGAAAACGACGACTACTGCTCGTCGTGCGGTGGTAATGGCGAGCTTGTCTGCTGCGATGGCTGCACCCGGTCATTCCACCTCACATGTGTGGATCCGCCTATGGGCGAGGGACACTTGCCGGACGAATGGTATTGCCACGTCTGTTTCAGCCAGCGATTCCCAACCCGAGTGCCCGATCACGGCGGCGTGTTTGGCTCTCTTCTCAACAATCTGGAGAAGAAGAACAGCAGTGCTTTCCGATTGCCTGCAGAGGTGCGCGACTACTTTGAGAGCGTGAAGACTGGTGCGGATGGCGAGTACGAAGAGATCGTCCCGCCCGCAAAACCCAAGTAAGTCCCCTGTCCTGTCCGCGCCTTGGTCATCTCCCAGGAATTGCCACTAGCCTATATTGGGGCCATCCCTGAGACCTCGCACCTATCGCTTTTTTCCACCTGCGCGTCAGCTGACACGATGATTACAGGAAGAAGGCAGGCGTTGATGAGGTCCTTGATTTTTGGAAGGTCCGTGACGCTGATGGCAATGCAATCATCTGCCACAGCTGTCAGCGCGCCGCTGCGAAGGATCGGGCTATCATGCCCTGCAGCCTCTGCGGTTTGCACTGGCATCTAGATTGCTTGGATCCACCAGCGGCTAATGCCCCAGTTCCACGTACTTTCCGGTGCCCTGCTCATGTTGATGATCTTCTGGCCAAGATCCCTGGCTCACTGGGCCCAGCGCACAGGTTCCGCAAGATCAAGGGTGCTCCCGCCATCAAGCCATCTTACAGTCGTGGCTTGATCAACAATGGATGGATTGATATCGATGGTGAGTCTGAAGATGAGAGTGGTTGGAAGGAGGTCGAAACTTTTGGCAAGACCTACCGATTGCCCAGTCAGGGCATCAAGCTCGACTTCCTCTCCCGGTATGTTAATCCAGGTACCAAGCTCAGGCTCCTACTAACAATGCTGTAAAAGAGTTCGTCAACTCAATCATACCAAAATGGAGCGCCCCACAGCTCATGCTCACGGCGTACCGGTTGCTCGGGCTCCAGTTGCGATTCCTGTGGATGCAGCCGAGATAGAGCGCCAACAGGCCGCTTTAAACATTGTTCGTTTCAGTGGTGGAGAGCAACCGGCTGTTTCCACACTGATCAATGCACTATTGGTACGTTGCGAACAGTCCGGTACTGCATCATCTTGGTCTTCAACTGACAATGGTAACAGGACAATGCTGATCCCGCCGTGATCTCTCTGATTGCGCGTGGCGATAGTAATCGAATCGGAAGCTCGCTCGAGACGGCGGACCGCCAGAGCCTAAATGCCATGCTGGAACATATAGAAGCGATGCAAGAGCGCCTCAGAGAGAGACTCTCGTCCGTCACAAGCGCAGCCTCCAATATCTCTTCGTCTTCGCAGGAGACAACAGTCAATGGCACCACGGATAACACAGCCTCCCAGGCTATTGACACAGCAACCTCTCCGGACCACGATATGAAGAATGCTGAGGCTGTCGAGGCTGAGCCGAAGGCTGCCACACCGAATGTCAGCGATCGTATTCCGACTCCTGAGAATTCGGCCGGATCGAAGGTCGAGGAGAACGCAGACCGTGTCTCCCCATTTGCTGAAACCACGACTGACGCCGCTGATCCAAGCAGCTTCACCCCTAATGTACTCGAGTCGCCTCAAGATCCTCCCAAGGTCAATAGTGATGTTCTTACCCCTGCCGCCACAGAGCCAGACTCAAACGTGGAGACTACTGGCAATGACGAAGTCCAGGAGCAGACGGTGCCCTTGGACAACGCAATGGACTTAGACTAGTCCTCCCCAACCTCTTTAATCATCAAGCCCCACCACCAACAACCTGAGCCCCGGTGTTCTCGCCTCCCATCGCACACAGGGAATTTCGCGTGAACGAGCTCTATATAGGTTGCATTATCTACAGAGAAATGCTTCCTTTGTACACATAACCTTAAAACTGCCGGCTTGGCATTTTCTTTTGCTCTGCACAGCTACAGACTGGGCCGATCCTGCAGCTGAACAATACTGTGTCTTCACAGTTCATGACTTATCGGCAACAACGGTCTGTTGAGAGGCCTACTATGGGGGTCCATAAGATCCCTTACTCGATGAGCCCGCTCGCTTCCTTTCCTCCCCCGACAGCGGCCCAGGCTCTGTGTCTGAGAGTTGGTCTTCCTTCGAGGAAGGAAGCCATCAACCCCGTCGACGGGAGAGGCGTGGGGGCGGAGACGAGACGAAACTTTTTACTGGCATTTGTAGCATCAGACACGGAAAGGATAGGGATTGATACCGGAAAGGGTTTCGAGAAGGACCAGAGACCTTTTCAATATAAGTTAGCTATCCCGTAACAGATGAATCAAATAAAATCAAATATTGGTAGCCACCTGTTCTTGCCGAGCACCAGGCGACTCGTGACTTGGTTTACTCCTGGTTTTGACAGTAGTTAGATAATGCACAGTAGCCCAGTCCTGAAGGGTTTCTTGATCTCTTATAACTGAAGCCACAATGTCCACACAGACACCAAAGGATAAGAAGGTAGAGGCTTCGCAGCCCAAAAAAACGAGAGTAATTGTTTCATATATCTAGGACCTGTCCGTTCTCAAATGCGGATATGGGATGTTCCTTTCGACCCCCTTTGCACCTTTTTTCATCTTTTGGTTTGCCTCCTGCCAGTCCTCCTCCCCCCCTTATCCATTCCATCCGTGATGACGGTGGACGCGGGAAAGCAAGGAAAAATACACGAGTTTCTCTGTCCCCCTCAGCAGCGAGAGAGTCGGTCGTACAGCCAAAACAACCCGGTTGACCCCTCAGCCCCTTTCTTTCCATCACCTGAATCAAAATTCTACAAGAAGTGAACATCGAGTATTGATCCCTCACAGAGGCCGTTGCGATGGGCTGCACTCGTCCATCGTACTCGAACAAGTCGGTCAATCAATCAGTCAATCCGTAACAAGCCAAAACAGTGGTAAGAATAATAAAAAGGGGCATCATCGAAATTGGGATAAGCCGGTCGGTCACTCGGTCTCTCCAAGTCTTTGTCTATATACTTTTCCTCCAACAACGAATCCGTAAGCCCTTCTCGGACTAGACACGAGAGCCTCAAAAACCCTGTGTTGTCCATGAGGTACGCTTTCTTTCTTGCCCAGCAAATAATAGCTCAAGCTAGTTGGAGCCTCGTCGAAGGCCAACCTTACATCAATCCAACTCCACGTATCCCTCGAAAAATCGCAACGGTCCAGACAGAAATAGCAACAGAAACATGACATGACGCCCCTGGGCGAATATTCCATCAGATCCAAGGGGTTCTTTGACGTAAGAATGAATTAAATCATCTCTATCCAGGGATTAGTCTTAGTATGGACGTTGGTTCGAGTCGCGCGCCGGATTTCGACCTACACGTCCGCGTCTGCCGCTGACTTGCTCCTGCATGTAGGGCATGTTTTGCATCCCGTTCATGCCTCCATATCCGAATCCGCCCATGTTCATACCCATCCCGAAGCCAGGAGCGGGGAATTGGGTTTGGTTGGCTTGCATGCCGGGCATCTGAGCACCAGGAGGTTGAATGGGACTTCCATTGGCCATGTTCTGGCTTCGGTATTGGTCGATAGAAGGACTAGGGCTGTTAAATCCCGCAAAACCGGCCTGCATAGCAGGGAAGTTGTTGTACATCGGAGGGGTTGCACGAGACAGCATGTTCTGCTGGTACTGGAGTTGCTGGAGGCTGACAGGGGGAATCTGCGCATTTGGCGCATTAAACATGGCGCCCTGTGCCCCAAAGCCAGAGTACTGCGGAGGAAGAGCAGGCTCGACACTCTCGCTTCGTGGTCCTCCGAATCCAAGCTCGTAGTTGGACTGGTTGACAGCGGCAGCATTGAGGGGGTTGTAGAACTGGTTATTTCCATTCCCGTTGAACTGCGCAGCAGCAGCTTGTTGTTGCTGTTGTTGTGCTGCCTGTTGCTGCTGCTGCTGTTGATGGTGATGAGAGCTGCTAGCCTGTCGTGACGCTGGACGCTGTCGCTCATTGTTGGTGCTATGGTCTCGAGAGCCACCTCCGCTTCCATTACGGGTCGATAGGCCGACTTCATCCATTAGGCGCTTGTAGCCTTGGCCGGGCTGAGCCTTGATCCTAATGAGGACAGTCTTGACGTTTTCGACGACCTGACTTCGGATGCTCTCGTCAAAGAAGGGAGTCGTCAAAACCTTAAATATCAGAGTAGCTCCACAGGTATGATCGCTAAGAATAGCTTCCAGAACTCGGTCATTCTTGGTGAAAAAGAGGGCCTTCAGAATAGTGTCACGAGCATCTCCCTCGGCCTTCTGGTTGATCACCTTCAACACGGTGAGGTAAGCAACCTTGTGAGTGCAGAGATGGACCAGATATGGCACCAACTGGGGTGAAAGAACCGTCCTGCGTTGCGGAAATGTGCAGGTGTCAAGGAACCAAGTCAATAGCAGGGCACCGTTGGCATTGGTTGCTAATTGCACGCTATGCAACGCGATAGCTGCCGCGAGCATCCTCTGTTGGTCCTTGGTAGCATGGTGGCTTTCCAAGCAAGCACGCATAGCCCGAGCACCGTATCGGCCCTGGGAGACTTCCCACATCTGGCTCAGCATCGTCTCAAAAATGAAGTCGTTGAACGGCGCCCCAAATTTGAGACAGCCTTGCAGAACATAGTTGCCATATTGGTCTAGGAACAACGAGACCGTGTACGGTCGCAAGTACTGCACGATCAGGTTCATCTGGTGTGGAGTCTTGCAAACGTCGATGATCTTCTGCGCTGCCCAAGTACCATTTTTGTGCACACCAATCTCTGCCATGTGTGGAGCAATTTCAGCAAGCATATCGTCGCGCAGCTGATCGGAGCAGTGCTCGAAAAGCTTCTGGACGACAGTGTTACCAAGATAGTCGGATGAAAGCTCCGCAATCTCTGGCAACATGTCGACAGCGATGCCTTCGATCTCTGCCTGCGATAAGCTCTGGTTGTCGATCCGCTTGCGAATGTCCCGTAGCTTGGGTGCATCGTGCACCCTTGTGTGAGAAGGTTCCTTGATTACAGGAATCTCTTTGGCGAAGTCGTTGAACTGGATAGCTGACTGAAGACTCATGGAGATTCTGTACCTATCGTCATCGGTAGCACCAAACTGCTTGACGATATCCAGGATATCCGTGGTCATCTCTCGGAGTGGTGGAACTGTAGGATCAACATTCGCCGTCTGGGGAGCGGAAGCCGCTTCCACTGAGCTTCCAGATGCTGCCGTGGTAGGAGCAAGACTAGCATCTTGACCTTTGGCGAAAGGATCCGGGCTTGGAGAGGGGAAGACGCCATCGTGTCCAGGAGTGTTGGACGCCGATGGTGGCTTCGCAAAGTTAATACGGATTGGGCCTGCACCGGGGAAGATCTCTTTGCCGTTCATGTTCGCTTTAGCAGCGATTGCGCTGTCTACTCTCTCGAAATTCACGAAGCCACAATTTTTATGGGTCAGGACTCGAGCGGATAGGATTGGACCGTAAGACTTGAACATCTCTGTGAGGGTGGATGTTGTTGTGGATGTTGGTATACTACCCAGCCACAAAGCGCTGGTCGGTCCTTCGAGGCCTTGCTCTTCTGCACTCAGGAGCCCATTATTGCGGCTGTTTGATCGGCCCAAGGTCATAGCAGCAACCGCTTGTGGAAGATCTTCAAACTCCTTCTCGTCAGGCAGTCGAATCTCAGCAGCTGTGATGGAGCTATCCAGGCGCGAAGGAGTAGGGTAGTAGTTTCTGAGGATACGGGAGGCAGGGGTCTCTAGGACGCCAGCAGTCCTTGCACGAGGCCGATTCACGGCCTGGTTTGCGAACGCCTGGACCGCCAGGTTATGGTTGTGAATAGCAGCATTGGTCTTGGCAAGCTGGTCCTGTAAGGCAGCCGCATAATGGCTTTCATAGCTCAAGCCATCCGCGTCAAAGTCATCCTCGTCCTCATCAGCATACTTGTCCTTGTTGTTGACAGAGTAAGAACGGAAGCGGCTTGCTTGTTTTGCAAAGTCGGTAAGGTTGGGAATGTAGGGAGTAGCAAGCTGTGCTCGTGGAGGTTGCGGTGTTTCGGCCAGACCAAGATAGTCGAGTGTCCTCATATGGACATCATTCTCTCCAGTCCCTTCTCTTGAAAACTGTGATTGTGTTGGGGAGCTTGGGCCGTTCGAACCTGCACTAGCAATGCTTGCCAGTGTCGAACCCCTCTCGCGACCGCCAGTAGGATTCCAACTGCTGAAAATGGACGGTCCGAACGGTGAATTAGAGCCGGGAATGTGGGCAAAGGGGCTCCGTTGCGGCATGGAGCCAGCCCTTAGACGAGATAATAACGTCGAAGCGCCCGAAGATGGGTCAGACGGCTCAAGTCCTGGTGATGGAGACTTGAAAGGGCTCTGTGAAGGTGTCGGCCTGGAGGACTTGGAGGCTAGGGTCGGGATGCTGAGCAATCCATTTCCAGCACCACCGGGGGAGAATCTCGAGGGGACGGTGCCGGCTCTGGCGCGACGACCAGTCGATGGGAGGCTATCTGGAGTCGGCAGCTGAGCGAAGTCAGGAAAGCCATCTGTTGGTGACTCGGGGATGTTCTCGCGTAGGGGGGTTGAGTTGCCGCTGGTGGGCGGACCTCCCCAAGGGTTCACCGGGATACCAGGTACCCCTTCTTGGGCTTGGATTTCTCTAGCTCTAGAAGAGGGAGGGATATAGTTAGCTTCATGTTGGGTAGTTAGGGTAGCGATGAATGACCCCACGTACCGCTTGGAGAAGAGTCTGCTTGAGGCTGCCATCTCGTGCGACGGAGAGCCAGCCCCTGAGCGCGTTGTACCAGACATTTTGGCAGAGGGCAGGCCAGGTGGGAGCCCAAAGGGTGAGCGCACGGCACCTCCGGAGGTCGGTTCGACTGGAGATGTCTTTGATGTGGGAGATGTTGAACGGTTTTGGCTGGAGGCAGCTTGCGCAAAATTGCCAATTGTCAAGTGTTCTGATCTAGCAGTGGACATTATCGATTATCGCTCCGACCGTCATCAGACATGCAGGGATTGCAGTTCGCTGAATGGGAAAAGCGTATTATCGTCCCAATATGGGAGAGTGATGGGTCGGGTGTCGATTGAGGAGGAATTCGAGTTGGAGGTCGGATTTCTTGCTGCGGTTTTGCCTTGGTGCAGGGTGACAGGAGGCTGATGGGCACTTTTACGGACAGCGAGGGTCCGTTGGGGTGACAAAGATGCTTCCAGATTATTTGGCAGTTTGCGGGCAAGGAAAACGATGAAGGAACGAGGTGTCGAATTGACTACTTCAGATTTCTGATTGTAAAAGCTGTATGTGTAATGGGTCGATTACAAATGTCAAAAGTGACGAAGTTCAGAGAAGTGTGCTGTCCGGCCGGTCGCTGGCACCGAGGGATGCTCAGCTTGGACGTCGAGTGTGTGTGTCGTCAGACAGTGGATTTGAGGTGAGCACTGGAGGAAGATCCAGCTGGCTGCTAGTCGAGCAGCAAGGCAAGGAGCGTCGTCGAGGAGATAATGGGGGAAGGAAGGGAAAAAAAAACTCTCAAATCAGGTACTCGTGCTTCGTGATGATCGTCTTGGATGGAGGTGTTGGTGTTGGTCTCTCCGGGGCCCGTTTCTCGAGGTCGTCGTGGTGCAAAACGGGGGACATAGGGAACGCCGGCGAAAAGGTCAGCTCTTTTTGCTCCAGTCCGTCCGTCAGTCAGCCTTTGCCCCTTTCTTCCTATTAGACTTAGGTAGGTTTGGCGGACTGCTCCCTGCCGCAAAGAGGAGGGTGCAAGTGAGAGATAGAAACGAAGTGAAGAGGCAATCAATATACAGGCCTCATCAGTAGCAATGAGAGCCTGGAGAAAAAAGAGTTGGAGGATTGTACGAAATGGGATGAGGAGGGAAGAAGGTCGCTTCTGGAGAGAAAGAGAGAGGGCGCGCGGCGTTGCTTGGCCCAGGTCAGGTAGAGAGGTAGAGGTAGAGGTAGATAGCAGTGGGAAAGGGACTGGGGTAGAGGCTAAGGTGGTAAGGTAGATTGGTAGGGAGGGTGAGGGCGAGAGACAAGAGGAGTCGGCTGTTAGTGATGATGGTGGATTGGCTGAGGTACCTACTGCATAGTACGTCGATAGGCACTGCCCTGAATGATGGGCAAGGGGAGAGGAGGGGAGAGGCGCACAGGGCACGACGACTCAGTGGGGATGACTTTGACTGAACTAAACTGGGACTCGCACGGGGGGTTCTGGTGAGGGGGTACCTGACCAGGTACCTGACGAGGTGTCCAACCGGAGGTACCTCAGCCAAGAATCCACCCACTTTGAGGGATGAAACAAAATACGTGCTGTTTGGGGTTGGCCGCATCCTATTCTATCTCCCTAATACCGTTAATCCCAGCTGGGTTGGACCTGTCGGGGGGCTTGTCTAGCTGCAAAAAGCCACGCACTCCACCGGCACTCGACTCCACCTCAGGTGTACACAGCTCAGTTACAGTATGTAGAAAGTACACGATGATAGCCAGAGAATCTACAGTGTGAGGGAGGGTGCATCATCTTAGATAGGAAGACGGGGGAACCCATCACGATGTCTTATGTGTGTATATATGGGGGATAAGAAGAGATCTAGACAATCATGGCAGATTAAACATCTCTATCTGTCTACCGATAGGTAATGCCATTGTGCATATTGGAAGCAGCGTGAGGACCTACCTACTCCCACTTATGCCACTTCACTTCACATTAATAGCATCGAATGTATCACCCACGGCGTCCTCATGCTCAATATTTACAGCAACTCAGAATGACGTGAGCTACGACGAACTCTCGAATGACTAGAACGACGTTCGCTCTTTCGAAACCCAGAGGTCGTGTCTCGTCTTGGCAGTTGTTCCATCAGAACAGTCTCTACCAGGAAAAGCTGGAACACTGTACAAGTCATTCCATCCATCTTACAAGCTGAAGCCCAAAGCATATCTCCTTGGGTGCACGTCTTGTAGAAGGTAGTTGGCCGCACGGCCATAACAATGACAGAACGGCACGGCCTTCTACTGACTTCTTTTGGGCCAGCTCCGCCCATCGAGCAAACGTAATGACGATAACACAACTCCCATCAAATCTGGAGAGGAGGGATGGAGTGGAGGGTCGGCATGATCGCTTGATCGCCGGTTGCAGGAACCACTGGCCAGACGCGACGACCGTCTGTTTGTCATCTCCTGTGTCTCTCCCGTCTCTCTTCCTGCCGCGTATCTTGATCCTCGGTAAGGGGTTCGTTCGGCCCTGTTCGATCGTTTGTTCGTTTGACCTATCTGAGCTGAGGTACAGTACCGGTATATCAGGTATGTATGTACTATGTAGGGCACGGCATAGTGCATCCATCCTCTCCATGCCTGTACCATCGCGCCATCAACATCCAGATGTCTCCTCCAGGCCCTCCGTCGCCTAAGACTTCTCCGTGGGCCCTAACCCCCGCTCGCTGTACAAAAGTGGGTAGAGGCAGATGCTACTGTAATGGGTAAATTGAAGGCTGAATGGGGAACAATGGGGTTTGACGCCTTGGTTGGTTCCGCCGTGGTCACTTTTCAGGGGTTGATACGTACGTTTGGGCCACAGAGCACACACAGTACCGTATCGTACAGTACCTGCCTGTGTCCAGGTGCCAGGGAACATGACTTGGCTTGGTGATACACACACGACTATAGCTACGACGCGACGGGCCAATGCAGCGAGTGGCAGCTATCAAGGCAGACAGAGAAAGAGTTGGAGGATCCAGGTCAAGTTCTCACTCGACTGACTAATTAAAGTTGGGCTCACGGCTTTGGGAGAAGCAAGTAAGAAAGCAGCTTGGGGGGGAAATAAGGGGCTGTGAGAGGACAAACCACGACCGTCCACCACTCGGCAGCCTTCCCTCGGCCGTCTGGCGACGCGGACTCGCAGAACGGGACGAAGATCACACCTTGACAGCTCGTACGCCCGCCATCGTCGCCCATCAGGTCTGCACTCGGCGCAGAGGAGGCGGCGATGGTGCGTCAGCAGCCGCAGAGGGGTGGTCCAATCTCGTACCTCAGCACGCCCTCTACAGGTGGGAATCCGCCCATTCGCTCCAGTATATGGCGACCACATCAGCAGCGAGGCGACGCGATGTGATGCGATGCGCTGCGATGCGATGAGATGCAAGCACTTTGCACGACACATTAGGATGATGTGCTAAGACTTCCCAGGTTTATGCGGGCGTGCCACGGCGACGAATCAGGCAGCCCCCCGGCCCTGTTAGAGGATGATCTAAAATTCTGAAACGAAGGCTCGTCTTTTCTTTCCATCTGCTCTGTGCCTCAATGCAAGCCTTCCTAGCGATCTCACAGCGGCTCTCCTCTTGGCGACCGGCATGCCCCCAGCAGGGGTTCTGGGGGGCGTCGCTATCCCTGTCGTGCTCCTTCGCGTCCAACTGGATCAGTCTGCCAACTCTCCTGACTTCGATGCACCTCCTCCTCCAGCCTGGCCTAACCTAGCCGCCAGCACACCATTTCAGCGTTCTGCATCATCATTGGAATCAAATCCTGTTGTCGTTCTCCTAGGAAAGCCACATTAGTGGCTGGTGCTATGGGCTATTCGTCGAAGTGATCCTTTCGTCCTGCAATGTCCACCAGCAAAAGAGACAGGTTTTGACCATAAAAGAACTGACATCCAAGATAGAGTACCGGTAACTTGCAGTACGACACGGTTCGTTTGTCCCAGACCTATTTGCCCGTGCTCCATCTCGAAATACCTGGCTTTAGCCCTGTTACACAGCTGCCGCCCCAGGATCGCCCAGGCTAGGTAGGGCACAGGGCAGGACTAGGCTTGTCGGATGAACTACTCTTGGAATTTCAAATACTATTTCCGTCTTTCTCGATCCCTCTCCGCCCAGCATGTTACAAGCAAGCTGCTTCTACGTAGCGGGAAGGACAATCGGTCGTGCATGGACCGCAGACTTGGCACGTCTAGGGAGATGCCATTTTTGGACTCCAAAACGCCAAGTTGGGGGAACCTCGCCCTTGTTTCGATACGCTGGAGATGTCGATGGCCACGCTTACTCATCCATTGCTGAGAATCTTTTAGTCAAGTCATACCAACTGGAAAAGGGACGAGGCCTATTAGCTCGACCTGTCAGATGCGTATGATACCGCATTAGCCCGTGCTTTCTGTCGCCGCTGCTATATTTACAACCTTGATGTTGCTAAACTAAGCTACAGACTCGTAACTTGGCAGGAATGGACGACTGAAACAGCATCACCTGCTTGGCTGGTCTGTTACATGTAGACAGTCGGGCATGTAGTCGGCGCCCTAGCGATACCAGATTGAATCATCTTATATAAGTCTATGTCGTACAGCACTGGTCTAGTGGGTCCCGGCTTCCTCTGCCGTGACCGAGGAGGGACGGCGCCGTGCGGGAGGGGCCGTAGACCAAGGACTTGACTGCCGGGAGCCGATCGGGGCCACTCCCGAACATTGGTGCTCACGATCGAGTACATTATTCCAAGACACGGAGTTCTGATGGTTGGCATTGCATAACATTGGTATCCAAGTGCTAAACTGTCGATATTGGAAATGGTAGATTGAAAACGCTTGCCATTCGCGTTTGCGAGATTAGATCAAGCGTTTGGCCCCTGTCTTACACCACTGTCTATCAACTCAACTACATCGCGTCTACTGTACGTTGTGCGAGGTTTCGATACTTCTCATCAACTCTCTCCATGTCTCCTTCTCCAGGGGAGACCATAGGAAATGACCAGAATTGTTCTGATTCACTAACAGTAAAGAGTTCATGATGCTCAGCTTCCAAACAATGCCAAGAACGATTAGAGTTGACGGTTCAAAGTTTGGTTGAACTAAGACTGTCAAGCCCCGCGACTTTACTAAACTGAACCAGAGATAATGACCACTCTCGCTTCCGAGGCACCCCGTTGCGGTGGCGTCTGTCTTTTCCTCGTTGGCAGCTCTGTTTCCCTGGCAGCGTTCTAGTTTCCGCCTAATAAACTTTCAGCGGCGCCAGGCTAGACATCTCCCAAGCGAAACGGCTTCACCTAGGACCCCCACCGGCTGCATATGGCACCACCCACCAGGTCGCGGCTACGCAGTACTCTATCGAATCGTCGGCTGCACGGCGAGTTTTGTAGATTGTAGAAGACTCGTCGTTCATAATCGCGAGAAACGAGGAAATAGTGTAAAGTAAAAAGCTATTGGTAATATTGTGCGACGGTGTGAGGTTAAGTAGTTGGGGTTCGGACTCGATTCGGATGCCTCATCACAGAGAATACACGTGCTGAATATACATGACCGGTGATTTATACTAGAAGCTGTATTTGACTTTGATGCAAGCCACAACTTCCCATGTCTTTCCCCCCGCCGCCTATGTGTTCCCAGTCCCGTCGACTCTTCACCGACGAGTGAAGATGGCGTTCGCTACAAGAGGTCCTCAGGCTCAGGCCGTGATAGGTGCTCTTATCTTGCTGTTTCTGATATGGCTCTTCGCGCCATTCAACCCCTCAGCCTACAACGTACGTACGAGATAGCGCGAGGCTGCGTTGCGCCTTGAAAGCTGACCTTGGAAGCAGCAGAGCCCTCCAGCGAGCCCAGGAGTCGTCAAGCCGGGCAAGGACACATCCGATCTCCCTCCCGTCCTCTCGAATTCCTCATCGAGCGAGGAAGACGGCCAAGGCTCGCTTATAGACAAGGATGAGTTCCGGCCGCTGATCCTGTACGCCTACGCAGAGTCCGACGCGGCGCGGGAGAACATCAAGTTCTTTATCCACCAGGGCCTCCACGGCGCCGCCGACTTTGTCTTCATCCTGAACGGCATTGAAGACGCGGACTACCTCGAGATACCTCAGAAGCCCAATGTTCGCGTCGTCAAGCGGGACAACACCTGCTTCGACCTCGGCGCTTACGGCGAGGTCCTGCGGCAGGATGGCTTGTGGGCCAAGTATAAACGCTTCATCATGCTGAATGCCAGCATCCGTGGACCCTTCCTGCCTTACTGGAGCAAGGGGTGTTGGTCGGATTTGTATCTCGCAAAGCTGACCGGGAAAGTCAAGGTATATAGACCCTTTCACTGAATATGTTGAAACCATTTGCGTAGACCATCACTGATACATGTTCTCTCGCAGCTGGTGGGCATGACAGCCAACTGCTGGCCACGCTTCCACGTGCAGTCGATGATCTGGGCGACCGACGCCGTGGGCATCGATCTGCTGCTCAACCCGCCGCCGGGCTCGCGCGTGGAGGACGAGTTCGGCGGCGCAGACGCCCCCGTGGGGCTGGCGGGCTGCTACGGCGACTGGAACGCGGCCGTGCACGCCGAGGTGGGCTCGACGGAGGCGGTGCGCGAGCCGGGCTACGAGGTCGACCTGATGATGATGGCCTTCCACAAGTCGGGGAACTACATTGACGAGTGCGCCAACAGCGAAGGCAACGGCGACCTGCTCTGGCAGGGCAAGTACTTTGGCACCAACGTCCACCCCTACGAGACCATCTTCATCAAGGCGAACCGCGATATCGACCCCACGCTGATCGAGCACCTCACGGAGTGGCACGAGACTGCCGGGACAAGCAGTTGGGACGTGTGCAGGGGGGCGAGCTTGTAAGATCGTGGCTGGCTGTGAGGCAACACCATACCGACGAAAGGAATCGCCCCAACAAAAGGCTTGTTTTGATGATGAATTGTCAACCCGGGTGGACTGCCGGATACTATTGTGGGTCAGACAAAATTGCGGTCATCGATAAATTGGATTGGCGTTTTGCGGATGGGTTCAGAGGATATGGCGTAGAACTCGATTTCCACAAGGGCAATAGACTATACTAATCTAGTCGGGTTGTATGAAAGGATTAGACATGTTAAGACAAAGATGTCCAATTTCAAGGAGGGTCACCAAAAGCAGACGGAAGTTGTTCATTTTACCAAATTATCCATTCGTGCAGGCCTAACTTCTATATCATGAGAAACGATCCATGCGACTTCACACAACCACAAACGACCAGGACCATTAGCAGAGTGAAGCACTCGTGATGGGTGTCCCCGTAAGCTTTCCTTTGTAGTGAGAAGTGCAAAGCGTCGGAAAGCCTCCGTAGGGGGTTCATGCCAAGGTCGAGAAAATCATCCTTCCTATGCATTCAAACATTGAAAAATCAGCCGCCTCCAGAACGCCGTGTGCGACCTTCCATTGGGAATATATGCACGATATATCCGGTATCAAATAGGCCCTTTTCTGTGAGGGCATCCAAACCGGAAGCGAGATACGTAGCTAACTCGCTTTGACTTCATCTCTGTCCTCATTCATTCATCGATTTTGCTGCTTATTTAGCATTTCTCTTGAAGGCCAGCAACTCGGCCAGACTGCCAAGGGGGCAGCCGTGCTTCAAGAAGTCATGGTCTAGAAGCTCCCTGGCAGAAGCCCGGCTCTTGACATCCACACATAGACAGACCGAGAGGAAAGCTTTCAGCTCCTTGCTGAGCTTCTCTGGTTTCTTAAGACGCGGAGTGCCGTTAGTAGCGATCAGATACAGCGCCTTGAGTGGTTCTTCGTTCAGGTAAGGGGGCTCAGATTCAATCATCTCAATAGCCATGATACCCAAGGACCAGATATCAACCTTCGGGCCGTACTCCTTCTGCTTGACAACTTCAGGGGCCATCCAGTAAGGTGTGCCCACCATGGTTGCACGCTTAGACTTGGTCTCTGTGAGCTTCGCACAGAAACCGAAATCAGCTGTAAGTAGGTTAGCACCGTGCACATGAATGTCCAAAGAAAACTCTCGAGGGTTGGACTTACTAATCTTGACATTGCCACGAGCATCTAGGAGAACGTTGTCACTCTTGATATCACGATGAATGATATTCTGTGAGTGAAGATGTTGCAGGCCTCGGCAAGTCTGTTCCGCAAGTCAGCTATGATGTTGATGTTGGATGAAGGTTACGATAAAACTTACCTCAAGGCAGATGGTTGAGATCTGCTCCTCCGTGATGACAGGATTATTATCAATGACATCTGTCAGGGCACCACCCTCCATATACTCCATAACAACCCAGAGCTCTGCATTATTGTTACGCAGGAATGCGTCGAGGAAGTTCACAATGTTCCTGTGCTTGCTGTCCTTCATCACCATGATTTCGTTTACGATCAACTCCTTTCTTGGTTGGTGTGCAAGATCCATTTGCTTGATGGCAACTTGGGCCTTAATGCCCTGCGCGCGAAGAAGTTCACGAGCAACACCTGATGTAGCGGTCTCTTTAACCTTGGCAACATAAACGGATCCAGATGCACCTTGGCCGATCTTCTTCTGCTTGGAGTAGGACAGGTTGGGATCATCCTTGGAGACAGCCTCCTTAAGCTTAGCCATGACCTCGTTCTCAGACATGGTCGACATGCGGACATCCTGTTTGCGCTCCGCAGCTGGCGGCTTAGCGGTGAGCGCAGCCTCCGCAGCCTTGACAGCATCACTCTGGCTGGGCTTGGGTCCAACGTTGAGCGGCTTAACCGGGGCTGGCAAGCGTGAGGGGGGTTGGCCTTGCGCTCCGTTCGCTCTTTGCTGAGGAGCTGGAGAGCTTGATCCGTTGGGATAGCGCTGAGCGGAAGCTTGCTGGGACTGTGGTTGGTCGTTGCGCGGCATTCGCTGCGCCTGAGATGCCTGACCATTTGGATCGCGTACGGAAGACGAGCTCTGCTGCTGGGTCAAGGGGGGACGGGATGCAGCACCTGATGCGCCACTTGGTGGAGCAGGCGCAGGTCTCTGGGCACGCAGGCTCGAGACTTGCTGTGGTGCCTTTGGCGCTGGAGGAGCCGCCCGACCGGGCGTAAAGCGGTCTGACGATGGAGCTGGAGAGCTCCCACCGTAACCCCCTAGCTCTTGTTGCGCCAAGGGCACCTTTGTCTTCGGGAGCGAAGCATTATACGCTTCTAATTCTCGCCGGTTCTGCTCCTCCATTTCTCGCATGCGCTCACGTTGTGCTGCCTCTGCTTGTCTCTGTCGCTCTTCCTCTCGGTTTCTGTTGTCTACGTAGTTAGGAGCCATATTCTGCATCTGCATGCGCTGCTGCTGAGACTCCGTTGGAGACGGCCGTCTTGGAGGCTGGGAGCCAAGACTCTGCTGTGAAGGGGTTGTGTTATAGCTGGGACGCTGTAATGGCTGCGTCGGACGGGGAGGCGCCACGGACGAACCACCACCGTAACCGAGCTGCTTGTTCTGCATGCTGCTGGGGGGAGGAGTGGGCGTAAGGCTGGGGTATTGGGCGGGGTTCTCTGCTCTCTTGGTCAGGTCGGAGTAGAAGTCTAGGACCTCAAAGACAGCCTGGGGGTTTCGCTCGTAGTCCTCCTTGGTGATAGCGGATGAGTTGAGGAGCTTAGACCACTCGGGCGGCAGGCCGACAAACTCGCCCGTCTGAGGATCGAAACCGACGTGAACTGCATGTGAGAAGTTGGTTGGGTTGCTGACACCGCCCATTCCTGGGCAACGGGCGTAAATGAAGTCAATCCATTCGTAGAGATCATCATCACTCTTGACTCGGATCTGGAGAGTCTTGGTAGAGCCATCATCGTCACCTGGACTGGTGGAAGAGCCGTTGGAATGTCTCTTGACCTCGAAGATGGTACCGGCAGCTTCAACTCGGCCCACATTGATGACGTCCTTGAGGAACAGTGTGTAGGAGACCTTGCCGCCTTCAGCCTTGTGGAAATCAAGGGCTTCCTTGCGCAAGACTAGGAACTTCTGCTTCCATGGCTGAATGAAGTTCTTGCTCTCCTTGACCTGTGCCCAGCCCTCTTTGATGACAGCCACGCCACCTTGCCCATCAATGCCCGAGGTCTGGCGGGAAAGTGGCAGAGAGATGGTAGAGCCACTGTATTGAGAGGGCCCACGGGTGATTGGGGACAGAGCCATGTTTGCCATGCTGCCGGGGAGATTGGTGTTGGGGGTGAGGTTCAGTCGAGGTCGGTCGGTCGGGGGCCGCGGGGCTGGACCAGGGTTCATGAACTGCCCCGAGGAGTAGATGCTGCGAGAGGGTTGTCGGTCAGACATGGCTCAAAATTGTGTCTCTGCTTTGCAGAGAAAGCATCGCATGCAGGCAAGGGACAAGGATATTTGTGAGATGAGTGGATGGTTTTTGGGGGAGGTGTGGGAGGAGAACGAAGGTGGTGGTGGTGGTGGTG